ATCGACCGAGTATTAAACAAAACGCAAGATCCGTACTGAGCTCAAGTTTGCCAAGATAGAGATGATGAACAGGGGTATAGTGTTGAAGAAACAAACTAGCACCAAGAACAAAGAACCGATGAATTTGTTGCCAATGAGCTCGGAAGCTGACTTGTTGAAATTCACCCATATCTACGGAACATTTCAGTAGATATTCATGGGTCAATGTTTAAATGCCGTACAATGTCTTTAGGGTTCGGCGCGAGAGCGATGTCAGTACCCTTCGGGTGCTTCTTCCGAAGCAAGTTAGCAACAATGTGAGCATACGGAACCGCCGCCATAGATGCAAAACCGTAGTTCTCTGCTTTGCGGGAGTCAATCTGCAGACGATAATCCTCAATTCGCTTGCTCCGTGCGTCTCAGCTTTGCGCTGGTTATTGTTAGCGATATCGCAACAAAATAGGACATAGGTACATACGTATAGAAGTCTATAGCATCCTTTTTGGTACCACCCATGCCCATGAATCCACCCATCCGAATTGTGGGTCGCTCTTTTGCTATTTTGCCGCCCTTGAGATACGTCACGAGAACCTGCTCGAGCTCGCGAACGGCAGTGTTATGGTATTCGATAAGCTCGGGCAACCGTCCGACTTTACGACTAATGCGCACTGAGGTAGTAGGGTATGGAACTTGAACGCTTTCGAAGATGGCGCGGATGCCGTCGTCAGATTGGTATTTCTTGGGTACATGCATGACCGCAAGTGTCCGCGCATAAAAGGATTGCATATATTCGGGAGAGCGAAACCATTCCTGCCGAAGACGAAGCATCTCTTTCCAGTGCCGCCATACGAAAAACATGACGAGTGCCGAGACCACGTACGAGACCACGACATGTGCAAAGAGGAAAGAACCCTTGACATCCCGGATGGTCAAAATGGAAAGGACATCCCGTTCCGTCGAAGGAACGTTCTTGAGGTTGTAGGATACATTGATTGGGATAAGAATGGCGCAGCACGTAAAAGCGATAGCCGAGTAAAGTGATCGGGTCATGCGAGTGAATCTAAGAAAGGTGACAGCATCCAATCCAAGCTTGTCAACAAGCTCGGGTTCCTTCGTGCGTATGAGAGGTGGCAGCCATCCCAACAGGGAGTCAGATATCCGCGGTGGCTGCTTGTCACCGACATGATATTTGACCTTGGGTTCGTAGATGACCTGCATAACGTGTATGTAGCATATAGCTATGTGGTAGAATGAAGAGAATGTACCTTGTTCTTAGGTCGCAATACGTTGAATACAACGACCGTAACGGTCTGGAAGGAGTGAGAAGGGATTCTGAGATAAAACCTATGTAACTTACGGATATTATTGTCATCAAAGCTACCTGAGAGCCTACTGCAGCTGGCGTGATTGTCCTGGAGGCATTTTGATTGATGATTTCGCCAATGTCGGCCATGGTAGAGAGAGTGAAAAAAGTTTAGCGACTCAGCTATTGAAAGAATGTCGAGGGTCGGTCAGTTCAGGAGTGGAGAAGAAGGTAGTAACGTAGATTGGTGCCGGTGTGGAATCTATTGTTCCGGATGAACCTTTTTTGAGACAAAACACAAGGATTGGGGTGCTCCACTAATTTTATTGCACTTGCAAGACTCGTGGTGGTATCGTGTAGCGAAGCAGACGTGACATGTAAAATTATAGTCCTTCTACCTCCCTGCAACCGCCATGGCCAAGGCCCAAGGGGACAAAATGAGTCGACAGGCTTCGACCCGGTCAAAATTACGGCAACATTCAACCCTTTAAGGCCGTCTGTCACATTGCTGTGACCGTGCATGTTCTATAATATCCCACTGCCTACTTGAATGCCCGAGGAATAGATGCGGCATGAGGCCTGAGGGCTTATGGACCCTCTATCAAAGCAGGTACGAGCCTTGGTCCACTTTTTATCTACATTAATTGCTCCTCAAAGCTGTCTTCACGGATTGACTGGTTAGTACGGTAAGCTCAGGCTGATCCACGACAACCTCAGGCTACTACCAAGTGCTGGGCTCATGCTCGACGACCCGGAAAAAAAAACTACTGTACATGGGACCTGGTTTGCGATTCAAGCAGAAATCGACCCAAACGATCATGTTTAGCTACGTCTGGTTTGGGGTCCAAACCAAGTCGAAAGTCCGGACATCGGTGACCCGGAGTTGATGATTTTTGTGATGAGTTGGGTTCAATTGCAATATGCAATGCTACCTTGCGATTCGGTCTGATATAGCCGTCAGGCAAGTCGGCGAACATTTCCCTCCGAATAGATTGCCCCGGGCAGACTGAGATATACAATTTTTGCAGATCGGTGTAGCAGTCCTATCGTGGCACCTGTCTCAACGAAAAGCAAGGCTATGCGATTCGAATTGATAACTTCCAATTTGAATCGCACAACCTGGTTGTTTGTTGAGGGTTTTCGTTACTGGGAATTCTACCAGGGCCAGTGCCTTTGCAGCTCTTCCATTCCATTGCAGACGCAGCGACAGCGATCGTTCATGTCGTTTCCTTCAGTGGTACTGCCTTTTTTCGCTATCTTCTCGTAAACATTTACTTCGTGGTGACCCTTTCAGAACGCCAACTCCACTTGAATTTCCGCCATGGTATTGATCACTGCGGTATGCATTGCCTTGAGCGACAGAGCTTCGCCGCGGGTAAAGATTGGACAGGGTCCCACGATCATACGGAGAGGTTTATATTTAACGTCATTATTATTTGCACTTATCTACACTGTAAATTTCTAACTAGTATTCTGAATTTCTTTTACTATATATGAAGATAACGAGTCAGTCATTCCGTGATGAATAACTTACCGCGTGGTACAGATCCATCTCTATGGTGGTCTTGACCTTGGATGTATTTGTATCACATTAGCAGGTATTCCTCTTGAATGAGCACTCGAATGCCAGTCGTCGTGGAGGGTAGCAGTCTTATGCCGATCAACCATCCTGTTCAACTTTTCCAATCGCGTCAGCACTGAATTCAGCGGCAGGCCGAAGGTAAGACCAAGTCAAGTCACTTCCGACTTTGGAATGATATAAAATATGAGCTAGAGGTGAATTGAAGCAGGATCGCGACTTACAATGCAATATAGTACATCGTTACTTGAAATACAGTGGCAAGCATGAGATCTATGATTATGGTTACTAGCCCGGTCTCGATGATCGATTTGACTCATCATTGTAAAACAAATGCTTGAAACCCGGTTTCTCATTGTTGCATGAGCTGTGGTTGGAATAGCAGAATCGAATGGTAAAGCTGTTGTATCTTACATTGCCAGTGAGCGTCATGTACACGGTAATGACTGAGTGGCACACAAGGACGCCGACCAGCCAGACCTAGTGGGTTTGAGTTGAAGCAGTATGCCTACGCCGCATGTAAGACAACTTACTGGAACATAAAATAGCACGGGGGTCGCTGGAGTCGTTCCAGGAGGACAAAAACACGGGACAGACAGTGGGACTCTACCACTACCGCGCCCCCATAAGTCATCATTGCAAATTGCACCGACGAAAGCTGTGAGTGAACTTTGCGTCAGTATTAAATAATTGGTCGACACTCGGCGGAATCAAATAATTAATAACCAACACAAAAACGATCATTGATCTCCTCACAGCCCAAAATTTCCAGCAGAGGAAACTGTGGATTCTAGTGGCGGGACTAACATGATCAAATGTTCCGCCTCTACTGAGCCATCCCTGTCACTCACCAAGTCCACTAAGTGGCGTCAAGGCAGTATCTGTATAATCACAGAGGGTCAGGAACTAATTGTTGCCAACCAATGCCACTGCGACGACCCAAGATAGATTAGATCTGTGTTGATTAGCACCAGTCCAAAAATTATGGAACGCAAAGACTTTGATGATCGTTTCCTGCACAGATACTTATCCGGGCCAGCACGTCAACGCGCGAGAATACAGGCATTTTACTAAAACTTTCGTCCCCATTCGGTCTTTTGGGAATCGGCTGAAGTAGATGACTGGTATTTTCTAGTTTCAGATGGTAACACAGGTGTATTTGATAAGGGCGACGTATCGTATTGCACTGAGAGGATACCCAAGAACGTACAGCAACATGTGTACACAGGACATAGTTCGGTACTTGAGTCAAGATAGCCAAGTGCACCCCCCACGAATGGATCCTCGTTGTCGTTCCACGTGTTTAGTGAATCCACATCCAGTAGAAACCAAGTGCGATACTTACTCAAAGTGTCGAACGACCTACGCTTGTTAAGTCAAAGTGTATTAAAACCTGGAAATTCATCAACAACTTACGATTGGTTATTGGTAGATATCATCTTCGAATTGAAGGACTGAACTGATGGACCGAATCTCGAACGAGCGCTTGGTATAATTGACCTATAAGGAGCATCATCAGGTGCTATTGATATATAGAACATCGCTTTGAGAGGCGAAGTATAGCACCTGGTCCTCCCAATGCAGGATAATGAAGAGTATAGTGCATCCGACGCGATCCAAGAGAACAACCTAAATAACTAGGTCGAGTATGTGTTTGATGAAGCATCATCGATGATCACCCCCCAACACGACGACTTGATACGTATCATAATTTCGTGAGGACGCGGCGGATGTAGCTCATACATGCATGTCCGGCTGCCCGCAGCTCTAAGATTAGGCGAGTACAGCTTCGAGCACGCTAACGGGCGAAAACTTCTTTTTATCGGGCCTGCCCGACCCGGGTTTTGTATCGCGGATGACTTGCCAAATATAAGTTCTTTACTTCTTGTGGGTGTACCCGTCGTTATTACATTGACTTCAACATTTACACAAGCCAAGGTGCATTTGAGAGAACAGCGAGAGCCGAGTCAGTAAGCCTAGACGGAGGTCAAAAAACAAACAAGCAGCCATGCCAACATTCACTCTCACAAATGCTGACAGTACAACGGGGACCCGCTATACGTGAACTCTTGAAGTGACGTCTCTCGCCTCATGGTATAATAAGTTGCGATCACTAGCTTCTGAGGCCGAGCCTCTGTATAAGCTAAAAGACTGACATTCGTGAGTCCTAGACCACAGATACCAACCGAACCACTATACCATCGATCTATTCCTCCATGAGGGTGTTGAGAACCCGAGCCACCTGACCTACAGCCTCCCTTACTCTATCTCTGTCTGCCTCAATGATCTTCCGCATGACTCGTCCTTCAAACTTGTCTGGATGAAACCGTAGCATTGTCTCCCGTAGTTTTTCTTTCCTCTCCTTCTTGTCACAACCATGAGTGGGAAGAGAAACACCAACGTCCTGAGGGATGGCAGAAATTGGTATCAGGAATGCAGATATTGCTGTCGCCGTGAAGTGTTCCAATGTGATAGAGGATGAGTCCGAATGAGCTATATCTAAGTGCGTCATGGGCACAAACAGTGGCCATGGTATGTCTGCGAAGGAAAGGGAAGAAGTATGCCGAGCGTTGGGATCCAAGAGATCCTTCCACTTTGTGTCGTACTCTGTTCGAGCATTCTCCTCTCGTTGGCTCTCTCTTTCTCTTTTCTTCTGTTTTCTTCGCTCTTCCGCAGCCTTTTCGAGTCTAATCGCCTCTGCTTTCATTTCATTCTTCCTAGCGCTACGAGCTGCCTTTTGCGCCTTGATGCGTGCTTCTTCTTCGTATTGGCGCGCGTGCTTTCGCCTATTATGGGGACGCTCAATGCAACTGCAGGGAACTACTTGCATTTGAGAGACAAACCTCCACATCCCTGCTCGAATCCACTCGGCGTAAGTGTCATCGTCCATGAACCGTGGATCCATATCCGTTTGATCCTCAGGGCTTCCGCTGCTGGCTGCATTCGTCCGCCATCTATCGGGGACATGGACGTAGTCGTTAAATCTGGCGTCTATACCATCTAGCCGTTCATCATCCCGTAACGCATCCCACATTTTCTCCCTGAAGCGAGCGTCTTCCAACTCAGAAAGAATGGTGTCATAATCAGCTTTATGAGCGGATGACAATGATGGGGGTGGGGGAGGGCCATAAACCTCTTCATCAAGATCAGAATCGATGACTTCTCCTCTGTGCTTCTTTTTGGAGCTAGACTGTTCATGCTCGCCGGCTCCCTGTGACCGCTTCCTTGCCGCCTTTGCAACTTTTCGAGCCTTGCGGAGAGCCCGTTCAGCCTCCTCAGCAGGAGTGCGTTTAAGATGCAACTTAGTCATTAGTTAACATTGCCTTGGCGAGACAGTAGCCAATGAACCAGTATTAGTACTGTGTTAGTTGGAAGACAAGAGAGCGAGTGCTGACTCAGCATGGTATCACTTCCTTTACAACGGTGACCATGCAGCTTGAATCCTTATATGATGGTAAGCAGTCTTAGCACTTGTATATTCATTGAACACCCTAACTCGCATTCAGAGACAAGAAAATGGTTCTTTCTCATGCCGCCCATCTTTGGTCCGCTTCAATTTCTCTTCGATGCCCCGTTCGGAAGATTTTCTCCATCCAATGACAGTATCTTCCTTGTGGATGGAATCAAGGCCTGGATTGTCATGGAATTAGTCTCCCCTATCACATTCATCACCGTACTATACCGCGGGCCCTATGCGGCACCATTGTCTGCGATGTCCACTCCCCAGGTCATCCTCACCAGCCTGTTCATGATCCATTATCTTAACCGTGCGTTAATTTCCCCTCTGCAAACACCATCTCGCTCGAAGTCGCACATCGTTGTGCCCCTCTCCGCTAGTATGTTCAACCTTGCGAATGGTGCCCTAATGGGCACCTACCTCTCGTCTCCCGCTGCATCTGCGTTTCTGGCGGGGGCCTTGTCTCGTCCTTCTTTCTGGGCTGGAATCACATTATGGGCGTGTGGATTCGCGGGAAACATCTTGCACGATGAAGTGCTTCTCGATATCCGCCGTAAATCTAAAGCGAAAGGCAAACGCAGCGAGAACAAACTCGGAAAGGAGCACTATGCCATTCCCCATGGTTACCTCTACAGATACATTTCTTATCCAAACTACTTCTGCGAGTGGTCAGAATGGTTTGGCTATGCATTAGCTGCTGCACCATTCCCTGCTCTCATGCCGCTCACAGAGACAATGAGAACCATCCAGCCCCCTTGGTTGTTTCTCTGGGCAGAAGTTTTGCTGATGATTGCTCGGGCATACAAGGGCCATCAATGGTACCACAAGAATTTTCCCGAGTACCCCAAGGAGAGGAAGGCTGTTGTGCCGTTTATCTTTTAGGCTGCCGGGTCTAACACAGGCTCCTAAGAAGGACAGCTATCAATGTTCCAAGTTCTTATATCACCGTGTCAGCTTGTTTCACTACCAAGTTTTTCGTGATGCTGCGGCCACTAGTATTTTATGAATGTACGATCTATCATTCAAATTGTTCCAAATCATGGAATTGAAAAATGACAACAGTTACGTTAATGCCTGATATGGAATTCGTTCGCCGCTTGAAAATGCCTTTTGCGACATCATAGCTGCTTGCACCGGAAAGCTAACAAAAAGTCGTACAGTCATTTGTCCCGGTCCTCGGTTTTTATCTTCGTCACGATTCTTGTCAAGATGATGTCCTCAGATGAACCTGGTACAACCCCTTTTCACTCCGCACAAGTGTCATTCTCGAAGTTCCAGCGCCAATACCAACAAACACTTGACCGATGGACTCCTCACGTTTTGCAACGATGGTTGGCGACTCTCTGTCTTCTGGCGCTCTTCATGCTTAGGATTGTGCTGTCTCAGGGGGTAAGCACTACCTTACTCTATGCTCAGGATGAAACTGACTGGCTACGTGTCAACAGTGGTATATCGGTCTGTGTATTTACTCTGCATATATGATCTCTGGCTCATCAGTCATGCCTGTGGTACTTGGATGCATGTGTAGTCTGTTGTGCGTCTGCTTGTCCTTTTAGCTTGGAGTATACCTGATGGAGCTTTATAACAGACGGCTTGGCCATTTACCTCTTGAACTTGCTTCTTGCATTCCTGCAGCCCAAGTTCGACCCTTCACTCGAGGATGATCTTCTTGCCGATGAGATCGAAGAGGGCGGCGATCAAAGTACTCCTGTGCTTCCCTCTCAGCGCGATGACGAGTTTAGACCTTTTGTGAGAAGACTCCCTGAATGGCAATTTTGGTGCGCCCATTGGTTGTATTGTTCCCCTTCTTGGCACTGACCATTTACGATTTCCACAGGCTAAGTTCAACGAGGGCCACTCTCGTGTCACTTTTCTGTACCGTGTCAGAGGTCTTTGATGTACCAGTCTACTGGCCGATCCTTGTGGTCTACTTTTGTGTTCTCTTCGCATTGACAATGCGTCGGCAAATTCAGTGCGTTCCCATATCCCAGACTTGTGGTCCTAATTGAAACATTTTTGCCAGGCATATGATCAAGTACAAGTACATCCCGTTCGACATAGGGCGCAAGGCACGTTACGGTGGGAGCAAGTAGAAACTATTTACTATGTCATGTCACGCAGAACATTCGCTTGACCTATAGATTTTGAGTCGTACTAATGCAGGACTATGTTTATTGCTGTACATTTTCATGACCGCAAAGTTTTCCGGGGTGTCGTTAGGATACGGTGTGGATTTATGGCGCTCATAATCTGACTGGGTATTCCTGGCACTGAAAGTTGAAATACATGCTAGCTAGCTGATTGTGACCAACAGCGCGCATGAACTTGATTCTCACGGTTGTGAAATAGCTTCCTATCACAGTCGACCGTCTGCATGTGACACTGATAGCATGCAAGAGGTTTGGTCTTTCAGAATAGACAGTGAGATACTAATTCATACCAATTCCTAGCGTGTCCATGTGACCGGTCTTATGGCCTGAACGCTCTTGCAGCAGTCCACCGCATTCCGCAAGGCTGCAACTGTTACGCAGTATACGAGCATTGCACATCATGAGCGAGGTGATTCATCCGCCTGCTGTGCAGCACATGGCACAACACGTTCTCAGCCAATTGCAAGAACATCGATCACGTCATCCGCCGAATTCACGACCAACCCCCTTATTCGTTGGCGTTCAAGGCCCACAGGGCAGCGGAAAGACTTTCCTAACTTCCTGCCTCCGTGCCTACCTCGCCAGTTCACCACACGCCCTCAAAATCACTGTGCTTTCAATCGACGATCTCTATCTTCCGCACTCTGGACTCCAAAGTCTTGCAGAAAGCCATCCAGACAATATCTTGTTTCAAGGAAGGGGACAGCCAGGAACACACGATGTGCCTCTCGGTACTTCGGTTCTCAAGAACCTCAAAAAGATCAACGAACTCGATGCAGGGTCTGTCGACATCCCTATCTTCGATAAGAGTCTATTTAATGGAAAGGGGGACCGCGTATCTGCTGGTGAGACGGTGAAAGGGCCCGTGGACGTAGTTGTGCTGGAGGGATGGTGTGTGGGATTTTTCCCTACGAGTAAAGAGGTCGTCGAAGAAAAATGGAAAGAACCTGTGCCGACTCTCGAGTCTGATATCTTTGACATGAAAACCTTCGTGTCCGTGGATCACGTACTGGCCATCAACGAACAATTAAAGCGATACGTGGAGTGGTGGAGCGCACTCGATGCTTTCATTCAGGTAAAACCACCTCGTTCTCGACGCACCCATAGCATGCGACTCACTCTTTTTGAAGATAAAGGGGCCTTCGTCTGCACAGCTATCTATCATATATAAATGGAGATTACAACAGGAACACGGTATGAAAGCTAAGAATGGCGGAAAGGGCATGACCGATGACCAAGTCAAGACGTGAGTGCTTCCATTTCCACTCGTGTATCGTTTGATAACATTTATGAGCAGCTTCGTCGACCGCTATATTCCCGGATACGTCTTTTTTGGTGATGGAGTGACGAGAGGATTTTCAGGCGGCGAAGGAACGGAAACAGAGCGACCACCGTCGTGGGTAGGCAAGGGACTATCAGTCACGATTGGGAATGATAGAGAGTTCCTGCATGTCAGTAATTTTTAGAAATGACGCTAGAACACATGGACTTTACAGAGGACTGCGCACGGACTGCGCTCTGATTTTATCTCACTTGTGAAAGCTGAGTCGTACATGATGTATGATATCTCCTTCAGGCATAGTCAGCTAGGTCTCTTAGTTTTTGGGAGCATGTGTCCAGTGACCCCTCGTAAGCAAGATCCGAAGTTGTGACTAGAAGCTTGGTCGCATGTCCAAGTCACAGATTTGAAGCTTAAGGCTTTGTTCAGTTCCTGGTTGCCTGCGTCCGAACACACCTTACAGCAAACACCTGTGCCATGTCTGCTTACGGGGTCATCGACAGACCGCAAAGGACATCTTATTTGCCTACTACATTATGGGATAATCCCCGAGTAGAGTCAGATCTCGGGACCCAATCTTTCGTGACCATACATCACATCGACCGGGCCGCGGTGGAGCGCGTCCAAACCGGTCTATTCAACTACCTCCACTCCATCTTTACGAATGAAGTCGACAAAGGCTTAACGTATCCACAAGAAGACATCAGCGATCCCGCAGCCTTCGGAGCGTACTTCTTCGGCGGAGACGTGCTCCTCGCCATCGCTGGTAAAGGAGATCCGCCCAAAATTGAGAGCGAGCAGCGCGGGGTGCGGGAGATCGAACAAAGCCTGGAAGGTGCGAGAAATGGGCGGCCATGGGAGGGGTGCGTCGCAGGGTTTTACTATGTCAGTTTCGCGATCCCTAGCCTACATGATCGTGTTCACCCTGATCTCACGACTGTCGAATCGATCGATGTGGTAGGTAAAACCCAACTACCCTGGGCGATCTTCCCATGTGAGTTTTAGTTTTTCGTTGGGCATGGGATTTAGCGGCTTCCAAGGCTTCGGCTTCGGCTTGCAGAGATTAACTAGGCTCCATCTGCTGACATTTCCACCGTAGATCTGTAATGCAGGATTTATGGTGCCCCCTTCCCAACGTGGCAGTGGTTATGGGCGTATCCTCGCTAAATCATATCTGCACTATGCACCAGCGTTGGGATACAAGGCTAGCGTGTTTAACCTAGTGTACAATAATAACGCCGCGAGCGTCAAGTGAGCCTTGATGATTTTCGTTGTGCTTTACTGATTACTTTGATTGCAGGTTGTGGGAGGGACTGAAGTTTACGAAAGCTGGACTTATACCCAAGGCTGGTCGTCTGAAGCGGAAAGGACGGAGAAGGCGAGGAATACGTTGACGCAATCGTGTTCTATAAGAGTTTCGAAGAAACATAGGACAAAGATGATCAGTGATCAGATAACGGACCTAGGACAGATATGTCAACCTGTAGTCATGAACCAAAGTCTAAATGATACTCACAGAGCTCCAATCGATTAATGCAAAGAAGCTTGGACATATGAAGACACCTGAAACGATGATCACGGGGTACCGCTACAACTAAAATCCCAGTTCCAGCCGATCGAGGTATTTAGGGAAACGCCCCAGGATGATGAAATACAGGATATGACAGGTATATGACATACATCTGTTGTGAGTACCGTTTGTGGGCTCCAAGCCTTCCGAGTCGAGTACTAGTGCAATTATGGGCGTCTACTCGAAGGTTTCTAACAGAACGTGGCACCGACAAGTAGGCGTCAAGGATGATGATCGACCCTTGATAAGAAACCCCAAAAGCCCAAACAGCCTCAGAAGTGACGGATTGTGGGGAAGATGCGATGTCATCATAGGTCAGCTGGTGTGTCCAGTGTGTCAAATATGACATTGAAAAGGGGAGTGCCGAGCCCTGTGACGGGTGCCAATCATTATATGGTACTGGTGACGGCGAGTGCAACGCGATGCAAACGTGTGATAATAAAGGGTACATGGACGGATCGGATGATTTTCAGAAGAGGAACTTGGAGTCTAGGGTTATCCGGTGCTAGAGGTCCGGTATCGATGCTGTGTCGATTCTCGATAGGGGGGTATATGGGATACTGGATTTGCAAGGGTGGAGCGAAAGATAGTGCGTAGAGCCTCTTGTTCTCACCAGCAGCGACCCGTGTATGAAAGTGAAGAGGCAATGGACCCTGCCGAAACCTATGTTCGTTCACAGAACATCATGGAGCTAATTCCCCACACTCCATCGCTGCAGCAGTCCATCAGAGGGCCTAATTTAAAAATAGTGACTGTGAATGCTGATGCATCACGCATGGCAGTATTGCCTGGCAGATGTCATCTGCAGTGAGTACTTGAGATTACAATGTCCACAGCATATGAATAGTAACGCCCTCCAGTGGGTTTATCGTTATGCCCCGGTGAGCATAAAATTCTTGTGCGCACAGAATGATACTAGCGCCATCCATTATTATTCGGCTTAAGATGTGAAGGCCGCGGAGGAAATGGTGATATGATCACATTCCAGACCGCAACTGAAAGGCTCCTAATGGCAAATGCATCCACCATCTTGATTGTGCTGCAGTTTAGGGAACTACTAGGCAACAGCCAAAAACAGTCCATGCATCGCGACATTTACAGGCAAAGCCATGAACGCCGTGTCGTTACTCTGCGCACCGAGACCTCATGTCTGTTGGGCATGAAACTGTAACAGGTCAAACAGAAGATCGCATAGCATACGGGATACTCGTGTAATGTGCCCCTTCGACACCACTTATGATCTATCAGAAAACTTAACTTTACCATTCGTAAGAGTGACTCTGTCAAATAATGAACTCACATTGTCGGCATGCACGCCACCCTGTGGAGAAGGCCGCACCAAGGGTTACCAAATCAACGACATGAGGCTACAGCATGGTTCGACCCCTGGTCTTTGAAGACCAATATTACAATCGGATCGTTCTTTTTTCTTTTGTGGCAAGATTAGCCTTGCGATCTGCAAGATATTGCCACCACCAGGTCAAAGCGCGGGCGCATCAAAACTTGGACTGGGACAATGGCCGCGCCTGCCATGACAATACAGTTTCAAAATGTGACTCGAATCTCAGAACCCAGAGCTCGTTCGTTAGATGAGCCGTAACGAGCGACTTCTGCGACTTATCTCGGCTAGACAAGAAGCTTTAATTGACTTCTTATGGGCCGATTAGCAGAACTGCATGTGGGGGGCACGCGCGCGGTGCCCTGTTGATAAGCACTGTCTGTCCATTGTTAGCTGGGCAAACCTGCATTCCCAAGTCTACTTGACTGTCTCGGCGAAATGGAGGGGAGATGGATATCCAAATTCCAGACCGCCGCAGCGCTTATAGCAAAAGGCTTAAAGCCGGAGATAGCGACCTGAGTCGCTTTGCTATAAACGGCTGCAGAACGCGAGAAGGTATCCTCCCCCCCAAAAAAAAACACGTGTACAGCCCCGGGTATATGAACGTTTTTCCATCGGAAAGGTCTGATAGAACTTTGTATTTCTAGCGCCCAAGTTTCAGATAAGGCAGTAGACCAAACCTGGATTGGTGCGATGTGTGTGGCGCTAGGCTCTTTGTGCCATACTTATAACGTTGAACAAGGGACAGGCGTGCATGCAAATCACTGGGTGCTTGTCCAGCTGTAGAATCCTGAACTGGTATCATCGGTTCCGGTGTAAACGTTATTTTTTTCCGTACAGCTGCTGGCAGTATAACGAAAGTTGATCATAATCGATCATCGTACGAGCGCATGGAAGCGATCTCTCGCTTGTCCTTTCCAGGTACCTCGAGGCAGGGCTCTCAATTCCCATCAATTTAATCAGTCTCGCATTCATTCCAATATTGCAGAGTGATTGGCATTTTTGATTCTTCAATATACTTGTACATATGCCTAATGAAATACTGTAATGCGCTATTGACACAACATATGATGATTTAATGCAGTAGTTGAAGCACGGTCCCAGAACAACCTCGGGCCCAGTAATGATGGTGCAGGGTATAGATAGTCCTGGTAAATAACACACCGCCACCGACCCATGGTGACCGACAGCGATGAAAATGTATATGTTAAACGGCGTCATCAAGACGGGCAAAAATGAGTGTAAAAGTGGTGGTAAAAGAAATGCAACAAAAACCACAATGCACTCAATCAGCCGCCTTCACCAGACAGCCGGCGATGCGAAAGCAAACATCTTGTGTTTCGATGGCGGCGGTACCGGCACAGGCTCGTGTTTTGGAATACCGGGAGATGATGAAGCCGAAACGATCCGAGCAGTACAATCCTCCATACACGGGGGTGTTGGCGGTGATGCCGTTGACGCCGGAGACGTCGATGTTGAATAACTGGGTGATGGCGTATCCGGCGTTGTGGGCGGAGTAATATAGGACGAATTGGGCGGAGGGAAGGCGGGCTTTGGTGGTGATGGATAGCGATGGCCATATGATGGCGTGGGAGCCAAAGCGGCTGGAGGAGGCGGGAAGGGATTTGTGGTAGGTGGAGGCGTGGTCTTGGAGGAGGAAGGAAGAATGTAAGTCGGATAAGGTCCTTGACCTGCAAAATCTTTCTTGACCATGTCCTCGAACTCCCTAAGCGTTACCGGATCGACATTGAGTTCCCACTCCAGATACTGACACATCTCACGCTCCATCTGATTGATTTCACGCAATTGGAACATGCCCTGGGCCACGATACTCCAGGATTTGTTGGAGTAAGTGTCGTCACAAATGACCTTTGACGCAAGCATAAATGCGGATACGAACAGACGGTGACCCGAAGATCCCCGAGCAGTGGGAAAGCGCGCTTTGAGTCGCTGGAGAAGGACGAGGGCGGCGAAGGTGACAGATGAATGAAGTTTTGTGCGGTGAAGAGCATAGGCAATGAAGTGAGGAAGCTTCACTTGTGAATTGGAAGACGACGGGGGGTACTCTGGACAGGCAAAAAGATGCGTTATGAAACGGGCACATAGACGGGAAACCTGTTCATGACCATAAAATGGGTCAGAATGTCTTGTCGTAGGTTGGGTAGACTGAGGTTTAGGTGGTGCCTGTGCGTATGATTAAGGATATGGATGTGATGAGCGGCTACTAAAAACTGACCGATGGTGCAGGGTGGTAGCCCATTCTTGAATGAGGAACACTCTGAGTATTCCGAAATGGGGAAGGGTGGGTAGGTATTATAGGACCATGAACGGCAGCCATAGTGATGGATGATGTGAGTGGAACGGGCGGCGTGGTGTCGCGAAGGTAATCTGAAGGTACGAGTGTCAGAGTTTGGGAGTTTAGTTAGAACGGGACAGGAAAGAATGACGGGGTATATAAGAATAAGGGCAGTGTGAAAGCAAAGAAGGAAAATGAATGAATGGAACCAAAACCATGAGCCTGGGATTACGAAGATAGGTTTAGCAACGGCAAGGTCTGCACCCCTTCCAATGCAATAGACACCGTTGCAACGAGGCAATATATAAAATATTATTAAAAATATTACATAATACATTGACCAGGAACAATGGAAAATGGAGTCTGCACTTACTGCGTGCTAAAGGGCCGAATCTTTATGTTTCGCTAATTTGCCTCGAGGAGTAATAGAAGCTCGATTGATCAGAGAGGTTGCCGCTTTATGAAAGCTGCGCAAAGATGAGGGCAATGAGCTCGAGCTAGAGCCAGAGAGAGAGAGAAGTGTGTGTGGAAATTTTAAAGATTTCAATCACTCCGTATATATATCAAGGACAGTGTCACTGTGGGCGTCTTTCAACGAATGATCTGATGACACCTGAATGGCCCGCTTGACTACATCGGCCCTTGGAAGGTCATCGGTTCGCCCTGCCGCTGTCCGAACTGGTTTGCTAAGCCCTTCTAGGCCACACTGTGGCTATGCTTCCTGCCCTCGTTTGTTCCGACATCACAGCACCACAGTACAATGTTCCAGTTCCTCCTAGACTCTCGTCTGCGACAAACACGGCTCAACGCTCACTATTGACATTACTTAGGTACCATACCGCACGGCTTTAAGGATATTCGATCAGCCTCAATAAATTTTCGCTGTCCTTTCCGGTTAACTCAGTTCTTGTCCCGACATGCCCACTACTACGTTGATTCATGTACTACTCCATGATCCGGATGAGAGAAGCTCACCATTCCTTGAGATGCGAAAGCTTTACCCCTAGCGGACTCTAGATCCGCGCAAGGCAGTGTTCAGAACCAATGTCTCTCTAGCAGCCTTTCCGATACCTCCCTTCCGAACCCATACAATACGCATGTTACGAGTACGTAACTCGATAGAACTCATGTCGCTCACATGCTAAAAGACTTAATCGCTGCCGCAGATTTCACGTCAACGAAGCCTTTTTACTTATCTTCGAACACACACCCCCCACGGTGTACAGTTTTAAAACTCAGATCAGCGTGACGGCGCGCGTCGGTTCACTTAACCATAACCCCATGGCGATATACATAGCGTTCCGTGTGAGTATCACGCCACGCTTTGACTCAATCCCCCTTGGGCTTCGGTGCTTGCGGCGATAAAGGCTACTGCAGTGCAACTCGCGGCCGTTTCATAATCGACCGTGTCGGCGTCATGTGATTCCCATTGCGCTAATACGCCAGGCCACTCATCCGTTTAATCCCGACATCACGGAGCGACCAACTGGTCATACTACCTCAATTGCAGTGTCTGTCATGATGTGCCATCAGGGTTGTTCTGTTTGTTACCTTAGTCGATACCACAGCACTTACAGCTGGCCTACAATTATGTGGCATGCAAGTACGAAGTGACTCTGCGTACATGGGAATTCCGCCTATCAAGGATGATCATTTCCTTAGCTTATTAAATGAGCTGCTATCTATTCGCACAAGAGTCATGATAGGCGGTGTTGGACGGTCCGGGAAACGATGGCGTTCTCGGACATCCGTCCTGCTAAATCTGACACACGTGGATTGCTTATCAGGCAGAGCGCTGAGAAAACGTAATTCGGAAATACCATTCTCAGCGACTGCCCCTACTACCAGCTGTGGTACCTACATATGCTCATCTTTTGTGCACAAGCGCGGTGATCCACAGAATCCACTCGAATAGGCTTCATATCTCCGCTGTGCTTGATGGGAGCTGAATGTGACAAGTATAACTGGATTCTAGGAGGCCGTTTGAGCTGGGGCTCAGCATCGAACAGCATGGCGCATAGTGGAGTATTTACTTCTTCCGCAGTTGCTGTTCATCCTTGCTCCTATAGATCTTTCTTTACCAGACATGCGAGTGGAGATTATTGAAACAGCCTAGTACCTCCAGCGGAAATCTCGGGCCTGGACGCTCCACGTGTATTTCATTCCGAGTATATTTTCCCCACTCGCCCCACAAAAGGCGGCCGATAAATATGCTTACTCCGACACTACTTAGCCTTCGACTCTTCAAGTTCCATCCCCGACCCCGAAATTGAACTTGTTGATACAACGAGGCGTGTTCAAGGACTGTACAAATTATCTCATCATCTTCATTATGCTGTGCCAGTGCTCTCACAGGAACGAAAGTGCGCAACTTTTTTTTCGTGTTTTTTTTTTCTTCTTCGTTTTCCGAGAAATCTTTTTGACGTAAGATATAGTTATCGGCGGCGTAGCAAGCGCGTTGGCAGGTCGGGCATTGGGCCGCGCCTGTGCCTCGCTATTCAGGATACCCACGATAAGCCCATCATGATCATGGTATCTATTATTCAGAACTTCAAGTGCGTTATGAGCATCTCTGGGATCCCTACTTTGACCCTGTAATAAGCGGTCCTGCACCTGAGCCACTCGATGGTCAGGTATTGATCGTGGTATATGTGCTTGTGCCAGGCTAGCAATCGCCGGAGTACGTTTTCTAGGCCCAACATATGTTGCGAGGTCCCTTGTATGTAAATTTAAACATACACGTTCTGCGAACCGACTCAACCCTGGGATACCATCAATATGATCGCTCGCGAACAATGGCGAACCACCGGAAGTAAAGCCGATACGGTAGCGCTCAAGGCTGAACTCAAACATCAATACCACAGTATTCCTTGACTCGACTGTCAACTCGAAACTTGCATAGTACACATGCGTTGAACGTTAGCGTCCTGTGCGAGTTTCAACTTGATAGATGTGATGGGTATAGAACACAGGAACATATCCAAGTAAGCGTTTTGAAGGATTACTAGTACATGCTACAATCATATGGTCCCTTACGCCGCCTTCGATTAATTGTGGCGCACGTAGTAAAATTTTATGCATCCGAGTCATTCAAGGTCGAGATCATGCCGTTTTGGGGCGAGTTGGTGGGCGTTCTTGATTTCCCAGGTACTTCAACGGGTACCTGTGTATCTCACTTACCTTCCAATTGTCAACAAGGCGCGCACTTGTCATGATGCGCCCGTTCCAAGTTGGCGTGTTCACGTATTGTTCGAACTTCTCTAATGCTGTGCGTTTTAAATAACGTTGAATCTGTTGATATATCGATAAAGTTTGGTCGATTTCCTGTGAGTCGTTTGTCTCAGCTAGTGGGAGATTGCTGCTGTGGTTTTTTTGTCGCTTGTTCGTCGTTCGGGACTGTATTGTGTTACAATTGAAGGGTTTAGCGAACGGGATTGAACGGGAATGATGAGAACTTGATGTCAAAGGTGATGCTGATTCAGGACGAGACTACAAATTTAAAACGTGAATATCAACGGCCGGAACTAATCGAATGCTCCGAGTACAAAGCCCAACGAAACCGAACAACGTCCTCCATTTCAAACCTCATTCTACTCTCTATTTAGGACCACCGTGCCTCCTGGTTCATCTCCATGGACAGGAGTCACATGAAGCACAGAGGCTAGCAGACTTTGCAACGTGCAGCTCTGCCTATCTCCATGGCTGGCTGCCAGATTGGCAGTGAGTGCTATATCAACTTATCATATTCATTCCGTTGTTGGCGGCTTTCATGCTTCTTCGACCGGTGTATATAGTAAACCAAGAACCGGTGTGCTATGTGTAAGCCCTGCATTACAATTCGAAAAGACATGCTACGACAATAAGAATTATCCTAGCCCTGTTTTTTGAGTCGTTTCATTCGTAGCTATTAGCAGCTGCTGCCGCGTCAGCGCCCATCAACTTGTTCTAACGTTCCGCTAGCCATAAACGTGTCCTGTGGCACGCCAGCCGTGAACATCGCATCGTCAGAACCATTCATTAAGATTGCCTTGAAAGCACTTTTTCGATTTGTTTCGGAGTGCCGCTCAACTTGGTGTCATCCCGCTACGCCACACGAATATGCTTGCGATCTCCTCGGGAACGTAGTAATACTAATTGGATGGCAGCGGCACCCGCAACGCGCCCTCATTTCATTCTCCGTCTTGATAACCCAACGAACTATAGAGCACAGTATCGATGGCCACTTTCTAAAAAGCCAGGTTTTCTGATCGAAATGAAGGTTTGGCGAACAGAGTTCAAGCCTCTGATGATGTTGGCCGTCGTAACGGTATCTCAGCGAGTCATTGGTGGAAAAACCTGCCAAAGATCAAGATCCTATTGATGCTCGTAAAAGTCTCCCATGTTTATTTGTCAAAGGTTTATCTTGTGCTTGTTTTTCAAAAAGCCGGTGCTGACGTCAAGTAGTATTGTTCGAATCACAAGCAGTGTTTTATTGAGACGTACATCAATTTCTGCATCTTGTGAACCAGAATATCTTTATTTCGCCTTAACGAGTCACATGCGCTTCCCTTTGTAAGGGTCGAAATCCGCCGAGAGCGCTGAAGGGTGGTGGATTCCGTGGTGGTAGAAGTTTCAAATTTATCCCTGACCACATCGGCCTCCACATCTTATCCTGCCTCTTCGAAGGACAATGAGTTAGGCTGCGGGTGATCTTCTACGAACTGACTCGGCTGTTCCGAACTCGTTGGTTAATTCAACTTTATTGCCTCTCGTTCTACAAATATTTCAGGGTGGTAAGAGTAGGGAAATAGAAGATACCTAGAAACGCAATCCAAACGTAACAGCACGCCCACTGATCTCCACAAGAGGCATCAAAGGTGGGAAACCCTTCCTGTCCACGCGTCCGAGTATAGAATAGCGTTAGAGACAAATCATGGCTTGCCTGCTAGCACGGATATGACCTCAGGGATCACCATCATAGCCTGAACGTTTGATGGATTTTAACGACGCCAGAAACATAATACTGTATTAAGTACTTACTGAATTGCCCTTCCAAACAGCTGGAAATCATGAGGTATCGCAAAAGGAAACGTTGACCACGTTGTAGGGTACGAGGGTTCAAGTCGGCGGCACCGAAGGACCCCATGATGCTACAAAATTCAGGCCTTCTTTTGATCGGCCGAATGAAAAACCAGCGTCTGATCCGTCATGCGAGTCTTGCTAGCCGAAAGAGGGATGTTGATAAAGCAGTTTACCCTTGAAGAACCTGATTTGCTACGTACCTGGACTTTCAGCTGATCGCGAGGCTTCAAGCCGAGGAGCACTGCGTGATAACGCTCGTGCAAGGCTCGGGCCGCCTGCATGGGATTGAACGAGTTTAATCGTTGTATCTTGCATTCAAATCCTAATCGGATGCCTGCACGTTATCCGCGGATCGACATCCTCCAATAGCAACCCACGAAGGTGGCACATACAAATTAGTAGAATGGTCAGAACTTCTTCACAGACTCAGCTACCTGAATCAAAGCGGTCAAAGCATGCAGGTTAGACTGATCGTATCTGATCGTGCAGAGTTTTGGCGAAATCAACTTACGAGGCTGGAGACGGTATGTGCAGACACGTGGGCGTCTCGAGTCGTGTATTTACGCGAAGTACGTCGGTTGCCGTGTTTTTTAATCGTGCTTACTCAATTGTTGGCCGTTTCTCCCCGTGTCCTTCTCCCGAACTCTCAGATCTATCTGAGACTATCTAATACAACTTCGGAAAGTCGGAAAGTCTGCCGATTCTATGCTGGTTCGTGTACGCTTAGACTGTTCAACACAGAATCACAAGAAAAGACTGGAAACGTGTGCTGAGCCTCCCCGACCCTTGTGAGTTTAGGTGTTCCACAAGGCTTCACTAGTCTCAGATGATGATCTTCCTTCCGCAATGCCGTGTCCTAAAGATGGCCCGTTTAGAAAGGCGCAAGAGGCAATGTTATGCCAAATCATATGTGCTCCATTCTCAGCGCAGCATCACTCAGGAGCAGTATTTTCCGTCTATTGAGTTTGCAGAGCCTTCCATCTCAGGCTACGGTGCGGAGTCGCTGCGGACCGAATTCAAATAGGCATCGGCAGAAGATTCCGCTGCTATAGGCAAGAATTCGTCGTTTGTAATTCTACATGAGTGTTTGCGGCGAGTATTCGGGAATATGGTTCAGTCGCTACAGCCATGTGTGACAGCGCAATGTCGCACTTTCATACAAGTAACTGATCTGGGACTGCGGAAGATAGATATACCAGCTATCCCTTCATTTGGGCGTATCATGCGCCAAACAGTTTTTTTTAGCGGTTTGGCACGTTGGTTTGAAGGAGTATCTCAAAACGTGCGTACTGCCAATCCGAATCGTGGTCGGTTCGTGTTCATTTGGAATCCCTACTTACGTCGAACTCATTACAGATCTTAATGATGACTTGAGAATGAGGCAAGAGGACATCAATTACACCCTTGATAACGATGGTAGTGATGAAACTGTGAACGTAATGGACTAAATGCATGCCCGACATCATCAAAGGTCAAACAGATGCTTGTTTCATGGTAGAAAAGTAAGTATGCACTTCCGAACATACTGCGGGTACAGCTTTGCTGATGTTCTCATATTTCTTTAATGTATCATTGTAGTGAGGACGGTATTCAATGCTATGTGTTCACCTCTACGACAGGCGTGGTCTTTTCTGATGCGCCCGCCGGACCTTAATTATGTTTGTTTTCGGCCGCGGTTTATTTAGGAGTTCAATTGGTTCACGGACTCTGGGTGTGTTACAAAGACAGGATCTCCGTGAAGGTATTTCCTACACTGCCTCTTCATGTCTAGAATGATACATCATTGATTATCTCAGAGGACCCTGCACGGCGAAAGTCCCCGAAAACACAGCGTTGATTTGACGTGGGGGACGCATGTTATTTTATATGGAAGGGATAAATCGCTGCTTTTTTATACCTAGCCGTGAGCCTCCCTCGCTTGTTTTGTCACCCGCAGTACTGAGTGCTCCCACTACGCCAGCAGCGGGAGAGGCCCTTCAGCTTTCTGCATGCATGTGGCTAGTCTCTACCCGCCGTTTGCATCAGGGGCAGGCACTGCGACTGTCTTGGCCTTCATTTTCATTCTAACTTTCCACGGCACCCACTACATCACATTTTTACCTACGATTTGTGGCCGTCAACATGCCTACAATCTGCGGCCGCCGCCAAAGTCGACAGACACAGCCCCGGTGTGTTGCACTCATGTCAATGCTCTTATGGTGAGATTACAGACACGGTGTGCGGGAGTCAGTACTGTGAAACACTAGGGGCTTAGCTTGTTCGGCGATGTCGTTTTCTCTCCCTATGAACTCATAGACGGTAGAACATGACATGGCGGAGCCCGGCCTTGGTGGATCCCCTCTTTGCAGAAAATGACGTAGCCGAAGAAGGCGGTGTAGCAATACCGTCATCGGCTCATTTCCAGACAGGTTTGAGTTAGTTCGCGTACCTTGCACGCTAACTAAAACATTCTTTGTCGGAGTGCTGAGTTTGTTCTTTTTTCCCCGCATGGTACGACCAGTAGTAGCAGTGCCGGTAGTGTTGCCGCGAAGTGAGCTGAACTGAAACGAAGTGAGTTCGGTCACACCTCGTCAAACGAACTGAACTAAAAGAAAGCCGGCTATGACACCAGCTAATCAGGTGTTCGAGTACTCGAGATTCAAGAGGACGGTTGATCCATGGCTTACTGTTTGTATTTTTTATTCCATGAAAAATGGACAAGGAGTGCTTGCGGCGCCAAAACACAGCTCAGAGTTTGGACTCCAAACCAGCCTTATGTGCGTCACGTGAGAACGTTGACGTTAGTTGATCTCGGAGAAATTTGGCAGGCGAAGCGCGGAGCTTAAGAGTTTTAGCAGGCGCCGTGTTGTACACATGCGCATTGTACAGACACTAGTCGGTTTAGCTGCATTTTTATGTCCAAATCATGAGCTTTAACATCGGTTCTATATTGCCCATATCCACATTGCTTTGAATGCTTTCGAAAACTTTCCAACGGACGTTACGAACACGCTTCGAACACAAGGCTCTCATATCTTTGTTTGCAGGAAGACATGTCATCCTTCGAACTGCAATGGGCTCCGGATAGATGTTCTGCACGATTTTACCATTGCTTCTCTCCTCAGACAAGATGGCTATCACAGTTACACCTCTACAATTGCCTCAGAAAGATCGTGTACACTGAATATTTGAATATCATTGTTGTCGCGTGAAATTTGTGCTTTTGGATTACAGGTCAAGGAATTCGAGGAATATGGGATTCGTTCGATCGCAATCAATCACGACACTCCTCACGACAAGACACTCTGGAGTGTACGCAAGAGAGTTGTCTGTCGGGCAGCATTCTTATAATCTTCTATGCAGTGTCTCCAAAGGAAGTTTTCGTAACCTGCTTGAGGGGCCAACTTGTTGCACCAGAGCAATTTTTTCGAGATGGTGGACACATTCCGTGACGGTGCAAAGCAAGAAAGATCATTATGTTACTCTATGCAGTGCGTGAAAGCTTCTGTATGCTTGACAGTCGACAGTAGGCTGGTCACGAGCCTAACCAGTAGTACCGTCCAGATTTGTTGTCGACCTTCTCACCACGATTACAATCGTCAACTATGAAGGACGAGAAAGGGCGTCCGGTAAGTGCAGCGGCAAGCATCGTGCAATCGTGAATGATTGTCTATGATCGATAGTTATCTCAGTACAGGCTGTACAACTGACTGTGTTCCACTCTATTGCAGTTTCTCTGAGTTGATCGAGATAGAGTTATCATTCGTTGTGATCCTTTTGGCGTTCTGCCGCGTTCTGCCCAAAGAGTTCTGCCATCTGCCGGGCAGAGCCAGAACCAGTTTGGCAAAACTGGCTGGCAGAATGATGGACTTCTACTCATAACACCAAGTGCATGCCAATAATGAGAATCAATTTCTTGCAGGGTCACTGCAGGTTCATATGATGAGGCGATGGGGAGAAATTGGGATGAGAGACCGGTGATTCGAGCGAACGTTCTGTAATAACCATTCTGCCAAAAAGATAAGAGTCGTGCCCATAAGTGTTTGCAGGATATAAAAGCTGACCGTCGTCCTACAGTGTTTCCCCATCCTTAGAGATATCATTCAAAATCCCGCTCAGACGATTGCACATAACCTCGCACAGAAAATGCGTTTTGCCCTCCTGGCTGTTGTTGTTGCTTCGACAGTATCTTTGACAGTGTCTATGTCTGTCATTGGATGTGTGGCGTCTGATCAACCTTGCCTAACTAATGACGAATGTTGCAGTTCAGATCGTCTCACGGTGAGTATGAACATGTCGGTATGCAACCGAAATTCAACCACACGACTCACCCCTGCGACTTAGACTCCTAGGGACGATAGAATCTGCCGGTGACATGGTTGAAAGTCGAGTCAGCCCAAAGGGCACGTCGCGACAGTGAGTTTCTTTCTTCGCTTTGGTACTAATCGTTGAAACTGGACATTTTGAAATCTACTCAAACAGATGTAAATATACGCAAAGCTACTTCGTACCCAGACTCCAAACCAGTCGGTGGTGTGACTAGATGTCCACGGGAGTTCGCGCATTTTTGGCAAAACAGTTATTACTCCACATCGCACAAACAAACAAAATCAATTCTTTGACAGTTCGATAGCGTGACATCGAAAGTACAACGTCTGCTAGTTTCTTTTTCGAAAATCGTCGTGTTGAGTCCAGCGGAGAGTTACCGCGCAGAAAAGTGCATTTTCCCTAGAGTTCGTGCACTTCGTCACAATATGTCACACGTCTGCCGCAATGCCTTTTCACGCTCCGCAGAATCCGCACCGTTTGTGTTGTGAAGTCGTGCATATTTCGGCATTGCGGAGTTTTGATTACATAGTCTCTATGTAACGCTTTGGGCAGGGGGCTTATTTCTTTCATCGCAGATGATCCTGACAAGCATGTGCTCTGGATAAATTTGTTCTACATATGTATATTTCAAAGTTTGTTCATGTTTTGGGATCGGGAGGCTGGCCCAATCAAGACAATTGCTTAGTCATGTTTGAGACAGTAGCGGGAGTTTGCTGGAGTCGCCGTCTTCGTCGTTGACATACTCATTCCATCATGCCTTTCGGTCTTATCATCGGAACTGACCGTGCAACTGCTCTACAAGTATGTATTTCTCATATATTACTTTCTTTCCATCCCAGACTCATTTTTTTTCGTGTAGAAATCCATTCAGGATGAACTCACGGCTCGCAGTTTCAGTCCCGATGCTGGTAAGCGCTAAGTCTCATTTACTACTAGGTCCTCGACACTCACCACTGGAACAGATCCTGTCATGGCGGAATATATTACCATTATGATTATAAACAATAAAACTTCAGGTTTGTGGTATCGAGAACTTCTTTGCTAACACTGGCTTATCGCGTTGTACAGCACAAATAACTTCGGAGCTCATGGATTGTGAGTGGCGTTTTGCGTTCCAAATCTCATTACTGACTACGTTTCCAGTAATTGGCCCAGAATTTGGTATGGTCTTTAGTGCTCTGCGCGTTGTGCTTTGTTGACAATACCACCAGATCCCAGTTTCACAGACTGGCTCTTCGCTGAAGCTGCCAAAGGCGCGCCGGAATCTGAAGCACCATCCGTTGCATCTTCAACACCTGTAGAACTACCTAATGAATCAAAACCTATCACCCACCCTCCCTCCAGCGACCCTGCGCGTCGCCCACCTAATGGTCCTCGAGCAGGAGCACCACTGTATCAACAAGCCATCTCTTCCACTCTTGCTTCGACATCTCAAAAGCGTCTCCGCTCTCCCTCACCATCTAATCATCCAGCAAAGTCCCGACGCACAGACGTACCTACCGGTCCCAGGGCTATGCAGAACCCAGCACCCGCACAACGTAGTCTTCTTGACCGCGTCGGCGGTCCAGGACCTGGTGCACGTTTCCAAGGTGGGAGAGATGAAGTGCAAGCACGTATTGACAACATCACAAATGCCTCGCCCGACCCAAGCGCGATGATGAGCTTCCCGAATGGTATGGGGATGCCCGAAATGGCTGTAGGCATGGGAATGCAGGCCAATCCGTTAATGCTACAAGAAATGATGTTAAGTCAAATGGCTCTTATGGCGCAGATGGCGAACTCGATGGGCATGCTTAACCCAGGTATGGGTATGCCTGGGTTCAACCCAATGCAGCAGGGTGGAGATACAGCGATGTTCAACGGTGGCGCAAGTGTAAATGGACATAGCTTCCAGCAGAATGGGGTGAATGGTAGAGGTCGGGGTGGAGCAAGAGGAGGCCGGGGGCGAGGAGGTTCACGGGGCGGGCACGTAGGCTCATCGCCTGCTCCACCATCCATCGAGGAAGTGCCTACACCTGTGTCAATTCCTACTTCGGTAATCGCTGAACCCGCACAGCCCATACCAATAGCAGCGCCCATTCCGCTTCCCGCAAGCGCTGTGTCATCCAATGCACCTCTCAAACCAGCGTACGCCCTCCCCGAACGCCCGCAGTCACCCACATTATGTAAATTCGGAATCAAGTGCACTAACTCGCAGTGCCGGTATTCCCACCCATCTCCTGTCGCTACTGCTGAGAGCGGCGTCGTACTAAGCACCGAGGCATGTGAAAAGGGCAAGGATTGCAAAGACAAGGACTGTATCAAGTCGCATGTCAGCCCTGCTGTCAAAAACCCTGGTATGATGGTTCTTTATTTTTTTTATGAAAGTAGCACGAGCTTACCCAGTAATAGTCGCAGGCGCAACTCACACGTCAATCCCACCCACTACAACTACAACTGGGCCTCCTCAGCACACTGTTGCATGTCGTTTCGGTGGTGCTTGCACACGTCCAAACTGCCCGTATACGCATCCTCCAAAGACAAATCACTTCGCGCAACAATGTCGCTTCGGTGCAGGTTGCACGCGCGCATCTTGCCCCTTCCAACACCCAGAGGGGCGGGTTCTCCCGTCTACGTTTCACCGTGGCCTGTCGACGACTGCACCCCTTGTAAACATACAAGCGCCAGAGACGGGGAGCATGGGCGCTCAAAGTCATCACAGAAGCGTCACATTTAACAAGCCTCAGGATGTGAAGGAGAAACTAAAGGACATCGAGAAGCAGAAGGAGGCTGCGAAAAGAGCGATTGACGAGGCCAAGGCTGCCGGAGGGAAGAAGGAAGAGACGAACGGAGTACCAATCGCTGTATGACCGGAGGAAATTTCACCCGATTGTCCTTTATTTAGATGGGGGCGCTGAACGAAACGTTCTGCAGCAGCTGCTCTTTTCCTGCTCTTCATTGAAAGTAACTCGGACACGACCTGCGACTTCTTTTATTATTTTATCGTGGCACTCATGTAGTATTTGCGTTGTTTTTTTATATCTGTGTCTACTACTCGCTAGGTACTGCCGTTCTCGAACTTCGAAAGCGCTTATTTTGCCTGGTCCTTTGAACATTTTGTCAGTAACGCTATATTCGTGACCGTCAGGGAGAGCTACAGAGTGCTCTGTAGCACGACCCACCAGTACCCCACTGCAGTCAGTGACGGTCCACCATTTCGTGAGTTTTATCTACAGCACCCAATTGTAAAGTAATTGCTAAAATTTTGACTTGGTATGTTTCTATATACTATGCTAGCATATTCCATATGTATTCTAAGTACGAATGAAACAAAACAAATCCATTGAGAAATCTGAGTTCTCAGTGTGACAGCAGCACGATTTGGTGACAGGTGACTAGTATGGAAAGCCGGACGCGCGCGCTCATTATTAAGCGTCACACATCCATAACGGGCAATAGGACTCCATGTACCGCCATTCAAGAATACTAGAATATATACACGAAATATATACAATGAGAAACATCACCATTCATCTACCATTTCATCATCACTTTCGCAATCTGAGAACTCCCAAACCACCAAGCCAGCATGATCAAGACCGACCAAATTTTCATCAGCCCCAAGTGGGATGTCAGGCTCATCATTAGACTAAAGGATATCTAGCTGATGAAGGTGCTCAGTATCTAACAAATATCTAAATTAGTGTTTGCACTGTCAGAATCAGAGACGACGAACCAAGGCCAAGGCCTCCACCCACACCACCCATGTAATAGGCACCATTGGCCTCCTCATGAGAAGGTAAGTCTTCATAGTTTTCTAAAAGTGCAATGGAATCTTCAGTCTTCACTGCCCAACAGCTGAATTTGGTTTGGTAATGCATCGGCCACCCAGAGGGCATCTAGTAAGAGCTGATATATGTCCCAGGCTGATTGCTGTGTGACAGCTGGGCAGCTGAGATCGTCGTAACAATGTTGGATGCATTTTCCGAAAGCCTCTGGAACCAGGTCGAATACAGAATGAGAAGACTTGATGTAAAGGCTTCGGACATGATCTAGGGCCTCATGTTCGATTTTAATCTATGATAGTGCTGGTATTAGATTATTATTGACAATAAACATAACACTTACCTTGAAATCCAAGGCGCCAAAGTCTTCAGCTGAATGGTAGATGAGGTTGGGTACTCCATGAGGAAGAATCTAGAAGGACATCAGCACAAAAAATACTTCTAAAAGCGACACATACTTTATTGCGGTCACGCCGCTTGGCAGTATTGTTAACACGGTCCTGGTATGCATTCAGCTCCTGCTGAAGCCATGGTATAAAAACCCAACAGAAAACCATCCTGCAAATGAATGTTATACCTAACACTTAAAGAGGAGGAAAATGACGCACACTTGAAGGGTATTATTTGAATCGTACCAACCAGAATTGACCCCATAATCTAGAAGACTCGAAACCAGGTGTGAAGCGGCGGTGCAGTTGAGACCATGCTATCTCTGGCATGACATTCTTCTTTATTCAGCATCCAACGATGTTGGAGCAGTACCATGTAAGGCTGCGTCGTACCACTGTCGCAGCATAGTATGGGCATTTGCAATGCCATAATTTTCAGACCCTGGGTCACTCTGAGTAACCATCAGCATATCTAAATTTTGTATCAATCTATGTTTATCCTTCAAAGGATGAAACACTTACGTCCAAGAGCCTCGATCGTGTCGAGGTAGTAACTCAGAATAAGCTGCGGATTCCGGTTAGAATGCCAGACCTGGATCCACATTATTCGACCTGAGAAAGGCTCGATGCCAGTGTGCAAACCAAGACCAAACTGAAGCCACTTATTGTGCTGATTGACTGCAAATAAATCATTCACACCTGCTGCCTAGAAGCATCTCCTTCGAAGGCAACAGGCCTTCCTCTGATGAACCAGTTCCTGGTTCATATAAAGCAAAGTACTCTGTCATGACCCTCCTAGTAGGATATGAAACTTGTGGGTCAGCAATCAGTAGTTACAATGTATAGATAAACATATCACCTGGCAACACTCATTTCCCTTTCATGATATAGCAAGCTTACTATTTCGCGTGCTCCAGCATTTGGGTATGTGGTGTGTAAGTCAATCATAGCATTGCGAATGGTTTCGACCGTGTGACCTTGTTGACGGGTTCGTTGAAGACCCATGGTCTTTCGAACTTTGAGAAGTGTTGTAAGGCTAGTGTATTATCATTAGACCTAAATAACTAGATTTAAATAGAAACATTACCCAATACCATAGTGAGTTGTGTCAATGTGCTTTTGTAATTCCTGGATGATCTGCCGAGCCTTCCAAAGGCGAAGGATATGAGGTGTGATGTCATCCAGTGGTGCTGCTCAGAGTTGAGAATGTTATTAGTGGGACTTGAAAGGTACATATGTGTGGGTTTGTTTTGGTTGGGCATCGGCAGCTGGTAGCTAGGCTTGTGTTGTCACACTTTATATATTAGTTGGGACTTGCTTGACTTACCTCCTTCAGTAGTACCATGCTGCAGTCACATGGGAATTCATGGAATTCATGCCCGAATTCATGCCCGGAGTTTGCCACTCATGCCCCACTCATGCCTCCGAGTCGGCCATTTTCCCAAGTCGAGTTCAGCTACTACCTACCAAGTGTTCTGTAGGTTTGCCACTCATGCCCCACTTGTGCCTCCGAGTCGGCCATTTTCCTAAGTCGAGTTCAGCCACTACCTACCAAGTGTTCTGTAGATGGCACTGGGATTCTCTGTACTCCACTGGCGCCTTGCATATTCTGGAGTGGGGTTCGCAACTACCTACCATGTCACTAACTGAACTTGGAACGTCCTTGTCCACGGTCCAAAGCATTCTTGGGCTGGGCATTCCGAACTTAAGTCTTTCAAATTGCCCCTTAATTACTCTGGAGGTACCGGTTCCTCATGATTCTCTTGATTCTGGACTTACATTGTAAATCAAGCTTGGCATTCTCGGGCTGGGCATTCTGAACTTGACACTTCCAAATTGCCCCTTAGTTGCTCTGGAGGTACCGGTTCCTCATGGCTCTTTTGATTCTCTATTGTAAATCTCATATCTACCGTTTTCTAGTCCTCTGTTTTCCAATCTATGCTTATCCAAACATGTTGCAATGTGTTGCTCATCATCAAGTGCTCATCACCTGCCCAACACACCGGTCCATATATCTCTAGGGTCATCATGTATTTAAGCTGTCTAGCATCCACTTATACCTTCCAAGCACCATGTCAGACTATGAACTTCTCACCCAGTACACAGAGGACTGCCTATGCCAAAGAAGACTGAATTTGCGACCTGTCCGTCTTGCCGGGCTAATATTAGGACTGGTGATCCATGTTTCTATGTGGCGACAATCGAGCCAGGTCAATGCGGGCGCTACGTGTGCGCATCCTGCCACTCACATTATGAGAAGAAAAAAGCTACTACAGCGCTGACCTACTGGTAAGTATCACCGATCTCAATAAGTAAGTTACTGGCTTACAAACTACTGACTCAGGTAGTCGAACCTTGCAATACCGTGTCCCTCCCGATCCACGAACTATACAGCAGTCTGTAAATGCAGCACATAATGTTTGACACCTAATCCACCTCCTGTGGTTGCTGTACCTGGCAGTTCTCGTGCTAGCGGGCCAGATGTTAGGATTCCTACATCGTGGCAAGGCTCGTCGGCAACTCCAGTTATGGGTGCAGGTGCCATCGGATATTCATCAAAACATGCACTTTATGCCACTGAGTGTGACCGGTGGGGGAAAATGGCATATGCTTCATCTCTAGCAGAGACAATTTTGCTTGAAATCACTGTTGTTCATGAAGGTGCCAGAGCTCGCAAGAAATGTGGTATTACTATCAGAGTACATCTACCTTAAGTATGCTGTGGCTTGCTAACACTTCAATTTAGAATATATGTGAGGGTAAGAAGGATGTTGATGCTCAAATTGACAGCTCCTGGGCTCATTGAGCTAGCATTGGAGACCGTTGTCCCAAAGCTACGCAAATTTGGTGGAGAATTTATCTGGTGTGTTGAGGAATTCATAATCCGAGATGCTGCATGGGTGGACCTATCCAATCACCCACCATCAGTCCCATACTTCTACGATCAATGCCTGCAGCCATCTCGCAAAGGCACCGAATCGACCTTCAAGTCTAAGCAATTCATGCTGATGGTCGTTGTCCCAGAGGCTCAGTGGAACAAATATGAAAATTGGTTGGAGCAAATAGTACGTGTTTTTGTCTGCTTACCACTAGTACTAACCATGATTTTGCGGTCCAGGAAGCGGAAGCTACCCGAACAAGATGCACACAATCTAGTGACGTCAGTTGCAACCTGCCTGCATCAGCAACAACAACTTCACTCACCGAGAATGAGCTTTTCTTGCCCTCTGTTACTGGTGACAATTCTGCGTGGCCTGCATCAGCAACAACTTCACTCGCCTGAGAATGAACTTTTCTTGCCCTCTGTGAATGGTGACAATTCTGTGGTGGTCTCTACCAAGCGAACCCACCAGCACGGCTCTAGTGGTCTCAGTGGGGCTTCATCTCCACCTCAGAAGAAGAATTTACCTGTCACAACCCAATAATGAATAAATGCTAGGGCAGAGACTAGGACTCAAACTGAGGATAATCACAACAAGAGGATAAGGAGCAAGGACATCTTGGATTGCTACAATGTAGATACAAGAGGTTTGAACTAAGGAACTTATCGACCAAGACGTGCTACCTATATACAACTATTGAAATGGAGATTGAAACTGAGATACAACTACTAGCCAATCATAAAAAGGAAAAGGGAATTGTACCATAGAACATCGTAGAATATTAAAGAAGTATCACGTGACCATATCTTATCTTATCATATCTAATCTAATCTATTCACAATCAAAGAACTCATCTTCTTCATCAGTCACATCGAAGACACGTGTCATGGGCGCTAAAGGAATCTCTGAACTAGTAGATGCTTTCGGGGTAGGGTTAGGGTTTGAGTTAGGCACTGTGTATTGGCGCTTAGGAAGATTCAAGAAAGAATAATGGTTTGTTAAAGGTACTCGTGACATTACCTATGGTAGTTCTCTGTTCACCTGATTGTGAACAACTCAAAGAAGTCTTGAAGATTGACGGAGGTGCCAACCTAAACGTAAAGCAAGGTATGTACATTCATCGATTTCTCAAATTGTGTCGATGCTTACTAGTATTTCAGTCTTTGGACTACAGAATGAAAGTGTTCAATTCCACCAAATCCCTACACACACCATTACCGACCTCTTGCTAAACGAACAGCATCATTCGTTTTCAGTGGACACAGCCGAGTCATCCATTGGGCAGCTGACTATTGATACATCAACGGAAGGTTTCATTGGAATTGGCAGCTTCAAGACTGCGAATGCCGGATGGCTCACACTTACAGCTCCTCCCAGGACTGGTCTTGGATCAGTCACTTGTCATAAAGTTGTAGTCAAATGTCCATTCTACAAAGTATTTCCAACTGCTGTGGAGGCTGGACATTATAAGGTTGGCCATTATGCGCTCATTGACGAGCTACCCAAGCTATTCAGAGAGGCCAATGTCTTATACTGGTCCAAATCTTTATTAAAGCTCACTTACGACTTTATCGACTGTTCCATTGCATCCTCACCTGAACCTCCAACATTTGTGGTCCCATGTGTTCGATTTGTGGAAGCTGGCCTCGCATTATGCTACAGTCAGGGCGGTAGCAAGCCGGGAACAAAGACAGGGTCAACACGGGCCGCCTTTCTCCTCGAAGAGCTCATTGAGGGTGGTGATGACGAGTTTCTCAAATTCATCCACAATATGGATGCCAATCCATTACTTGATGAATTGGATTATGGCTATGACATGGCAGAATTTTTTGCCTTCATGCAGCATGTCCAATATGTCAAGACCAGCAAGCTAGCTTTCATATCTGATTATCAGGGTGCGTCTCATTCACTGATACATTCAATCTTCAGTTGTAATGACACAATATATTCAGGTAGTACAGTACTACTCACAGATCCTCAGATCTTGACTCATCCATATGTTTTCATTCATTCGGAATACTCAATACTGATGTTCGTGTAGGTCAGTCAGCAATGGAAGTGATATTTTTGGCGAGGGAAATATCGAGGTGGCCATCAGCCAATTTGAAGACCAGCATGCCTGCAATGAGTACTGCAAATGGCCTGGGTTTGGGCTGGAAGCATTTGTTACCGAAGTGAATGACCATGACTCGGAAGTAGGAAATTAGATTGACAGGACATGTACTCAGCGGACTGATATATTATATAATTTTCTTGCGTGTGAGGTGTCCGATGTCCCAATTGTGTGATTACCTTATTTGGTGCATGTCACGTCGTGTAACGGAGCGCGCGCGTCCGGCTTTCCATAGACTAGTACTTACGGTAATCCTCTCTAGTCATGATGCGCCTCCAGAAATTTATATTTACGTCGAATGAGAGTCTGCTTCAAGTTCAAACAGTCATGTACTCTCGTTTTGCCAGTCTCTCACTTTTCGCTTCTCTTCCTAACGCTTTGATACCGACACATGATATACTATTCGCCATCAGATGATATCATTGATCATGATGCAGAAGTACGTGTCAACCACGAGGAACTATGCATGACAGGTGAGCATCATCTCTGATTTGATCTTGAGGCTCCGAGTCAATCGACTGGTGCGATAGTTATTTTTGTTCTGACCGCTGCTGAATATGTTGTATAGCATGAATTAAACTGGGGACGCAAGTTAGCTTCGAGTTCGGGGATAGACGTATGAGCAGGCGTTATTCCTGATTACACATGGCGAGGTATAACCAATACATGACTTGTGAGTGATACAAAGTTATCACGGGATATATCACGACTGAGAGTAAAATATTATGTGTAGATCAAGCTCAAGGTACGAATTGTTTTAAGCGTGATATTTTCGTTTTGCCGCTCTTCCTTTGGTGGCCAATTGCGGCGAAGGCGGGCGATTGGAATGTTCACCTACCTGCTCGTCTTCTGCAGGAGGGGGAACTGTCCCATTCACCTGCCTACGAACTGCCTGTCGTAGCTGCAGCCGACGGCGTTCCAATCCCCTATGCGAGTCCCTGGAAGTTACCATCAACCCAGTTGGAAAAACGAGCTGCGAACGAAATCTCACGCTGCGTCTTTTCCGTCGAAAGACAACGTGGGTGGGCCTGTTGACGGTAGCCTATCAACCAAGTCGTCAGAAACACGAGTAAGTCAATAACAGGGGAGCACATACGTTGGTGTCATAGCCTTCAATACACACTCTGTTTGGATCTGATCCTCCTCGCCTTCTTCGTATATCCAATCTTTCGGCCATTTGGGCGTAATGTCCCTCCAGTGCGCGAAGTATGCTTCTAACCTCACACGGCGCCCCTGCTCGGCGCGTACAACGTGCCGGGCATTCTTCGCCTGCTCTTTCAGCCCCACCGCTCTTTGACGGAGAGCGGCGGCCTGGGTAAGAACACGTTGGTCGTCAGCTGTAATCTGCTTCATGATGTTCACGGCCCGGTTGAGCATCTGTGGTTCTTCTGGAGGAGGCGTTCCTGCACGCGGGCTGATGGGATATTCGTAACATCCCTGCTGACTTGCACTTCCGTAGGACAAGTACGAGCCGCCTGAATCACTAGAAATATCCTCTACAACTAGGCGCCCATTGAGGCTTCCCATTAGCGGTGAAAGGCTTGGCGACTTTCCCCCTGGATTTTGAAGCGCTATGCTAGGAAATTTTTTGGTTGCTTTTACCGGAGTAACGGCTGCAAGAATTAGGAGGGATTTGGGAGGATCATCCTGGATGATGGGGTAATCAACTGGACAAGTGTTGAATTCCTTGCATTGCGACACGGGGTATGACACTCACAACTTGTGTCCATAGGTAAGTCTGTGGTTCGTCTTGAGGGACCAGCAGCAGGAGGACTTTCCGTTGTTCGGGGCTTCTTTTTCGGAGGTTTCTCGCTCTCTTCGTTTTGACTGAACGATCGTCAGGATCGTGTATGACCTCGAACATGAAGCAGGGGACATACATCAACGGAAAAAACTTGCTGAGTTTTACTAACTCTTCAATTATCACCGCGCTCTTCATGTTCGCTCTTACTTTATGAGCCTATTTTTAGGTCATTGGCTGGCCTTCAGAATCAGAAACGCAATACACACCTTAGCTACCTTTTGCAGCTGTGCACGGGACAATTTGGCAAGGGTGGTTTCGCTCATGTCAGGTCCCCCAGGACCTGAAGCTGTAATTGGGTTGTTGGATGAGTGAACACCATGAGGGAGGAGTGCTTCGGTCATTTTATGTATTGAAAGCAGGGATACTAGATCAAGTTAGAAATCCAGGTTGGATTTAAATAATGAGCGACTTTGGTGCTTTATTTGCGTAATAGAGCTTGTGTGGATTGACGTCCCCAGAACTTATTAAATGCACGATGTATGCTTGTACCTAGGGAACAATAGATTAGATCAACTCAGCTACACAAGTCCGCGATCAAAGCAAGGGTCCAGGAGCAGTCACTTGAGCAAGAAAGCATGGTCAAACCCCGACGGAGTCCTAGGTGCGGCACTGGGACTTTTTATAAGCAAAGTGACGTATGGGAGAACTGGTCATATTCCCCTGCTGCAGAGCTGAGTACTTGAAGAAAAAAAATGACAAGAGTGGGATTTGAACCCACGCCCTCTTACGAGGATGAGAAACCTGCTTTGCAGGCAAGCTTGCGCTTGAGTCACACGCCATAGACCGCTCGGCCATCTTGCCTTGCAGTTAACCAAACAATTGGTTTATAAGTCCAGCGGGTGCATCGCGGGCGTGGCAAAGCTGAGGCCGCGTGATATGTATAAACCTGGAACGAGTACAACATTCAGTGATTCCACGTTTAATTCATCTTCAGCTCTGCTGTGTATGACTACGAGATCGCCAGGCGTGATCATCATCATCCCAAGTTCTGCACGAATCATGCCAGACCGCAGCTAGCTGCGTCTTGCAAGACGATGTCCGCCTTCCTAGGGTCTTTCTTGAATTGTGATACAGTTCTTATTCATATGACCTGAGCCACTCAACGAAGGCCCAAGCATGTCCACTACGGAGAACAATAGGTAAGCGCGCCGACTACTCGGATCTGTGTCTTGTGGAGTCTAACTGGAACCTTTTTAAAAACATCAAAAGAGCTCAAGTTAAAAAGTGATTTCATATCCCTACTACATCGAACGCTCACAGTCTACCATGATGAAACGTGAACAGCATCCCTGCACATCAAACAACAACCCTCACTCCCACTGCGAAATCAGCCAATGGGAAAATCGCGACTCTTTGTGTACATTCACAGGGCTCGTCGACAGCATGCCAGCCCTTGAGGCTCGGGTTCTAGAGGCAGAGCGGCTCCTTGATCGCGCTGCTGCCATTATGACGGGGTTATTACCCGATCTACGCGAAACATGTATGATGCGCGAGCAACTGGAGTTCTCATATTTCGAGAATATGAAGGTTAAGAAGGAACTTTGGGATGGCACAGCGCAGCTGGAGAGGGAGTCGCGCAGGTATAGAATCAGATGGCTGAAAGTCGAGAGGAAGAAGGCGCGCGTTGCGAAGTGGGAGCAAGCAAATCAATCTAACAGAGATAATGATTGCTCGGACTCGGATTACTCAAAATATTCGTAAGTTTTGTTGGCGAGGTCTCTCCTGCACGCTGACCACTTTGCAGAACTAAATCTGATTCCGAGGGGACGTTATGGTCCACAGATGAAAGTATAAACTCTTCAAGTCGCAAGAGATCGCGAGATGAAGAGTCGGCGAGGAGGAAGAGAGCGAAGAAAGATACAACTTAACCCGAAGTTTTTGTGCCTTACCTTGCATCACAGTACATGTCTCATCTTACTACCCTAGTAAAATCTACTAAACATTCAATCGTACTTAAACCAGTGACACGAGTGTTCAAGCAACGGATTCAGCTGACTGGGGCCTTGACGTGTTCAAACTTCATCGTTTTATTGATCTATAGGTAAGAGAGAAACAGATTATCGCGTGCTCCTTGATGTGGTTAAACCATTCAGAAAACACCATGCAAAACCAAGGGACCCTTCGGCGGTAATGAATGTAAACCTGGAGGTTGCGAGTGACGCAGGGTCGAGTGTAGAGCTTTGCGCACCAATGTGTGATAGCTCTGTGATCCATCTGCGATGGTCTTTCCCATCGATCTACGAATTTAGTTCCTTCTGTGAATATCAAGAAGGCTACTCCGACATCGGGAGGAAGGCGCCTTGAACTAATTGCCGCTGTCACCAAGATAAGGGACTAGCGTCGGTTGTGTCTCCCAGATTTGGACGCCGTTATGCGCCAGAAGGCTAGCAAAGCAACCTCAAGGACAGAACGAGGCTCTCTAAGGTTGTGACTCACGATTTGCTGAGCTTCTTTCAATAGCCTTCCATTGATTCAGAAGTCCTTGCACTCTTTAAGACGAGCTCAGGCAGTGCCCAGATTTCCACGATCTCCTCAAACGAACTAGTCTTCCACAGGCGAACAGCGAACATAACACAAAATAGACATTGGTTCTGCGCCGAATGCGAATGGCAGTTTTTTGCCCAGCTTGCCATTCATACAAGTCACAGCCACGATTGTGGGCTTGACTAAATTCCTATACGCTAAGCATCCTATGGTGTCATTCCTCCTGCGAGGCACGTTTGCTACCAGAACAGCAGACAGGCACAATGCCCAATTTGCTAGTCGGAACCTATGATTCGTCTCATCGCCGATGTATCTACCATTTTCAATGCTCTACTCTGACGATGCTAATCAGCACGGAGATACTAATGCACGTGCGGTAACACGATTCCATGGGGTATTTTGTTTTTCAAATGCTCAAAGCTCGCAGACCTGCCAGCACGTTCTTCTGAAACGCTATTGAATTCGGGGAATTCTCGCGCGGAGCATTGTATTTCTCCACTTTCTCGATTATTTGTTGAGACACTACCGGTAATACACGTGTTGTTCTGTATGCTACTACTTACACCAATCAGCTGGCCCGGTGTAAAATTCAGTGATGACCCGCAAGTGCAGCCAGAGTTGAATTTTATTGGTCTCACGTCACTCACATTCTAAACTTGAAGTTCGTTGAATACGAAGATGATCCAGCTTAGCCGCAGCCTAAGTGCTGAGTTGAACCCATCATTCATGTGATGCAAATTTTACCCCTTTAAGGAGCTTCTCATGAGTCATGTGAGGTCACGTTGTACGCGCTTCATCAAAAGGCTGAAAAAAAAGGAAAAATCCGTCTTCAGCTTCTTGTTCAGCTGTCATCATCAATTGCACATCGCCGCCAAGTGTGGATTCGAATTCCCTGTTGAGCCGCGAGAGCGTGTATGATTTTCACTCAGAACACACGCGACGAGTACGTCTTCAATATATGATTACCGACTCTTATTGAAATTTGTGCTCCATCATTATAGCTATCTTAGTGACCTCGTTTTTTCCCTCCTTGAAGCTTGAAAGCTTGAAGACCTGCCTAGCTAAGGCTGTATAGAAAAGGATGGCCCTTCCAATGAGGTCATCTCTTCTCCGTCAATTTTTTAGTTGTAAATACATTGGAGCTCGCTCTTTTCACTCCACTCCACAGCGCGCCCTTTTCTTTCCCACAAATGCCTTGCGAGCAGTAGCTGCGCCAGCAGTCGGCTCATATGTTCCCAAGGATGGCGAACATGTCCTTAACTCGCCATCAGAGATTGCTCGCAGAATTTCTGCCAAGGTTCTTCCCAAGCTTCCTCGTCCAGATGTCAAAAAAGTCGTCATCGTCGGCAGCGGTGGCCTCAGCATCGGTCAAGCCGGCGAGTTTGACTACTCGGGCTCGCAGGCACTGAAAGCTTTGCGCGAAGAGGGTGTCGATGCCGTTCTCATCAACCCTAACATCGCAACCTGGCAGACGTCTCATGAATTGGCATCCGAAGTCTACTTCCTTCCTATCACCGCGGACTATGTTGGATATGTATTGGAGAAAGAACGTCCAGATGGTATCCTTCTGACCTTCGGAGGTCAAAGTGCCCTTAATGTGGGAATTGAGCTGGACAAAATGGGTCTCCTCGAGCGCCTGGATATCAAGGTCCTGGGAACTCCGATCCGCACTCTTGAAGTTTCTGAAGATCGCGAACTTTTCGTACAAGCTCTCAAAGGTTACATCTAGCCTATTTTTTATGGCTCATATCATCTGACACAACTCTTTTTTTCTTCAGAAATTGACATTCCAGTCGCACAGTCTACAGCTGTATCAACCGTCAATGATGCTTTGGATGCAGCAGCGCAAATCGGTTATCCTGTCATCCTTCGGTCTGCATTCACTCTTGGTGGTCTCGGTTCTGGTTTCGCGAACAACCCCGATGAACTTCGTGATCTCTCTGCAAAGAGTTTAAGTCTGTCCCCTCAGGTTCTGATCGAGCGGAGTATGAAAGGATGGAAGGAACTCGAATACGAAGTTGTTCGTGATGGCGCTGATGTAGGTTTTCCCGCTTTGTTGTGCGTCATGAAGTTGAGCGCGTCTGCTTTTAGAACACAATCATCTGCTGCAATATGGAGAACTTTGATCCTCTCGGTACACATACTGGTGACTCCATCGTTGTTGCGCCGTCTCAAACTCTCCCGGACGACGAATACCACATGCTTCGCAGCGCTGCTATCAAGGTCATCAGACATCTCGGTGTTGTCGGCGAGTGTAACATTCAGTATGCACTTAACCCCACGTCCAAGGAATACTGTGTCATTGAGGTTAATGCCCGGTACGTCCATGGTTCTTTTCATATTTTCTATACCTTACACGACATTTTTCAGTCTAAGTCGCTCAAGTGCCCTTGCGTCTAAAGCTACTGGTTATCCGCTTGCCTACACTGCTGCTAAAATCGCCCTAGGACATACCCTTCCAGAATTACCCAATGCGGTGACCAAGACAACTACAGCTTGCTTCGAGCCTTCTCTGGATTACATCGTCACTAAGATACCCAAGTGGGATCTCGCAAAATTTTCATCGCAGGTCAACCGCGAGGTTGGGTCCTCAATGAAGAGTGTTGGGGAGGTCATGGCCATTGGTCGCACATTTGAAGAAAGTCTCCAAAAGGCTATTCGCCAGGTCGACCCGCGGTGGAAAGGCTTTGAGGCATATATTCAGCCCGAGGACCTTGACTGTGCTTTGTCGAAACCCACGGATATGCGACTCTTTGCTATTGCTTATGCGATGTACAACAAGAACTACAGTGTTGATCAGCTGCATGACTTGACCAAGATCGACAAGGTAAGACGTTCGTTCACGATCGAGCGTCACTATATTCACTATCTCTAGTGGTATCTCTACAAAATAGACAACATCGTTCAGACCAGCAGGGCTATCAAGACAGTTAGCTCCATCGAAGACATCGACTACGAACTCATGAAGCAAGCCAAACGCATGGGCTTCTCCGATGGTCAGATTGCTGACCTCGTCGGCTCGACAGAAAACATCGTCCGCGCTCACCGCAAGTCCCTTGGCATCACTCCCTTCGTCAAACGTATCGATACTCTGGCTGCTGAATACCCAGCGCACACGAACTACCTCTACACGACGTACAATGCCTCTGAGCACGACGTTGAGTTCGATGAGCATGGTACCATGGTTCTAGGAAGCGGCGTATATCGCATCGGCAGCTCAGTTGAATTCGACTGGTGTGCAGTCACGTGCGCACGGAAACTGAGGGGTATGGGCAAGCGCACGATCATGATCAACTACAACCCCGAAACGGTATCGACAGACTTCGATGAGGCTGATAGGCTTTATTTTGAAGAGCTTGGCTACGAGCGTGTCATGGACATCTACGAACTTGAGCAGTCTCAGGGTGTCATCGTCAGTGTCGGTGGTGAGTCGAGAATGACTGATAAGCATTCCGAGCAAGAGACTAATGTCATGAGCTAGGTCAACTTCCCCAGAACATCGCGCTTCGTCTCAAACAAGATGGCGTCACGGTGCTTGGCACTGATCCAGAAAAGATTGATACTGCCGAGGACCGCCACAAGTTCTCCTCTGTCTTGGATAGCATCGGTGTTGATCAACCCGAGTGGTGTGAGGTCACGAGCCTGGGAGCCGCGAAAGCCTTCGCTCAGAAAGTTGGGTATGCATCGGTTTAGTTGTTGACCAAGCCCACTGGCTGATCCCTCTGTTTAGCTACCCAGTTCTCATTCGCCCGTCGTACGTTCTGTCCGGTGCTGCTATGAACGTTGTCTACGAAGAGTCTTCCCTGGAGTATAATCTTTCCGCTGCTGCTTCTGTTTCTCCCCTGCACCCTGTCGTCATTACGAAGTTCATCGATAATGCGCAAGAGATCGATGTGGACGCCGTGGCACACAAGGGCAAGCTTCTCGTTCACGCTGTCTCTGAGCACGTTGAAAATGCTGGTGTACACTCGGGCGATGCCACCCTTGTCCTTCCCCCGTTCTCGCTGACAGAGACAGACATGGCACGCTTGAAGACTATCGCGGAGAAGGTTGCTGCTGCATTTGAGATTTCCGGTCCCTACAACATGCAGGTTATCAAGAAGCCTGCGAATGGGCCCAATGACGAGCCTCAGCTCAAAGTGATTGAGTGCAACCTGCGGGCATCGCGGTCATTCCCCTTCGTGTCGAAGGTCCTTGGTCATAATTTCATCGAGACCGCAGCAGCAGCTATTATGGACCATGAAGTCCCAGAGCCTGTTGATCTCATGAAGCAGAAACGTAATTATACCTCGATCAAGGTTGCTCAGTTCTCCTGGACTCGGCTGGGAGGCGCAGATCCCTTCCTTGGTGTGGGTGAGTATTGGTTGCATCCAGTCGGTCTTCAGGTTTCGTTTTGTTGATTATTGGTGTAGAAATGGCCAGTACTGGTGAAGTTGCCAGTTTCGGCACAGACATCCATGAGGCATATTGGGCTTCGTTGCTCAGTACGACAGGCTTCAAAGTTCCCCGCCTCAACTCTGGCGTTCTTATCGGTGGAGATATTACTAAGCCTGAAATGGCCACCATTGCCAAAGAGCTTCTTAATCTCGGTTTCAAGCTCTACTGTTCCTCGCCCGAGGTAGAAGCGTATCTCAACAACTTGCCCTATGTCACCGCGAAGCGCATCTTTTTCCCAAAGACCGACAAGCGCAAGCTGCGTGAGGTATTCGACGAGTATGAGATCCAGTGTGTCATAAATCTCGCAAAGGCACGCGGCACTGGCTTCGCTGATGAGGACTATGTTGCAAGGAGGAATGCTGTGGACTTTGGATTGCCGTTGCTAAACAATGCCCGTTGCGCGCAGCTGTGGGTGGAAGCACTTGGAAAAAAGATAGCCCAGGGTGGGTTGACGAAGTATACCGAGGGTAACATACCACCGGAGGTGCGATCATGGCAAGAGTTCGTTGGCTGGCGGGCATGAACACATGAAATCCAAGATTGGCATTATGTAATTTAGTAACATGTACAGATGGAAGTATGGATCCAAGTTCTCCGTTGTTCTCCTGATATCGAATGTACAAATTCTCTGCATACAGGTTTTCAAATAGCGCCATATATACAAGATCATAGCGTTTATATCAAATCCTCCGGCCCGCATAATTCATCGATGTTGAGCTCCTGAGAAACAATTGACATTCGCTCGCGGTTGGGAGGTTTCACCTGTCGGTCGACAGCAAACCGTGCTGCAAGTTTGGGGTCTAGCTTATCTTCTATAACGTCGGCCACAAGCTTCCCCAAGGTAGGGAGGAACTGTTGAGGGTGACATCAGTTCTCGTTCTCAGTTCCACAAAGCGAATCTACCTTGAACGCATGTCCACTTCCGCTGGTTGCCAGCACCAGTCCCGAATCGCCGGGATAGCGTCCGATGACCCAATCGCCATCTGGCGAATCGGTATACCTGCTCAGATTGATTAGCACTACACCCAAAGCATCACATGGGTTTAGACAAATGATGATGGTTGAGGCATGGTAATAGTAGAACAGAAGCGCATGCCTTCAACTCACCACGCACACGGCGCTATCTTCCGACTATCCTCATGTGACCAATCTTTACCAACCCATGGTACCCTTGAACCCAATCACAAAGAGAAAACCAACTCCAATCCAACATTTGTCCCTATCAAGAATACGATGAAATTTTTCGCCATCTCACATCCGACGTGACGAAAACACGGAACTTTTCACGGACCGCAGGAGAACGCAAAACTCACCAACACAGCCTTGTCCCACTGAAGGGTTTCTCCGCAAGTGCAGGGTATACACCTCGCAGCTGAGTCCTTAGCTCCTTTAAGGCCGACCGTGGTATACACAGGCCGTTGTCTGGGTCAGAGACGATCGTCCTCGGAGTCGATCTGGTAGATCCGGGGACTGCAAAGGTGTGTCCAGCAGCGTGGATTGCAAATTTGACTACGTCACGATCTGTTGGCTATAGACAGGTTCAGTCGATGTCAGTTACATTTACTATGATTAAAATTGACGAGACAAGTCAACTCGGAAGGAAGGACTAGAAAGGACAGATGATAGAAACTGAAACTGAAACACTAAATCGGGGGATGGACTAGAAAATGGGTACGTACTGTACATACATGCAGTGACGTCGTGTCAGATTGCTAGAGAGCATCATTCAAAGCTTTCAACTGAATGCCAATGGCGTGGTGATCGATAATCACTGGGCCTAATTGAGATTCATGGGTGTAGACACGACAGAAAACATTGCCATGTCATTGAGAACATACGGAGCTAAGTGATAAGGAATTTTGCGTACGTGTGTTCCCGGACGTTCAAGGCAACAGACACAAACGTATCAAACACATTTGTCAAATTGCATGCGTAACAAATGTGATATCATGAAGTTTGAAAAATTTGACCACATAAAGGAGAGTAAAGGAAACTCGAGAAGACGATGACTCACTGGGAAAACATAGAAACCGGTCCTGAAATCAAGTACAACAGGTGTCTTGCGATATTCATCTGCCTCCTCCGGCGTTAGTTGAATCGTCGCTATACTTTGACTTTTTGTCGGGAAACAGTGTCCGTGCCCATCAAATAAGTATTGCATGAGATTGAGCCAAGCACCGGAAACATTGCCTAATACTTACCCTGTAGCAAGACACTTTCCCGTCAGGTTTAACGACGGGAATGTACTCGCGGTCCATGAACCAAGAGCAAGGACCACTACATCGGCCTCGTATTTAGAGTCGTCAGTACACCGCACGCCTTTTGTTTGTCCACGTTCGTCTTTGACCAATTCTTGAACTGTCTTGCCAGGCAGGACGTTGGCACCAAGTTTCTTCACATGTTCCATGAGGAGACCGACTGCACGTTCAGCCTCTGCCCAACCACCATCATGATTGATGTAGCTTGTAGAAGAGACGTCCAACGATGTGAACGTCCCTATTCTACCAGAATTGCGAAGGTCCGAAGGAAACTGTGCTCTGATGGATGCATTACTACATAAGCGCTCGATCTTGGCGCCGTACTCAAGATCGTTGATGATGCACTGCTCAGTGTACGCATTGCCCAAGTTGAGGACACCACACCTACAGCATTTGATACTATGGTCACTATCCACTCTCAGAGAGAAAAAAAAATAAGACACAGACTCATGGTAGCAGTTTTGCCACATATCATTGCGCCATTCTTCAATCGCCTGGCGCGCAAGTCGCGTGTATTCTGGATCGCCGTAACAAGAACGGACCACTTGATACTGGAGGTAAGCTATCCGACATCGCAGAGGGGTACTGGAAACAACAAACACCTTTATTTATGTCAGTGCTTGCTGCATCGACCGCGGGCAGATGTTCAGCACGATCGAGTACTGTCACACCGGTGTAGCCACGTTCGAGCAAGTGGTAAGCAGTGGACAGACCAAAAGCACCCGCTCCGACGATGACTACTGCGGGCTTCTTTGGAGAGGAAGTTGAGCTTGCCATCATGTAACCGTGGTGCGGGAATAACGAGCTATTGAACCTAGAAAAGGCTAATCGACATATTTTCGAGGCATGTAGATCACTAATTGTACATCAGCGGTATGTTAGTATTACAACAAAACTTTCCAGTGACGAGCTGGAGTCATGATCAAGAAAAACTCTGCCAACTTTGCGATTTGAATATTCACAGCCTGGCAGTATCTAACATAATATATATAAGCAATTTCGGAATCCATGTCTGTCCAGTGTCCACGTCCAGAGTCTGCTGTCAATGCTGGTGCATGCTACATGGAATCAGTACAAAGACATGCTCTGAATTTCTTTAATGCGGAGGCACGCACTACCTAATAGTGCAACTCAAAAGTTACCATTCATTTTTATCCCCAAAGAAAGATCACATACCATGCGAGGGCGCCAGTCGGGGTACATCGCCGGGGCCTCAAGAATACAGCGTAAAAACTTATCCTGTTCGTATTTGGGTCAAGAAGTGGCAACAAGTTGGGCAGACGAGATCACACCCTGAGAGAGCGGGACATGGCCGTATCACGGTCAGCGTCGGCTAAGAAGCTCGATACACAAGATCACACACAAACTGACTCAGAAAGGGGACATAGCCGTGGCACGGTCAATATCGGCCAAGAAGCTCGAAACATCTATTACGCACAGACTGAAAGCAGGACATGGCCATGGCATGGTCAGCGTCAGCTAAGAAGCTCTAAACACAAGATCACGCACTCTGAGAGTGGGACATGGCCATGACACGGTCAATATCGGCCAAGAAGCTCGAAACACGAGGTTACGCATAGACTGAAAGTGGGACATGGCCGTGGTATGGTCAGCGTCAGCTAAGAAGCTCTGAACACGAGATCACGCACTCTCTGAGAGTGGGACATGGTCATGGCACGATCGGCGTCGGCTAAGAAGCTCGAAAGACAAGATCGCGCACATGCTGAGAGCGGGACACAGCTGTGGCACGGTCAGCATCGGCTAAGAAGCTCGAACGACGAGATCACTCACTTCCTGAGAGCGGGAGGTACATCATGATCACAGCTGAAGATTTCTAGCAAAGTTCCAGAATGACATACAATTTGCTGGACATGAATGTTGCGAATAAGGTGCGTTTCTGCGCCAGTCATGCAGTTGGAGTCACTGTTAGAGGATTGTGCGCTCCTCTTCCTAAAGCCACGAGTGATCTAGAAGCGTCGTTGGCATTCTCGACTTCTCATGGCTCAATGCTTGACCATCCTTGGCGGGTTTGCTTACGTGCCCCCGTCAATGCACAAGTCGTACTTTCCTTCCTCTATATACCGTCTTTGAATTTGGGCTTCAATCGCATCGCGTTCAAACAAAACTCGGAGCATATGATTGAGTTGCTGAAGACCGTCTGACGAGTAAGCTTCCACAAGGATTTTTAAGCCAGCGAGCGGACCTGATATGAGGTGCACCAGTCCATTGATATTTTTTGGTTGCGACCTGTTGCGTCTACCAATGTCATGCAGCCAGGCGCGACGCTTCCGGGTAAATGCGATGCGGCTAGCGCTGCGAAGGACTGTGCGATATTCTGAGAACCCTCCTCTCGTCTCCGTGAAATTATAAGCAGTTCACGTGTTTCACGTTGACTTTGCATCTGGGACGACACAACTCCATATTAGATAATGGATGTCAATTGAGCATCCGGCGATAGCTTGTTTGACAGATGTGCATGCGAGACGACGTTTTTGCAACTTTTTCAGGCGGGCTTGCAGCTTCCTGAGTGCCGCTCAGTGTCGAATAAATCCAAGCGCACAATTAAGAGGGGTTCACCTGACTAAGAGGTCTCCAAGAATGTTCAAGAAGATCCAGTACAGGTGGGGCGTTGCACAAATGGGAGTATAGTCAATGGAGTCGTGATATCAGGTCAAAGGCAGCCTTGTTCTGATCGCATCTCTGTGATGACCCTTGAAATCTAAAAACATTCCCATAATTCAATAAGCGCTCACATTTATAACTTGAAGGATGCCTAATAATCCGAAAATAGCCGCGTTCATTGGAGTATTGGCAAGTGGGATCAAACCCGTAAAAGGCTGTACCAAGGACAAAGCTCCCTGAACGATATCGCGAGCTTCGCAGGTAGGGGATGCACCCCAATTTGCCAAGGGTACAGTGTGGAAGAAAAGCCGGTGGGGAGTTCTTCGCGATCTGGTTTACTGCTTGCAGAAACGGGATGCATTGGCGAAGAATTCGAAAAAAATCATTGGTGCAGGAACGGGATTAGATATGTCAGCAGTTGCCAAGTTGTGTTGTGTGTGTCCTTGGTCTTCAGGGCGCTTCGAACAAATTGCAATGACCTTGCTGAAACACTGGATTGGCTAGGGGAGACTAGAGGATAGGTGAGATGTTGGAGAGCGAAGAAAAGAGGGCAGGAAGGCGGTTATGATACAGCACATTCAGACAAGCTTTGCACAGCTTCGGTTCGAAAATAGTATTACCAGTCGCGGAAGATGCATGAACTCATTTCTTTGCTTCTGCCAGTGAAAGGCATATCTAATGAAGGCCCAGTACGAGGTGTTCAACGGGTGAAGACTATTGGTCCAGGCGAGAGCGATAACAGAGACGCCAGCTGAGGATTCAGCAGACTGGAAGGCATGTTGGAAGGTGGTCGTAATATAATCCTCTTGCGAAGAAGGTCCTTGAAAATGCGACGCTTAGACCATCTGATGTGATGGTGAAAAAATACGAAGTGTACTTTGACCACAGCACCCCAAAATTTGCGCGGTATTGAGCTGGCGGGATGGGTTTGCGATAAATCCTATATCCTGCGGGGAAACCAATAAAGTATATTTCTGTGGGGTCCGAAAGTTCAGCTTTGCAGTCCACAGGCCTGTGCGCTGATGCGGATGTGACATTGTGTGACTGTCCGAACCACATGTGGTTGACTGAAAAGTTCGAGTCTGATTCAATTCTCCATGAATATCCACTCGGATTCGAAATCATGCTGTCGTCCACATTATAGATCTGAGTCAACGCGGCCGTGCGACTGTGCTTCAATTCATTCCAAAGGAGATAGATAACCTTTGCTGCTGGCGGTCGTGATTTCTCAACGTCAATTGTATTACGGTGGGTAAAAAAACTATGAAATGAGATGACATTTGAACATTTGCCTTGAACAGACGGATATATCAAGAGTCAATACAATTGGCACGCGTCAGATCTTGGTCCGTTGATACTCATGAAGATTCTTTATTTCATGCGACTCCCCACTGGCAGTTGCTCACGTCAACATCAAGAGACCATACGACCCCACTGATCTACACTGACACCCGCTGTCCAGACATGCAACTCCAAAATTGATGAATTGTTTTGTCAATTGTATATGTATCGAAGGTAATGTTAAGTATCCTCATATTCGACGCTGTCTATGATAATCCATTGTGACTAGAATTCTTGGTTCCAAACACCGATTCCTCGCAAACTGGGTCTTTATGACTTAATTCTCAAGGAAGGTCGATATATCGACGAATATGAGTTAACACGAGACACATTGAGACTGGGATGTCGTCGATCCAGTCACGAACATGCCTACTATGACATAAGATGTCAACGCACGATGACTACAGCCAACGTTAGTGACAGTGAGCTTGATCCCATATCATGCTGGCACCTACACACACTCCTGGCTTGGTCTCTAGTTCCGCCCGTAAAATGATTTATTGCAAGCGTCACCTGGGATTCCCGCAGTGTCGTTCAACTCGTTCTGGAGAAGAAGGTCTAGAAGACGCAATATGATTTGATCATGCCAAGTCACCTTTCATAACCCCGAGATATGGAGGGGGCGGCTTCTTCATTCGAAAACACGCATGAGAATCGATCACGAGAGTGGAGTACGGTAACGGAACTTCGATGGATTTCATCGGTCAAAAGCCGCGCCACTGTAGTGGTCCCGTATCATGATGTAACACGCGATAACACTGACCGCATCGATCAGAACAGAATGCAGAATGCGTTCACGTATATGTATGTAAGGACAAAACGGTTTCGGCTGTCACGCCGCCGATCAGTAACAAGAACAGAATGCAGAATGCATCCACGTATATGGTGCAATAAATTGATTATAGACAGCTCGAGGATAATACGGAACAACGATAAAGGGTTCTCGCACCGATCAATACTCCGACTCATCGTGGGTCAGGCCTCAGGCTCGACGATATCACTTATTACCATCTGTGAGAGCCGAAAAAAACCCTGAGATATGTTCGCTTTGATGTCAAATATTATCAGTTTTGAATGGAACTCTCATAGGAAATGGGTGACGGGTGAGATCCGTCCGACAGTTTAACTTTGTAGATCATTAAGTAGCATACGCCGCGGCCTGCATGTTACGGCGTCCCACGGGAAAATAGCTTTCTGCATGAACGGTTCGAAGGATATAGAGTGTGAGTACTAGTAGGATCAGCATGACGTGCTACAGCCAACCTTTTCTTTTTTTGTCACCTCATTTTGAGACCTCGATATCAGGGTCATGTCAAACACGTTGTCGCCGTTGGGCTAGAACAAAAGTTAATAATAAACGCAGCTGTTGAATAGACCGCCAATAGACACCAGCTCTGAGATCCGTCCGAGAGACCAATAGCCGGCGCATGTGCGCTATGACCACGCTTCATGTAACGATACACATAGTTCAAGTTATCGCCGCAGAAATGATGTGACGAACCTTTTTCTCTATGAGGAAACGCGGCCTCTCGTGATGGGGTTGGCCAGGAAAGCGCTAGAGCTAGACTCGGATTAGATAGCCAATTTTCGGCTGCTCAGAAAAGAGGCGAATTCGTTTCCATTCTCCGGGACCGCTAGATCAGAACCATAACTTACACTGCATGTTGGGAGTTTAGCGTGTTTACGGAAAGGACTGAATACTTTGAGCAGGTCCCCGTGGGGTAGGGGGGGTCACATACCTGAATTTCGCGGCGCTCTAGAAATTTATCAGTTAAATTTGCAATTTGTCGTCAGCCAATCTCGTACAATGAATCAGGCCTATCCCAGCCCAGATAGCGCCGCCCCAGACGCATAAGGACGGGTGCTTTGATCTTGAATGTAGCCACATCTCGGGTGAAAGTTAGACGGAGTGGCACATATTGTAGCCGTCCTGGTCAGACGGTCACCCTAGGAGCCTGGGACATTCGGACAGCATAGCCCATCGTGCAGGAAGTAGCAGGACCACTTCAGAGATCAGATCGATCGACTCTCGATCCACCCCCGAATCTCATGCTTTTCAGAAGATGCAGAAAGCCTCGTTGCAGCAACTCGATCGAAATATTATGCAAATCGCGACGGAGGAGGATGTGGTGGGCAAGTCTTGCTAAACGTTCCGCGGCCGTCACGGTGTTTCACAAAATGTCGAAGGCAGGCGCTTGCGGTCCTGATTAGTGTCATGCCATACCTGTAGCACTTTTTCTGCCCCTGCTCAATACCAAGAATGAAGTTCAAGAATTCAGTGTCATTAACACGTCAACAAACGCTATTAGACATGGAGTATCCTAATTCTATTCAAGAGGCCTGTTATACATGATTTAGATAGGGAATCTTTGAAGGTGTAGAAGAGAAATGTGTGAAGGCTAGTATATATGCAAGGGAATAAGGGATGTCCATGATGAATAAGGTCTCATGAATGTAGAACAAATAAATGTAGGAGGATGACGATACTATAGGCATCGACCACCTCTCCGAATCTGCTCGGACTGTGAGTACGTGGAGGCCAGCCTTCATGGAGAAAGGACTGCGAAAGCTCTTCACAAGCCCTCGATTCCCTCAAGCATCCCCACCACAACCCGTCCGACCCTTCCATCCCTAATCGCCTCACAAATGACCGAAACTCCATTCCCAATCGTCCCATCCCCACCCTCTAGGCCTTCCCGCATCCCAAACACATCCCCCCTTAGATTCCCAGCCCCGTGCATTCGCACGCCGAGTGTCACCCTCACAAATTCGTAGAGTGCACGCGTCCGTGGCGCGAGGTACTTGCTGGCTGGGGCGGGCCCGCGCCATGCTACCTCTGTCTTCTCAGCACTCGGGCTTGCACCGCGCACCGCGAACGGCTGTACGCCCAAATACGCGCACCGCAATTCCGTCAACTTGTTCACTAGCCCTGTGGCAACGGATGCAATGAACACCGGGAGTGCGCTCAACTCTACGCCATGCACTGAAGAGGTTGAGAGGGCCGTCACGAGCGGCACCACGCATGCGCTTGCAACCTTGTACATTCGTACTTTTGTCTCGAGCGTTGTCGTGTGTTCGAGTGCCTCTGTCAGCGCTGGGATGAGAGCTACTACAATGGAGGCATTTGTGGTGGTATCAGTGAGCGAAGGGAACGCATCAAGGAGAGATGAGCGGAGGAGTCCTGGGAGCGCTTCGCGCAGCTCCTCGTTGAGTGCGCGAAGATCAAACGCCTGGCATATCACGAGGAGCTGTGAGGCGGCAAGAAGAGTGGACACTTCAAGTGCAGTGAGGGTGTACCGTGCTGAGATGAGTGCGAGTGAACTGTAGGTTGTCAAGTTTAGTTAAGGAAGTCGAGAAAAGAAAGGACATACTTCACGCTCTGATTGTGCATCTCAGCGCTTACATTGCCCACGCCCACGTTCATTCCACCAAGCACATTTAACTCGCCCACATATGACGCAGCTGCGATATCAACACCCTGTTCACATACTTGCAATAAGCCATCCCATCGTCCACAACCAGACCAGAATCACGCACCTTGAACGCGAAATCCAATCCAACCTCTCCACCTGCCAAATTGGGGAACAAGCCCCGGTTCATTGCTGGGTTCACTATCTCCGTAAGCTGCACAAACATCAGCTTCCCGATGTGGGCGAGGCTGAGACGGACGTGGTCCATCGCGTTTGTCAGCGCAAGCGCTTGGAAGTTGCCTGCGTGGTGAATCTGTCCGGTCTGGTTGTTCGACGCAGAAGGGGGTTCGATGAGAGGGTTATCGGTGGCTGTTAGGATAAGATGAGTTGGTATGTGGCTACAGTGCTGCGGTGACCTACTGGAGTTGACCTCAATTGTGACTACTTGTGCTGCATTTGCGAGATCCTCAAATTGAGGACCGAGCCATTGGGGGGCTGTACGGAGAGAGTAACTGCGGGGGGTTAGAGTTTAAGTTTGGCGGAGGACTGAAATTAAAACTTACCGATCCTGCCTCAACACTCCATCATCATCCTCAATCTTGACTTCTACCTCATGTTCATTTGCAAAGGAAGATCCGGCGAGCAGAGCGTGCATGAGACGCGCGGAATGAATCTGGATTGAGCCACCACAACAACAAAGAGAAAAAACAATTAGCCCTATTAACCGCGTGAAAAATCCGAAAAAACGCACCTGCCCAATGTGCGGTCTTGCTTCACTAACGAAGGGATCAAAACTGCCCCTTGCGCCAAGCATCGCTTCAACGGACATGGCCGTTAGAACCTATAATAGCAAACAAGTCAGTCTGACGCAAGAAACGAAGTTCAAACATAAAAATACTCACAGCACCTAACACGCTCATCCCCCGTGCACCTCTCACAACTAACGCACCTACAGCCGCACTAAATGCTGTGCCATTAAGGATCCCCAAATGCTCCTTACTTGAGAGCGGGAGGGGGGTGATGCCAGCGACCTGCAAGGCCTGTGGTGCAGGAAGGAGGGAGTATGATCCATAGTTGAGAGTATCTGTGGGTATCTTAAAGGTATCGACTGAGGGTGAGAGAGGGATAGACGCAGAGAAGGGAGACAAATCGGGTGATGATTGTGACGAAGATGCTTCAGTTGACAATGGGGTTGAGGAAGTGCTGGAGATGGCTGAAGAGGGGCGTGGCAAGGGAACCCAAGCCCTGATAGCGGGGTTTCCGATGAGTGTCCCAGCAATGTAGGAAAGAGAGGATAGGTCTGTGGGAAGGGAATTAGGACCTGAGCAAGGCAAAGAACAATAAGTAGATTACTCACCTCCACTGGAACTGACGCTGCCTCTCATAGGAACGAGTGGGGTAACACCTTTATTAAGGAGCTCTGCCATTTTCTCGGCAAGTTCCCAGCGGACACCGCTGTGTCCGCGCATGAGACTGTTAGCGCGAATAAGGAGAGCAGCACGTGTCCAAGGGGGTGGCATCGTAGTGCTGGTGAAGGGATCGGAGAGAGGTGCGGGAGAAGGAAGGGCGTTGCTATCCAAAGAAGATAAAGTGGGGATAGCAGTAGAGGAACTCGGTGCGTAAGTAGGGAGAATGACGCCGGCATGTTGGTGCTGGAGGAGAGCAGCGCCGAGTGCAATAGGGTCATCTGTCCTTGTGTCTGCGCTGCCGCCAAAACCAGTGCTGACACCATAAACACTAATGCCTGCTTCGACCTTACTTTGAATGACACCACGAGAGGCAGATACTTTTTCTTTGACAAGTTGATCATCAGTAAGTTGAATTTTAACTGGATCACTGCAAGAAGAAGGTGGGTAGAGCGCAATAGCAGCAATTTGAGCAAGAGTCAAGGAAGACCCAGTGATGGTTATGGGAGATCCTGTGCTGCAATAGGAATGAGTACCAGAGATATTTATGTGGACGAGGTTAACATACAGGTAGGAGTCGAGCTCCTTGACATCCTGAACGTATTGAGAGACAAGAGCGCGAGTAGCCATTGTGGATATCTAAGGTGAAGAAGGATGTGAAGCCGTAGTGAGTGATGGCAGGTATTAGGCCCTTTATATATTTTTGTCAGTCCGAGTTAGAACGTAGGCTTCGCACCGGATACTTAGTGGGTTTTGAATGTGTCGCTCTTCAAACGGCGTGATCCGCCCGAACCGTTGAAGCAGTTGCAGGTTTCTTCTGTTCTGAACAGGTTTGTTAAACATGACACAGTGTGTGACACAGCACTTTGCTCAACGAATCGAGAATCGAGATCCATATGATGACCCCCTCTGAGTTAACCCCCCTGGGGGGGTCACTTGATGATCCGTGCCAGCAACACACAAAGTCACTACTTTCGCGGGAGAACCGTGAGTACCACTGAAACACGACTGAAGTACGGTAATTCACAGTAATCCGTCTTACTTCTCAAGCCTTCTTAACACAAATGACTACTTCTCGCCATTCGTGGTTTCATCAAACTTGTGCGGACACGGCTGAAACAAGCGCTTGACCTCTAAACCGCAGTCTCACTCGATGAGAATATTTTCCTGCGATGTCCGCAGTTGACTCGTCGGTTCATCTGCGTCTGTAAAATCAAAAACAATTTTCACCTATCTCAATGATCCGGGCCAGGGTGTATCCCTTCCCTTGCGTGCCGTGTCCGGCCCTTATTTTCTTATCTTATCTCTTGTATTGTATTGCATCAATCGTCTGATCTCCTTATACACCGTGCGTCTATTCGCCGAAGCTGTAACTCGTGAGCAAATCTCGTAACGAATCTCATCTATGGATAGTACACACTAACTCAAAGCATACCAATCCTTAGGTTTCCAGGTTCCTAATGTGACAGAAACCCATTCTTCGTTTCTACTGTCTCATGGTCCACACAGGTACCCCATAATGTTCTCCCATTCGCTGGCAGTGTTAGCATCTTAACGTCTAAATAAACTCGCATTCGGCAATAACCTTTACCTGCCGGCACTACAGGACATTCGTTCCAAGTATCAGCTGGCACAGATATATCACAGAATTCTCAGGAATACCCTGGCCGTTTGTCGAATTTTAGATTGCTGAGGAACGACTTGATCGCCTCTTTAAGTAAGGCCCGAGTTATGTCCCGAACATTGCTGCTCGGGGCGGCAGAGACCGAAAGTCTCCAAACTTGTTGGGCTAAGCGCCGATCTATCTTACTGCAACCATGATCCGGGCCCCTTCATACCATAACAGCGACTGAATAGCGGCTCGTCATTGATTGGCAAAACAGCAATTTGCAATCAGCCCCAGAGCCCCGTACATGTCTGCCATTCGTTGGCGGGGGGGTGTCCGTCATTTCCCTGCCTTCTTATCGGTACTTCTTGTCGCGAACTAGGCCCTATAGGCTACAGGCTTTTCAGCGGGAGTCCCGGTTATTGGTTCGCTTTTTATCCTATCGCCAAAGTCTTTGACATGCTTACCACAGGATCTAGGGCACCCTCCAACTCGATCCCGGCCAGTGACTGATCCCCAACCGACTTGCGTATACTGCCAGATTCGGCTGCATTGTTGTCGTGGGAAGTGGGTGTGTGAAGCATTCTGGCAAATCCATTATCTGCTAATATTAGGTTACTGGTCGCCGATCAGTACCCTCTTTCACGTTACGATGGAACGGGGCGTAGCTGCCGTTGTAGTACTATAGCTTTCTCGTGCACGCGTTCAAGGCCAGATGCGACTAAAGCTTAATGGGTCAAACGTTTCAGAAAAGGGAGATTACAAGCCAATGAAGCATTGCCCTATAGTCGACACTGCCGCAAGTGGTGCACAGGAAACTTCAAAATTGATGTCATCGTGGGTTAGTGCCAGCCAATTAATATGACATCCTGAACTATTCTGATTGGCTCCCAATTGCCAAATATTAAATATCGACCAGCACGTGACAAAATATACAAAGTTGTGATAAAACTACAGAAAAGACAAAGGCTCAAGAGATTCGCGAAGGGAGAAAACCCGACTTCTGTGGATCATTTAGAAGGCTACCTGGCACAGCTGTTCACAGGAACTATAATTATGATTTGATGTTGTAGTACAAATATAGTACACTTATGTGACACCGGTTCCGGCGTTGGCTAGTGCATATGCTACCATAGTCATTACATAGTCACATTAGACACACTGGAACGCAGTTGGTCGATTTTGTATGAGCCCTACCTTGGGCCACATAAATTATTTTGATTGGCTGAAACAACTTGCAACTGCTTATCCATGCAAGTTTACGTCGGTGGGACAGAGAGATCCGCTCGCGCAACAACACTTGCACCACAGTGCAGCCGATGGGAAGTGGGGGGTGTAAGGATAATACGCAAGCCAGATGTTACTTAGTACAGGCGAGCCTGCGAGCTGCATGACGCAAATCCACCTATCACCTTGGGAAGAGACTTTGCAATAATGGAAGCCCGTATCTTTGTGACATGGTCGGTAATTGTGTCAAGATCGACACAGGTCTGTCGGTGTCCTTCAAATTCGCAAACGTTTTAATGATATCGTTGATCCCGTGGTCCAAGCTCTCAGGGGGTGAAACGTTCGTCGTGGTTCGCGTATCTGATCGTGTCGTTCATGCTGCTTGACCACTAACACAAGGTATGGGAATCAATAGAAGCTAGATGTAGAGCACGTTGGCAGGCAAGGTGAGCGAGACCATTGCAGTATTTTTGACGGGAACGGGAACTGCATAGTGGGTGACGACAAACTGCGAATGCATGAGCGGATGTCTTGACCGCTTAGTTTTTCAAGGCCGCCGAGAGCAAGGTCTCACAGATAATCCGGAAAGCGAGCCAATACTTCTCGTTCAGTTGATACTTCTCACCAATCTGGTTGATAACAGCAGCTGTCGGAGATGCCGTCGGTAGAGGTGGGTAAGACAGGAGTTGAGCAATGTCAAAGGAGGATGTCTTCATCACATGTCTCCGTTACATTTGATGCCCGGAATCAAGTGTATGCCGTCGACTCTCTCAGCAATGACTATTTCTTGTGTACACATTGGGACTCTTGTCGCTCACGGTAATGTAGCAGGCCAATGAGAATGCAAACTACGGGTTTTGCCAGATGACGTCCTTGATCACCAATGTGCCGTCGCACATGGTGAAAGAAGACTCGAATGGCTGTGCTCGATTCAGCATTCTATAGCAGGGGAGATGAAGTCACTGATTATGGTTGAGTGCATCGAGTGCACTCTCGACTGTGGTCTTGCCGTCCTCGAGTGATGGGAAGGACACGACGGGCGCAACGTGCTGAGCAACACATTTGAGCTCCCTCCCTTCTATTACCGAGTTGCCTTGATCAACGGCCACAAAATGATGCGAGGACAACCTCTCGAGAAAGCAGCGTGGACTCAAAAGTGGGGCACCGTCAGATACGCAAACCAGTGCGAATGTTTGACTACATGAGAGCTTGGACACGGGGTCAACGATATTATGACAAAGTTTGCGAAAAAGGCCGACAAACTTGTGTTGATAATAAGAAGATCCAAACTGCTCCGCGAATCATTGGAACTCGCAAGAGACTTCGGCTTGTGTAATGTCAAGCGAAACATCGATAGGATCTTCCGCGCTATGGATAATCAAATCATCGCAGCTGCACCGTGACCAACTAGCGTTCGGTACAACGACTGGACCATCCTCCGCAGTATTTTTGAGATTAGAAAACATGAAAAATCGGGGATTATGTGAATGTGTGAGACAACTTCATTGCATAGTCAGTCGCTGGAATTGTTTTCAATAGACTTATATAATGCATTAAGAAGGCGAAAACTCAACCGTTTGAACTCCTCTGCCAATGCCGTGCTGGTGGTACCTGAAACAGAAAAATTCATCGAGTGGTGTGCTGAAGCATGCCAAAGTCACTGGGTCCAGAATACTGCACAGTGCTGCATTCATAACTCGCCTCCCTGTTCATATTAGTACCTCAGAAGCGACTGTATAACTCGACGGATGATCACCAGATACAACAAAAAAACGACCTCACCCCCTATTTGTCAAAAAGACAATGTTCAGCTGACATAACATATTCCCACAGTCGTTGCTGGGCAGCTCAAAACCTCAGTACGATACCCAAAGGAGCAAACCATTCTGTGACAACGGGATCGACCAGTCTAACTTAACTACGTCAAAATTCCCCACTTTTCAAATGAGACATACGTCAGACTTGCCACGAGTCCACGTTCTATGAAAGTTTGGACACCTGGCTTGGTCTGTCGCAGTATTCCAACATCATATCATTCGCGTGCTCAGTATCGCACACAGGTGCATCTTTTTGCCAATCGGTCTCTATCACAAAGTGTCGGCGGGGAACGTTGGTTCAGCATGACCATGACTATCCTGTGGCACAGTAGCAACACCCACGGTGCTCGTCTGATGTATTGATAAGGGAATCCACGATTTCACTCATTTGCGTCGCATTTCGCCTGGATACCAACATACGTTGTCCAGCACTGCTAGACTCGGGACTCGGGAGCAACTCAAGGATTGACCCGGTATGCTTCTTGTCTACGAGGCCTCGTCAGCCGCAGCAACGCGATGAGGAAGGTAGATAACAATCGTGCACCACGACACCGCAGCAGTGCACATAACATTCGTTGGCCATGCCTTCATTGTCGCCGCCGCATTTGGGAGAACTTTAGATGCCTGGAAATTCAAAGTAATGTCATCACTGATTCGATAGTCCTGCAACTTTGAAATTCATACAAAGAGAGCGGTGTCAATTTGTTATCTTCTCGGTTTTTTTGAATGCCGACGTCTCTATCATGAACCCCGAGTCACTATGCGCACTAGTCAGCTAGCAGCTCGCCGTTCCGATATCAAAGATGGTGGCTCTGCCTGCCACTGCCTCGTGTCTATATTTTAACAAAACATCATAAACTTCTTACCCTCCGATGTCTATCAAAGACACGGGGAAGCCCCGTTCTACCTATCAGTGAGCTCTCAGACATGTTATCTTCACACAATACAAAGTTTCTCGTTGCTATGGTCAGACAAGAGGCACAAGACTGCCTCTTGTATCTCCAGGGCGTCTATGATACGACGGCCGCTAAACAGATGATGTCCTCCAAATCTCCGTACAATATGCCGTTCCGTCGACATCGCCATCTCGCTCCGCACTTCCGTTCCTGGCCGTGTGTATCGTCCCTTGCCAAAATGAAATTTGCTGTGAGCAGAGATTGACGCGTGTGGTGCTTGCTTGTTTTTTGGGCGGCAATCTCATTTCTGTCAGCGACCCCCCTTTCAAATATGCTTGGGACGATTTCTTTTCACAAGGTGCACGTGCCTGTGGGTTTTAAAGGGATTATGAAGTTTCAGTGGCAAAAGCAAAGTTCAAACAAGTGGAGTTGGTATCCTTGTATCTGATCATCTATATGGCTTGGCAGTCAATCGACACATATCGGCTCCGTCTCTGTCACGACTGGTAAGTTCTGTCTCCTCTTTGTCTTATTTCACACGTCGGGCTCTGAAATCCAGAATACCGCACAGTCATTCATTATGCCCGCCAAGACAGATAGGCACCAGGCTGCCTACGCTTTAGCGAAGTTTGTCTATGACTATTCGCAACCGATGACACAACGGCTATGGCAAGGTACAAGTCTAAACGAGTACGTATCATTTCCTCAATCTCGAACATTCGACCTGCACCACGCACCACTCGCACGATACATCGATCACATTGGTTCATAAGCGTAATTGGAAAACTTACAGAATTTCTTGATTGAGTGAGGTTGAAGATGATACGATGTGTCGCGGAGTTGAGATTTTCTAGCGCCCAAATCCACTTCAGGAAAAAATCAAATGTGAAGCTTCCAAGGCTATCTATCTAAGTGATACTTGTACATTGAAACGTCATAAATTATCTATGCATCCACGTCATGGAATGTTATGTGAGTAGTAGTCTATATAAGGTATAGCAAGAGCAAGTATAGCGAAACAAACCAAATGTCGTGATAGTATACCAATGGTGAAGGCTGCAAGCCATATGAGCAATCGAAGCCCCAGGGGAGAGTTTTACCCTTGCTGACAGGCAACCAGGGTTCGCTAGGCTTGCTCTCCACCGTGCAGCTTTGTTCAATCTCAAGCTTGCTCTCAGTGAGCCATGCCTGTCCGCGAACGAACATGTCCCTGTCGGGAAACACTTCGAGGATTTCACATAGGAAACCTTCCGTCGAAAGCGTATACGTTCTGCGGAGTTCCCGCTTGCCACCGACGATCTGCGTCTGGGCGTCGATGAGAGAAAATTGTGGTGTGCGATGCATCTTGCGGAATGTCTGACCAATGGGGAATTTCTCGTCTAGAAATAGACGTTCGAAGTCGGGGTGGGTGATGGTAACCTTTGATGTAGCGGTGCAGACGATTCGCGAAGCACACATAAGATGTACTTGTCGCGATTGGGTTATGGGGTGCTCGGGAGAGGCTGGTTGCAGCCGCGGTGAGCCATTGGCATATACGAGCTCAATAAATATGGGCCGAGAAAAGAATGTGCTACAAAGAGACAGAGATTCGTTAGCAACCATTAATACGACCAAGTCATTGATATACCTCATCAGTCGCTGCAGGTCCCCTTGAGCTGCAAGCATGATGCGCTCAAGACCAGTAGTATCCTCTGGGATACATGACAGCTGTCAAGGTGATGTTTCAGACATGTCTCAAAAAATTATGACGATAGTATCGTTACCTCTACGGACGTAGATGCATTGTTAAATGAGTCCTTGCTAATCATTATGGGGCTTGCTGTACAAGGAGCGAATAAAAAGAAGGACTAGATGGCGAACGAATGAAGGTGTAGGCTTATAAGGCTCTCGGACTCCCACAGTACGACACGGAGAGAGAAGAAATTTGAAATGAGGTTCTTCGCTTCACTTCCATCGGACGGAGCCAAATGATGCAGTGAGATAAGTAAAGCGAAGGACGTTGGTATTGGACAAGCCTATCCAGGATTACTCGGTCGCGATTTGGTTATCATCTTCATATGGTTTTTTAATATTGTACGTTAAAACATGAGAATCCTTACGTACTCGATGATAGATGGGCGCGCCTTTGTACCGACTAGCTCACCCAGAAACGACAGATTGACAGACAACTCATGTCGCGTTGTTCACACATAGCAACTTGTGAGGGGAAATCTAGTCACCGCAATTGCGCACTGAGATGATATTGAATCAGGTCCAGGTCCAGGTCCGGAAGTTGTGAGTAGAAGAAGGGCCGAGCTAAATTAGCGCCGATCTAGAAATAACATCATAGAAAAATCTAGGCTATTGTGGTTGCCGGAATGATACCGACTATTGTCTTGTTGAACCGTCACTATCTTGGACTTGGCCTTCAGACATTCAAAGGTAGGAAGGGCAGCTATCGCGACGAGCTGGGCCAGTATTCTTACTCGCACCGCAACAATTCGGACGCGATTTTGGTTCCCCTGTGGAGCCGCCGCCTGTATGATACGCCTCGAGGATCACAGGTGTCGAGACTACTACATGGAACTCTGATAGGCTCCTACACTGCCCTGCAGTACGTGATATTAATATGATTATCATTCTTTATGAGTAAGTACTTATGCTAAGCTTGCTTACTAGGTTTCTGGAAATCATCATTAATATTCACATGTGCAGCCACTTGCATGCATACTGCTAGTACTAGTACGTGTAAGCTTTCGAAGTTCAGCGAAAGTTACTCCTCTCCAGCCCCCCAGCGGCAGCCCTGCATGTGGATGATTCTAAATGATTCGTCTTTTCTGGGAGGCGTGATTCATCGCTCCCTCGGTATTCTCATCGTGTCATCTCTTCGGAACCCTTTTCGGTAGGATAGACTCTTATCTTCAACTTCATTTTATAAAAAGGGTCTCAGGTATACTGCCGCTGATTCTCCGATAGACAACCAGCGATTGATGTGATTCCATTGCACAGATATAAGTAAAACATGTGGTTTATGACTTGTAACTCGGGTTGAACCACTTGGCATTTGCTGTAGTAGGGCCGCATACCGCCTCAAATCTCGATTAATGTCGACCCTTGGCTGTGCCCAATACGACCAATTTCTACTCATTGAACCCCTGTTTATTCTTATACCAGCATCAGTGCCTTCCTCGCCAGATATGCCGCGTCGCATCGTGAATCACACCGATCCTCAGGCTGTCAGCGTGTGCGGTGCCCTCTTACTACCATTCGGCTGTCATAAAGCCGTGGCAAATAGAGTGTAACGCAAAAAAAAAAACACAAAAAAACGTAATCGAAAGACATGGGAAACCCTGTCGACTGATGAGCTTACCAAGTTAATAGCACCAAGTCAGTGAAAATTGGTTTAAACACCGCCCCAGATATCCTCCAGTAGTACTTGATGATTTCAATTGGCTGAGACTTTGCAAAGTTGAAGACTTTTGCAAGTACGGTAAACAAAGTCATCTACCGCCAAAAACATATCCTAATTTGGTAGTTTCACGATGTCAACATGTTCTGGCCCTTGGTAAGCCTCACCCACGCCGGGCTTGCACATTTGAATTAGACCGTGTGAGATGTTAAATGCTTGACGTATATTAGATAGGGTCCTTGCTGAGCGGTGAATGGCGTAGTCAGCCAAGTAAAAACTGGTAATGTCAACAACTCTCTTCACAAGTTTCACCGCCGATACTCGGGAGTGACAGGCCACAGCATTGATCACTGCCTGTCTCATTTTGTCTATAAGGTTCGCCTACGGGAGTCTACTGTTAGAATGAGTCGTCCTATCTATCTTAACATACCGACGCGTTCAGGGACCACATGGGTGAGAAAAGCATGCAATTGTACGAGTACTGCCAGTGTCCTCGCGGATTGCCCAAGAATTACTGAAATCGAGTGCTTCTTGTCGAGAACACGGCCTCGCCCGTTCTACAACATAATTTTCTTCGTATAGAATATCCGAGCCGGACGTCCGCTAATTTCTCTAGAACGTTTTCGAGAAACTGAGAACCGTGCTAAGTAAGGCCACTTCGATGCCACACGATCCAATATGTTCATAATGAATCGTAGTCATTTGGGTAAGCCAGTGGAAGCACTCGAATATGACTGCACCTGATTAGCCAACTGAGTGGGGGTGGGGTAGCCTGTATCGACATGGGCGCGCCGGCGGTAGAAGTGAGTCAATTCTATGAATTGCAGAAGCTACCTGCCCGATTGTGTATAACAAATCTGAGTCGGCGGATGTGCGCTTCGTAAGGAAGATGAAGACCTAGTGAATTTCATAGTTTCAGTACTACTGTAACATCAGATGAAATTATACCGTACATGTACGGTATGGGGGCGGCGTATTTACACAACGTATGCGGAGGTCATCCAAACCGTGATGAACCACACTTCCTTTGCGTAAGGACAGCCACTCTTGCTTTGTGTCTGTTGGTATCTAAGTCAGCCCTCTGCTTCCAGGAATTCTGCAACAAAAGCCTGAGTTTCCAGCTTATACGTTTTTCGAAGTTTACTCTTTGCTTGCGTCTAGAAATAGAAGTTCGCGTTGGGGAGAGGTGATGATAACAGTGGATATTGCAACGCAGACAGTGCATGACGCACACACGTGTCGTGGTCGTGTGATGGGGTCTCTGAACTTACTGGCGTAAGCAGTGCGCGTAAATAAGTTCGATAAAGATAGGGGCGGCCAAATATGAGCTGGGGAGGCGAAATATCAAAACCTCGTTTAACGCGGCGGCGGGACATAAATAATTACCCCAGCAGTCTTTGTAAATCGCCTCGTGCCGCAAGCTTATGCGCTCCAAACCAGTAGTATGCATCTGGATCACATGTCAGCTTTTGATCCTGTCAACTTGTGGTAGCCAAAATGGAGAACAAGATTAGACATTGGTGGGTGCAGTGCCATATGGATCATTGGACAACGTGCTCGACTGCAAACTGAAAAAGGTTGTTGGACAGATGGTTTAAGTTCTGATAGGGAAAATAAAGCTGAATTTTCCGGATCATCCAGTGACAATCGAGAAAATTTGAAGGATGTTCCGCCCGATATCTATGTTCGCATGCACATGTTTCGAGCACAAGTAAGGATTTCCAGAAAGGCGGTTCGTATACTCCTAGATTGATGTCTGCGAAAGTAATCGGATTGAGCAACTATAAATCTTATCTGATATGTTCTGATGCAGTCATTCGTGTACCTGCAGTAGATATTTTTGGGGTTTTAGCAGTCAAGCCGCGGAGGAACATTCTCGACTCGTTGCAACCGGGAATCCGTGGTGTTCGCAGTTGCATACACGTGGGTTTTTCGTTATATATAACGCCAAAGTCTGTCGATCGTCATCACGAAGGTGATCACGAGTCCTTATTCAAGACTCCCGATAATCCCTGTAAGACGCATATCAGCAGAAGCCAAACATATCCAGACAGATATTTAGCAAGCCATGTGCGTGAATACTGGCCTAGGGTAATGATAGATGTGTCAATGAATGAAACAAACCCGGAAGGACCTAGGTCTGAAATGCAGGATTGAATGCAATCACATCTTATACCCAAGTTAACATGGACTTCCAGTATCTCTATGTACCTCTGAGACAGAAGGTATTATGTTCTGGAATCCAGCCTCCCCCAGGAGCTGTTGGTTGAAGAGTAGAGTGACTGCTAACTGGGATCGTGAGAATAAGTACTTAGCTTGTTGCTGACTCAAGAAATACTCGCAAAACTTGATTTCGGATTGAGAGACTCTGAGACGGTGCATTCAAAGCATGGCAAGTGCGTTTCGTAACTTGCGATCATCTATAATGACGGTCATTATCAGGGCAAGGCAAAGAAGACTAGAAAATTTGCTACCGTTAAACGCCTCTTGAACCCCAATGATGCTAGATTGTGCGTCGCCTGACTAGCCGCTCCGCTGTGTCGCTGAATCCTTCGATGCAGAAAAGAGAACCAATTGAAGCAGAAGAAGAAAGAAGAGGAAGAGAAAGCCAAGGCGGTCCGTCGGGTGTGAGTCTTCAGTAACCTATCGGGCATGCAACTCTGAGTAACCCATGCGTTTCAGACCACAGATCGCATCGTCCATGTTCCTTGCGCACAACACTGAACTCGTGCCACCTTACCGAGTCTTGATCGACACAAATTTCATAAATTTCAGTCTACAAAATAAACTTGAACTGGTCAGTGGCATGATGGACTGTTTATTTGCCAAATGTTTGTGATATTGCTGCAATTGCCTGGTATTCGTTGACAGTGATATTGACAGGCATACCCTGTATTACGGACTGTGTTATGGCTGAATTAGAGAAGCTTGGCCACCGGTATCGTGTAGCACTTCGGTAAGATGATATATATTATGCTGTTGGCGCATTCATTTACGTTTTTTTTTTTCATTAGTGTTGCTCGAGACCCTCGGTTCGAGCGATTAAACTGCAGCCACACCGGAACATACGCAGATGACTGCTTGGTGCAGCGTGTCACTGCTCACAAATGTTATATTGTCGCTACTTGCGATCGAGAACTCCGGAGGCGTATACGACAGATTCCTGGTGTACCACTGATGTATATCGTCAGTAGGCGCTACGCCATCGAACGGCTTCCTGATCAAGGCGCTCCTGGTTCATGATATGTTGAAGACTAAAAAGTAAATCTACAGTTACTTTTTTTAATGATGTTCAGTGCGGGCTACTGTAAGCTGTTGACAAAGTATGTACCATTCGGTTTGAACCGTGTACATCGATTCGATCAGCTGTACACTCTGCACACAGATACCGTATCATATATTCAGCACTGCCATTGTTTCGTATCTTTGGAGTCACGAATGCCCTGGTATGAGGCGTACTCCCACCAGTCCACTGTTCCTTCCGGCCGTTTTAGACCTGCACTCCCGTGAAGATGAGAAGGCTTTGCACGTGCGCGTGGTGTGTGAAGGTGCTGACGGTAAGGTGACTTGGCGCGAGTTCGACCGCAAATGCGGCAGTATGACAAGAAATCTGTAAAAAGAGAGAGGTGGATTTGGTTGGCTGGTGGTCCGGGAAGCTCACGTTCTCTGTTTTTTTTTGGTAGCGTTAGATCTCTTGAGGGTGAGCGAGATGTGGATGTGGATTTACTTGAATGATAAGGGCTAGTTGCGAGTATCTGCCCGTTTAGCCACAACTTCTGCGGCCTGCTTTGTTGATACCATGTGGGTCATGGCCTGGCGTCGATTTGATGAGCTGCAAATTCTCCCGTATGGGAACTATGAGGATACTGTGACTGACCTCATGCTCCATGTGACATGGTGCACGCTACTACATGCGCACAACCCTCGATTGATCAAGTTCCCATGCAGGACTCTTCCTCGGTACAGTAGCCTTGAAACGGTGACTGGGACTGCCGCTGAGCTATTAATTCGTAGAACCTTGTCGTTCAATGACTCGCCCGCGGAGCTGATGTCACCCACATCCTCGGACCGTGCGCGTGAGCAGCCAGTCCATGTGTTTCATGTGGTGTGATATTGGAAGAATCAAGAATGCACAATTGCCATGGTTGCACCGTGCCAGTACACGTGTTCGAGTGGGAATACCACGAGCGACCTTCAACGTTCAACTGCTGTTCTATTGTCAGTGAAGTCTAAGTACTTAATGTATGATGGAGGAACGACTGGCCCCTTTGATCACGCGTCGGCGGCGCCCGTGAATACAATTACTGGGACTGTCATGCTAGGCATCGAATATATGACGACGCTCACCATTTCTCGCACAGTCCTCTGTCGCTGCTTGATCATTAAAAGGAAGGACTAGCTTTCTTCGTTTATAAAGGGCTGCCAAGGGGAGGCTACTGAAGTCAACTTTGCGGTGCAGCCTTCTGCTCGATTAAAGGAGGGTCGGAATAATTAATTGCGAACGAAAGACCTATAAGTCGCTCTGTCCCTCCAAAGACAGAGACTCCAAGCTGTTTGCAACGGTCTACTCGTTAAGCAGCAGACTCGTGAATCTATTTCGTCGTCAACAACCAAATTTTGGAAGAGTCCGCTTGGAGTCTGATCATTGTCGCTGAGTTCAAAATGCGTTGTCTCGTGTTGTTCCATTCATCCTAACTTATTGCTCGTGACCAACTGACAAGACGCGTTCCTCCTCATTTTTTCATTTCACAAAATCATCAGATATCGAAATAGTCGACATTACTCTTGCGAATCTGTCGCTGCCACAGTGACCAAGAATGTCGACCAGCTGGCGTTCGCCATTTCCTATCCTTCCTGCACCACAAACTACACCCGTCTCCACAAACCCCAAGTCGCTGAGACGGCCTATTCACAACCCGTATGATAAATTCACAAAACCGGAGTTTGACGATTGGATCGGTGGGATTACGAGTGCTCTGCGCAGAGCACTCGGCGAGGAAACTCAAGAAGACGCTGACCTTGATGAACACCGGTCACAAGATGTTAACGCAGCTGCCGAGGAAACATTCTCAGACCAGTCGTTCGAAGATTCGTTTGCTGATATCCAGAGCAGACGCGCCAAAGGCAAGGCTAAAGACCCGCGAGAGGGCTCTGGCCTTGGTGCTCAGCAAAATCCGATTGAATTGCTTTCCGACTCCGAGTCAGGCGCTGAAAGTGAGGAAGAATACGAGGGATTTTCTGCTATTGAAGGAGAGGGCTTTGATATTGAGGAGGAAGGTGAAGGTCATGACAGTCATCCCGAAGCCGGGAACTGGACCATAAATCGCCGCCACAGCTTTGTTGATCCTTTCGAGAACAACGAGGTGGAGGAAATATTATCCAGGGAGGAGAGTCCGGACATTATTGAGATATGCTCGGATGAGGAAGAAGATACTCGAGCTCCTGCACATGAAGCTGGATTCAGTGGCAGGCAGTATGCTCAGTCTTCGCAATTGCCTCCTAATGAGGTAGAGGACGAGTTAGGCCCCAATGGTTCCGTCCTGTATGAGCAAGAAGGCCAACTCGGTGCAGAAGAAATCGAAGGTAGATTGCTCTGACAAAAAATAATTTGAACATGCGCTAATTGACCTCTATATCAAGATTTCCCTCCATCTATTGCGCAGCATCAGCCTTCTCTGTCTCCGGAACTTCCTGATCCATGGCAAGGTACACGAACATATGCAGAAGATTTCTACACTGGCGGCGATTTCAATGTGCAAGATCAGCTGAACGACGTTTCCCCTTCTAGTCTTACTCCCGTGCATGATGCACACGTCCATACATTTATCTCGAACATAGTGCAGAATGACGGGCCTCCTTCTGGGCTGCCCAGGACGGAACCTGCTGTAGTCAATGTAGACACCGATGAGGTACTCCCTGATTCGAGCCCCCCTCCGTCATCTCCTGTCGACGTTCGCTCCAGTCTTAGTCATGTTGGTGATTACCAGTTCTCGAATGTGCGAGGGACCCATGGGGAGCACGAAGATCCCGAGAATATCCTTGACCATTTATATCGAGACGCGGAGAGCCTGTCTCAAGACGAGCATCAAAGTTTGTCCATGCACCACATTGAGTGTCATGGTTACACTAAAATCTTTCTCATTTAGTGGGTTTCGCCTCATCATTTGATGAATTCCATAGCGGATCAATGTCTGCTTCCCAAGCCTACTCCAAACCTACTGAACATCTTGACTGGAATTGGCCTCCCGCGTTCCCGCGGGGAAAGTTTGCTAGCCGCGCCGGACACCTCGAAACTTCTTCTCCCAGGTCGGGGGTTGACGACATCGAAGAGGCGCAGGATGATGTCATTGATGTTGATGCGGAACATGTGGAAGAGGATGGGAGCGAAGAAGCCCCAGAAGGTCCTCTTCCACTGGGAACCAGTGACCTTGGGTATGGTGATGAGATTCATCAGGACAAAGACGGTCAGAGTGATGATCAGAACGAATTAGGCGTGGAATTTGTCGAGGAAACCGATATTCAAGCTTCTGAAGCCGACGAGTTTCCGCTTTCGTTGAACTCTCAGCTGAATGCTGATGAACGTGCCGCAGTGGAGAGTTTCTTTGATCTTCTCAATAACGGGGGGTTACCTTCAGCAAACGTGACCGAACAAGTTGAGACTACGCTGGTTGACATTAGCGGCATGGTCACTGCTGAGTTTATTGATGGTAACGCGACATTTCCGCCAGGTATTGAGAAAGCTGGTCGGTGACTTCACGATTCAGTCACAAATCATGTCACTAAATGCTGTTAAAACAGGCGGTATTATGGTACCACCGGAGGTATTAGAGCCTGGGGATAGGGAAATTCAGTCGCAGCATCCAAATGTTATGGTAGAATCATCCACCTTAATCGAACCGACCCCTGCCACGGAGATCCGAAATGGGTTCGAGAACGTAACCTTGGAGAATGTCGAACATCATCCCTCCGCACTCGGTGACTCTCTCAAGGAACAACCTGACAAACCTAACGTCAAGCCCATTTGTATTGTTGTGGAGATGGAAGCTACTGCTTCCATTCCTCGTGGGGTGAGCGAAGGGATTGAAGTAGCATCTTATGCCGGGGATGTGTCTGATCCCGATGGCGAATATGTAGTTGAGGAGCCTCCTACTACAGAAGCATCGGTGGTGAGTCCAACCTCAAATTGTCTTTCATCATTTGAACTTTGCATGCCTTACAGGAGCCGGAGGTCCAGGCCACTGGCCAAGTCAACGTGTTGGGGGAAACTGTTCCTGTCACAGCGAAACCTGCTTCTGCGGAACTATCCTCATCTGATAATCATAATATTTCTGTCTTCCCAATGCCCATATTTTGTGATCCTTCCGTGTCAGATCCTATCATCTCTTCTGGGACAAAGCATCCACAACTAACTCCTCCATGTTCGGCCAAACTTTCGGGAACCCCTCACATCATCATCAGTCCGCACTCTACACCAGGCCAACCCACTCCAGTTTCAGTACCCGTCTCTACGTCAATTTTGCATACTTTCTCTCGTCGAGAATCGCCATCTGAAGGCAGCAGCGGTCCAAGTGGTCTTTTCACGCCTCGGGAGGGCGAACCAACTAGTGTGGATACCGGTGATATTTTTGGCACACCTTCTCCCTCACATACGGACGTACCGCCCCCGTCTTCTGACGATGTCGTGGCCTCAGTCACGAGTGCTCTAGCAGAAGAGTCGCGATCTGAAATTGCCATACCCGTGATCGACGTTTCTGATAACGTTACAGTCGTCGAACCAAGTCCAACCGAGACATCTACTGGTAACGAGGAAGATGATAGATCCGAACTCGTGGAAGTTCAGCAGCTTGGCGTATTCCATCCTTCGTCTGTCGATGCTGATGCAGAGAATCGGACGGCACAACCACCAACGAAGCCCGCCGCTGGACACAGCTCAGTAACGGAGAACATCACAGTAGCTTCGCTAGAACCTGAAGAAGTTCAGCAGACAGCCGGAAGCACTCCGCCGACAACAGACCGAACACCTGCATCAGATCATGATAACGCTGAAGAGGCTTCAGCATCAGCTACTGATGCTGAAGCTCCCCCCGCAGAGGTCCCCGAACCCGCGGACTCCCCCTTACCCAGTCCTCTGTCAGAACAAGAACCCTTGCCATCGCTGGCACCTGGCCGTCTGGTCTCACCACAATTTGTTCGTGAACCTGGTCAAGACAACAGCCAGGAGTACACCGTTTCCAAATATCCATTGTGCGTCACATCAATACGAACGTTTGATTATACTCAACGGATTCACAGGAAACATGTCCCAGACACAGCGCACGAGTCTCCTGATGTCCATGAACCGAGGGAATCTGGAGTTGCTGAAGACAAAGAATCTCAAACGAAACCTTCGAAGCGGAAGAGAGTGTCACCAGTACAAACTTCCAGTCGCCTCACTCGTTCAATGTCAAGCGGACACAAGAAATTCCAAGGAGATCACAAAGTAATGCGGATTGTGCCAGGTCGCAGCCGGAAGCGAAAGCTCCTCGATAGTGGTAGCGATCATGGATCAGCAAGCTCTGGCGCTAGTACCGTCGCGAAACTTCTCCAATTCACTAGTGCTAATGGGTCACGGGCTTCTTCTATCGTGTCCTCTGCTCCAAGTGATTCATCTTCAATCCAGCAACCCCCGCCGCTCTTCCACACACATGGTACTATGCATCACCGCCATCGACCGCCACCTCTACCTTCTGTATCAGTCCAGACTCACAAGGCCAAGACGGTATCCCCAGAGCCGTCCCACAACCATGAGCGCGAAAAGGATTACTTTTCGGTTTCGGCTTTGTCACGTGCCCCCTCTTCCAACATCCAGCGTCTTGCTGCGTTGACAAGTTCACCCGTCACTCGCTCTAACTGTCGATTCCATAAAATTAGTTTACCTAAAGAGGAAGGTGGGCCAAGAGTATGCTTCGTGGTACCCGGTTGCTCTCTTGGTGACAAGGAGCTGATGGACGAGGAGGAGATCCAAGATCATGGTCCCGCAACTTATGAGGACTATTCTCGCTTGGTGGGCAATATCGAGGCCTTAGACTTCAATCCCTATCTAGTCGGCATCTTGCGGCAACTAGTCGGGGTGGACCTGATTCGGGAAAATGAGGTATTCTTCCTGCCCCAACCCGGAGAGGAAGCACGTTACAAGAAGACCAGCCGAAAGTCGACCGCAGGATTAAAGCATGCTGCGTCCCTGTCACAGAGTGCTACCACCTCGCCACAAGTCTCAGTGGCGTCACGGCGTTCACCAGTGATGTCGATCTCGCGACCACCTGTTTCCACTGCAGGATCAATTGCGACATCATATAGCTCGTCCTTATCTGAGGCACAGCTATCCAAGCACGCATCTTCATTATTCTCGGCGTCAGGCGAAGAGTTGTCGGATGAAGAAGGCAGTTCTCCCAAACTTAAACGTCGTCGAAAGGAATCTATTTCTGACAAAGAAACTCGTGTCAACGTAGAAGGGGACAATGTCCCTTCGAAAGGTTCGCAACGATCGACCCACATCCTGAAATGGAGACGGAGCAAACGCCAAGATGTTGACTCGGCTGCATACAAGCCTCATGCAGAAAATGTAGAGGGCTCTGATAGCGGAGCAGACGGAATAGGCAAGGATCGCCGCAAGATGAAAATGAAACAACGGAACAAGCGATCTCGTGCAGCAGATGAAGAACAAGACTCGCAATCCAAGAGACAGAAGCAGGTCCCCAATGAATGAAAGCATTTCGGTATCTTTATGTTCATATTTTGTAATCACCACCCATCTATCTTCATTTGTATCCATAGTGCACTTCTGAGTATCTCCGTCCAATCGCATGTTCAGAGCCGTTCAATGACCTTCAGGGTGGAACGACTGCGGGACACATGTCGGCCTCTGCTCACTCCGCGTCCAACTTGGATACCTCCGTTTGGTCCTTCGACTCACACGGTGTTGTCTTCTCGGAAGGAAGTGGATCACCAACATCTGTTGGTGCCGAATCAAGTTCCGATAAGACCTCCTGTTCATCGTTATCAAGATTGTAAATCTCGTTTCTAAGCCCTGTTGAGTCAAAGACATCCACAAGCTCCTGATGGAACAAGTCCACCACACCCTTGAAAGAAAAGGTGAGCCAGCGAATCGACGATACAATCCGACGGCTCACCATTAGAAGGTAACGAGCTTTTGGCGTGATGATATCTTCCTCCAGCACTCTTTCGATGCTACCCGAAGCACCTAATTGTTCTAGAATGTACACCCCGTCTTGTTCTCGAACAACTCTGCGGCAGAGCCTGCTCAGCGCGATGGCACTGTCCTCCTGGCCTTGTTCCGCTAGGGTGAAGAGCTGCTGTATCAGATCTTGAACCTCGACGATGGGCAAAACACCATCCAACAATAAATCCCCTATGAATTCGACCAAGGGGAACAGATGTGCTGTCCCCTCATCAAGGGCTCGTGTGAATCTGCTTTCACAAGCCTCAATAAGAATACTGGCGAATGATGGGTGTGATGATTGTCGTGTGCCATCGTTGAGCCATGTCCACCGCCTGTCTTCCATCTCAAGCTCTCCGTCAACTCTTCTGCAAAGATAGGCGTAGAGCGAGGAGCGTTGGGTGTCTTCAACTGCACGTAGTGCAATCGAGTCAGCAAAGGCTTCGATGATCTCTACGCCACCGCGCCGTCCACAGTCCGTAAGACGCTCGATCAACTTAGTAGCGACAGAGTCGAAATTGGTCACGTTCAGTTTGTTGAGCAGGCTGCAAAACTGTCTTTGTTCAAGCTTGGAATCGTGCTGGGAGCTCCAAGAATTCCACATGCTGTAGCTGTTAGGTCAAGAGCAAAGTGATTTGTCGCCAGTACGGAAAAAGTATCAAAATTGGGCAGCATATATGCTCTCGGCGTGTGTGGGGGCGGGGACGAAGTAACCAAAAGGTTAATATCAAAGTAGATCAGAGATAAACTCCGGAGTAGAGGGAGCTCAGATTGCTGAAATCAGCGCTTACAGTTTGTTGACATCTAGTCAGTCGCCATGAAACGGATATGAAGCCTTCTATATGTTCATCGTGATTGATCAAGCATAGAAGCTATGAATGCCTCGAGCTAATCGAGGGCATTTGTAGACCCGACTTCGGAAATTCTCTCATTTAAGATCCGGCAGGATGATAAACTTTTCAACGACAAGCACTACCAAGGGGAGTCCGTCTCTCTTGTTGGAGCAAGGCTTGATTGAATGTCTGATCACAGTGGTATGTTTCCTCTAGCTATGCAGTTGAATCATGTCGTAACTGATGTTCATATGAGGTTCGTTGCATGTGGTAAATAGCGCCGTATCTGCGCCGCCGTACACGTGCAGAGTTAACACAGGAAAGGTACAGCACAATTTTGAGGGCGCACCCTGATTGTCGTCACGGGAAACTGTAACGGAAATACTCGTGGGCTGACACATGATGCATGCGATGATAGTCCGCGATTAGAATTGGTTCGAAAAACAAAGGAAGCAGGAAATAATATACACAAGGCGAGTCAACATTGAATCACAAAAGTCAACAATGACGATGTGATGAATGAGGTGATCATCGTGTACTCTTCTTCTTCTTCTTTGTGTTCGGTCTGTCACTCTCATCTGCGTCCGCATCTATATCACTTGTTTGGGGTCTCTTCCCTGATTTCCCCTTTGTTTGCACCTTTTGTTTCCGTTCCGCTTCTTGAGCATCAACCTCGTCCTCAGATGCAAAAGGATCATCATCTTGGGTTTTCTTCTTAAGAATAGGCTTTTTCTTTGCAGTGATGGGAGGCTGGTCCTTGATCTCGGCAGGCTTTGCTACAGCGGTTGAAGCAACATTCAGTTCTGAGAAATAGATATCTTTGAGGTCCTGCATAGGAGTATGAGTAACATTTGTATGTCCTGTTCGTGGCTATACACTTGCCTTGATCTCAGAATCTGCGAGCAGAGAGGTGTTTTTCCACACCTGATTACACTCTCAAAGGTATATCATTTTTGAGTTGCACGAGACTTACAGTTGATGGAATTCCGCTTGAGTGTTTGCTATCGAGTCCTGAAGGTGGATACCGAAATCATCGTCATGTAGTATCAATAATTCAGTTTGATACTTGCCTACTGCTGTGTATAGGTCCGATTTTACGCCACTGAGATTGACACCGTGGTTTCTCAAGAGCACTTTCATGACCTGCTCAGAGGTTCAACGCTCAAGTTTTGAGAAAATGGCGGCGATACCAACATCTGTAACAGCATCTTTGTCGTAGACATCTGGGATATAGAGACAGATAACATGTTGATGGTGTGGAGTCTCATTCGCCGGTGATGTTGCCACTTTCGTCAGAAATGCGCAAGTTGAAGCAAGGGCGCCAGAAACAAGCGACGCTGGGAGAATTCAGTGAGAGGTGCACTGATAATGATAGAAGTCTAGCTTACTAGCGATCTTGGACCATATTACATCTACTTTATCTGCGGGAGCGAATATTAACCTGTTCAAAAATCATTCCCGGCTGCTGATAGTATTGATCAAAAATGTTATTAACCATTTTCCACAAACATAGTTGTGCTTAATGGATATATCCTTAAGTTTCTCGGCAGCGTCTGCTTGTACCTATTGAACTTTTGAGAACACAGATTTTGAGTGTGAAAATGAATTACCTTCTCACGAACATCCTTTTTACTCTTTGCTCCTGTCTTTTTGCTAGAGCGCATAGGGATAGAATCATCATTCTGCTGTACGGTCATGGAAATAGCATCGAATAATACTGAATACCTGCCTTAATCTCCTCCACTCTCTGTGACACCTCCTTCACTAAGGTAAATTGTTAGTGAGCCAGAGTACATCAACGATATGACGTACGTAATGCTGCAGCTTCACTAATAGCAGCGGCTGCATTAGATTCAGATGCATCCGGGTTTCGGTTGCTTCCTTCGACCCATATCCACTTCATGGACGCCAGGTTATATACAGCGAGTAAGGGTTTGCAGGAAACTGGCTCACTGGTTTAGTGCCGTCATTCTGGACCATGGACGGCTTATACTAGAATGACACGTAGAGGAGTCAGAAGAGAACAAGAGTGTGATGATTGCTGTGATCCGATACCTTCAGTTAGAAAGTCTGGTAAAGCTATACTCGACCCCTTGGACCAAAAGTACGGGTATTCTTGGGGGATGGTATCATCAGACTCTTTACCCATATTGAAATTGATAAACGCAAGCTTGTAAAAAGATCAAGGCGACAAAAATTCTGGTTGAATCTATAGAAGAAAAAAAGTCAGGGACTCCTTGCAAACTCAGAAGTATTTAAGGAGCGTGTCGACGCAACACGGTCACGTGCTAGGAGAGGTTTCAAACTCCGGGTTAGACGTGATGCAAATGGCCCCTATCATTATGCAGTGTCAACGAAAGAGTGGGCACCTCAACACCAACAAATAATTTATCCATAGGTTGCAGATATGATTTGAACAAATATCTATGTCTACTTCAACCGCGAGTTCTAGTAGGTCTGGTCGATTGACCTGAGTCAGATCCATATTTTTCATCCAAGTATTTACTCAATCGCTTCACATCTGGTCGTTCACTCGGGTTCTTTTTCCAACAATATTCAAACGCAGACCATGCACCGTGGCGAATGAGAGGGTAGGATGCCTTGTCGGGTAATTTATTAGCCACCATGGCTGCGACTAATTGGCTGTCCGTTTTTAATTCCACATACGGGATCTTGCCAGAGAGAATCTAAGCATCAAAATCAAAATACAGCACCAGGGTTACAAGAATCTGCAAACACACCTCCAGGCCCGTCATTCCTGCTGCCCAGATATCCGATGCTATTGTTGGTGTTGGTGCTATGTCTGGATTTTCAGGTACCATCAACTCCGGCGCCATGTAGCGGAACGTGCCAGCTATGGTCATCGTGCTTGTCGTGAACCCAGAATTCCCAAGGATTCGAGAATGTCCAAAGTCTGCCAACACCGCATTGCCCTCGTCGTCGATGAGAATATTTGTCTGCAAAAATAATCACATCAGCTCCGGTACCGTTAAATGAAGAAAATGGGTGTCAGACAGGTTTGATATCCCCGTGAACGATTGCACACGAACGACCATGTAAATAAGCCAATCCATAAAGAAATTGGCGAAGCTGTCCAGTCATTCGTAAACGCGGGTAAAAATCAGTAAAGTGAAAACGTACCAAGTCCATCCGCACAACGTTTGCATTGTGTTTTAGGTACTGCATGATAGTTCCGTTCTTGTAGAATGGAGATATCAAACAAGGGAAGCGATATTCTCGCGTTACTTCATAACATATACCAATAAACGGGGCCAAGTGAGGATGAATACATGTACTCCATACTCCTGTTTCTCGCAGGAGCCTCTAGAAATATTTTACTGAATAACAAAATTTCACTGTGAGATACGAGAGATTTTACCCGTATTGTTTGTCCTGCAGTTTGACGGTCGAGAAATAACGTTGATCTCATGATCTTCACGGCCACCTGCAGTGAGGATGTGTGAGATATATCATGAATTGATAACCGTCACCGCATTGTACAATAATTGGTTGACCTCCTATTGTGTAGGTGCCTTTCCATACTTCTGCGCACTGTCCATTCGCGATTTGCTCTGTCTTGGTGACCCTTCCTGTGAGGTCATTCACAGTGATGTTTGCGAAATCGAAGGACATATTGGGAGTGAGGGGATGGGGGAAAACGATAAAGTGGACAGCCTGCACAGCACCTCTATGCTTCCTTGTATACTTTTGTTGTACTTTAACTTAGTGGCGAAAACAACGCACTAGGTCAAATCAGGGTGTGATGCTGGCACTGATGCGATGCTCTTCTTCGACCCAATAAAACCAATGATTCCCACGGGATGATTATGCCAAAAAGAAAAAGAACATCATGAAGACATGCGAGATAGTTGCATTTTGAATGATGCCTTGTACCCTAAGTTGCAAGTTGTCGCAGGTTGTCTATGACAAGACGCTCCCTCTGTATGTGGTCATCAAATTACAATTGTTCAACGTCATTATGTAATAGTGATAGTCAACTTGTGCACCAGAGGTAAAAATCGACCTTTCACATACAAAAGTTTCCGAGAGTTCAGGCGGGGGTGCAGTACCCTCGGAGTCAACTACACACGATTGGGGATGCGAGTAAAAGACCTTTGTGGATAGGACTTGATGATGATCACTGTTCGAGTTGTGACTTTCAAGTTGTGGACGCTCTTGTGCAGTAGTGAAAACGAGAAAAAAAAGTCTGCTTGGATGCAAGCAAATAGCGTTTGGGTGGAAGCCCCTAAGGGGCAACCCGGCCCTGTGCCAGAGTGAGTCGGGGTGAGCTGCGATCCCCGCATCAGTAGGAGTGAATGCGACGCAGCGAAGTGGACCCAGGATTGCCAAATTGTAGAAGCCACGAGGTGACGCATAAAGGTGACGCAAGATAAGGAGACAGTCAGTAACAAAGGTAGTAAGAAGGCATCCGCGTGAGCAAGTGCGGTCATCCGTGTCAGGGCAGGCATCTTCGTAAACAATAAGTGCAGGCATCTGCGTCAATGCAGGAATTTATAATGGGACAAGCATTTGCGTCAATGCAGGGATTGGCGTCGGTGTGAGCGTCTGTTGCGTCCAGGAAAGTGTATGAATCCGAATCCGCACGGCAGCAGGTGTTGGCAAGAACGGTACTCCTGCTCGCTGCTGGCAGAAGGTGACTGGGTGGATGTTTCCTCTCCCTACCAGATCCTCTGGTGAGGAACCTGACGAAAGTTCACGACGGCGAACTTGTTATCAGTGCACAAGTAAGCTTGAGAGAGCAGTGCCATGGCACCTTCGGGTGTGCTCTACTTATGGCCGGCTTCCCCATCGGACTTCCCTTCACTGTATGCGGATGAACACATGAATTTGAGCCATTAGAGCTCAACGAAATTTGTAGCAAAAAAAAGAAAAACCGAAAGGCGGCTGCAGACAGGGCGGGCGCTGGCAGGCGGAGAAGAGACGCCACGTGCTGCACACCCGCTACACGAACCCTATCATACCTCGCTTCGGCCCGGTAAAATTCGTATGTTTCGACGAACAGCACTAACAACACATCGATTATCTCTACTTCGGCATCTCTGTCTCTCACAAAGTTCTTTTAAACCCCCCCAGTCCCACTCGCTTAGAATGTCACACCAAACACCACTCGATTTTAGCTCAGGACCCATGGTTTGGATTGACTGCGAAATGACCGGACTCGATCCTAGAAGGGATAAAATCTTGGAAATTGCAGTGAGTGCTTCAAACCGGTCAACTAGCAGTGATCGAAATTTACCCTCACGTCCAGGTACTGATCACAAATGGTAACCTGGAGCTTGTCGATCAACGAGGCATCCAGTTCGTTATTAGGACTGACAAGGCAATTTTGGATTCGTGAGCCTTCTATAGTGACACAACGAACTTTGGATACTGAGAACGGTCAGTATGGACGAGTGGTGCAGAACCCAACATGGAAAGGCTCGTCCTCGATGTATCACTTACGTGTGCTTACCTGACAGTTGGCGAAATAATCATTCAGTCTGGTCTAACGCAAGCCTGCATTACATCGCCTCACACAAGAGAGCATGTTGCAAAAGCTGTTTTGGAGTACATCAAGAAATGGGTGCCGCAAAAGCGGACTGCGGTTCTAGCTGGAAACTCAGTTCATGCAGACCGATCATTCTTGGTTGAGGAGATGCCCGAAGTTATTGACTGGCTCCATTACCGGTAAACCATCTATCTTCTTCACGCATGCAAAGATTGATTGGACATCGTATTAGGATTGTTGGTGAGTCAATCATCCCTGTGATCACGAAGACAGCGGCCGATCCATGTTTTTGAAGATGTCTCATCAATAAAAGTGAGATATGACCAAAAACGATAGATGTCGGCTTATTTATGTCCTTCAGGAATTGTGTCGTAGATGGTACCCAGACAATCAAGTCCCGAAGGATCCATTGGCCGGAAAGCATAGGTAAGTGCTGGAGACTCGGCATCACCATTGGTACAGCAACTGAACGATGTACAAGAGCTTCTGATGACATCCTGGATTCGATTCAAGGTCCGTAGTGATAATCATCGATGACCTTGGGTAACCTCATCCTCATAGAATTATCATGGTATCGCCAAAATATCTTCGTTCAAACTGTGTCTAGGAAGACACGTTAATAAGTACATGTGCGTACACGGTGTCGAGTCGAAGAGAATGTTTGTTCGGACACTCACATCCCTTGGCAAAGGTTCCAAGCAATAGACCTTTCATAATGCATATGCCGGGACCCGCCACTCCTGTCTAGGAGCCCGCTCTGTCCAAAGCGGCTTCGAGACAGGACCCGTACCGTCTTCACTAGTTGATATCATGATATCACTTCCGTTGTACCCAGTTCTCTCGACAAGGCTGCGCTCACTGTGAGAGTGATGGATTTAATGCGATGGGAACACCACTGAGTGAAATGCTTACCGCCATCCGTGTCCTTGATAACAATATCGCCTTTGTAAGCCAGTGCTCGGGGCCTTGTAACCACAAGTTCTGCGTGCAGCCCTGGTTCGCTGCACTTTCTTGTGCGACGATACAGGGGCCATAGTTCGCGGCAAGCTTATATGCACCGATGCCTGTAGGCAGATTACATTATTGGATAGTGGTGAAATCAGTGATGCAAACCTCTGGGCGCTGCGCGAATATACTCCGTGGTGCCATGTAATGGCACAAGCTTGAACCCTCAAAGTTAGTATGGCTCCACAGGGCAGGCGATCACAAAAAGTAGTGCCTCTTTCGGGGGACCAATAGCTAATGCGCTATTCGTGGCAACTGCAGCGGCATTGTCCGTAGTATGCGTGTTTTCAGGAAGGGTTATAACACTCACTTGACGTGGGTATGAGGTAAAAGACTGTACCGAAGCTCCTTGGGTTTCCATCTACGGTCAATGGTGATCAGCGCCTTTATGCATTCAATAAGCGTGTTGCTGTTGAATGTCTTTGGCGAGAGGCCTTGAATCGTACTCTTTTCAGAAGGGATGCAATAGAACGTACGGGAAGCACTAGCCGCTGTGCGCATACCTTTAATGTTCATTTCAGGCTGGAATTAGGTCACGACATCATCCGCGTGTCTGTAAGCTTTCATGTCCTCAAATAAAAATGTGACGTGAATCATGGTAGTGCTTGGGGACAGATTGGTAGCGCTGACTAGAATACACACAAAGGATCATATCAGTAAAAATTATTGCGAAAGCTGAGGATCTCACAAGGTGCATTGTTGGCTGCCCCCAGCCAGTAGCATCAGTCCAGGGGATTTTCAGGATATGGTCTGACTGGAATCACGATAAAGCAACATACAAACAACACGAGAAGATGACCCACGAATGTCTGTCCGAAGGTAAGGCCCTTGACGGAGGCAATCGATGTTTTACAATGACATATCTAGGAAAGGAGCACTTAATCAGCTGGGAATATATCTGAGTCTCACCAGTTTATTGATGATCCATTTGGTTTGTTCCGCATTGCCGACCTGGATGCATTCTGAAGTTCGAACAAATCTGTCGAGAAAGAATGATCACGTGCGGTCTGGGGCAATTCGAGGCTTCTTGTATCCTTAGAAAATAAATCATCAATTTGACGATGCCGTTATCGGAACTATCAGCACACCGATCCAATCGAGCTCCTCGAGACGAATGACAGAAGCCAAAATTGACGCCTCATGTAAAATAAGGAGGGCGAGAATACTCTGAAAGTTTCGTGTCTTTCAAATTGATGCATCTTCTTAGCCTTCGCGACGGTGGTAGTCGAGTTCCTTCGAATGCCGTTCATTGACTGTGTCGCTACGTGTACCTTCATGCGGTCATCAGACTCGACATTCGCACCCTGAACCTTGCACGACTCCGGTACAATCGCCGCTGCTCATCGCGCTGCGGCCTTGATTACAGAATCGTCGCTTGACTTATCCTCCATGACCGCTTCAATCCGATTGAACAGCTAGATCTAAGGCAGCGCGCTATTCGACCTGGAGCCACAGCGCCTGTGGCAGTGGATCAAACCCAGCCGGCATAAAGATATATATGAAATACCTGTTTCAAATTTTTCGTAGGCGACTCCAAGGCGACTCAGCAGGGGAACTGACAAACTCAGTAAGCTGCTGTTTCGGTTTTGAATAGAAGTATTAACCTTTGTATGAACATACCCTGAGACCGCGGCTTCCTGCCAAGAAAAAGCTGTTATAGTATATGACTGACTCGGAAAGAGTGGCAACCTGGTATCAGTCGGTAGGGCATCGGTGGTTGATCGGAAGTCATAAGTTCAATGCGGCCAGCTATCGCCGCCTCCTTCTGCTAAGCTACAGAGACAACAAATGAGTCTGTAGAATAACTGGAGATCCAAGGATGCAAACCATGGCCCATCAGGTTGCCCAAGCGCCTTCGCGGCGCAACCATCCTCAAATCGAGTGGCACAGCTGAATCAATCGCGTCAGTATCCGTCATCTCGAGCAAAACGGAAATGCAGCAAGTAAGAAACGTTTGACCTAGCACCGATTTGAATGACGACTTGAATTCATCACTAAATAGGGGTCGGGAGAAAAGAACATCAAGGAATAATATCTGGATAGCAGCAGATGACCTGAGAGACAATATATGTATACCAGCGAGCATGAAACTAATAATGAGTAAGGACCGACTCGAAGGCGTACGCCGCAAGGGCCGCACGCAGGTGAGCATAGAGGATATAGCAAGATGACGAAAAAGATAGTCCAGTTTCCATTATGCCCAAACCTGGAGTAATTCGTCAAATCCTCATCGCCCATAAAAATTGATGAAACATACCCTGAGAGTGCTATCCCAACTACCAGTGCAAAGAGCCATTCCATCCACACTCACCCCCAAACAGCTGACCCTGTTTTCATGTCCGGTCAAAACACCCACGCGCTCGCCTCGTAGAGTGTCCCACACATTGCACGTCCAATCATCATAGCCACCGAAGAGAATGCGGCCGGAGATGGAGAATGCGACAGAAGTGATACCACAAAGAATGTTGTCGTGCGTAAAGCTGTTCAATTCACGATCCGCACGTATATCGAAAAGTCGGCATGAAGCATCGTCCGATCCTGTGGCAAACGCATCGCCATTTGGGAAGAATCTTAACAACAATGAGTATCTTGTATTGTCACATGGAAACCATCAACTTACTGAACAGCGTTGATGTCTGACTCATGACCTGTGAAAGTCTGGGTTGCACGACCACTCCGGATATCCCACAGCTTGGCGGTTGCATCACAAGCACCAGAGACGAAAACATTCTGATTCGGACCGAGCGACAAGCTATATGATACGAGTGAGCAATAAAGTGAGCATATAGCAAGAACCATACCTCATGACGTCCCCGGTGTGATCACTAAACTCAACCACTCTTACACCAGCTTCGATATCCCAAAGCATACAGGTCATATCACCGGAACTAGTGACGATTTGTCTGTCGTTGATGAAACGACAGCAACTGAGATAGCCAGAATGAGCGCTCAATTCGCGCCCACCTCTGACACCATTGGCTTCTCTGCTGTTAAGGTTATAGATAGAACAGATATTATCAAGACCACCACATGCAACATAGTTCCCTGATGGTGAATAAGCGCAGGTCATGACCCAACTTGAGCGAAGAGGGATGGCATGGACTTTGTTGGTCGTGTAGGCGTCCCATACAATAAGCTTTCCATCCTGTGAGGCGGAGACGAGATGTCGACGATCAGCGGCCCAATGCATAGCATAGATTTTCGCAAGATGACCCTTGAGTGAACGCCGAGGTCGCATGACGATTCGAGGTAGAGTATCAACCTCAGCAGCCATAGCACGTACTGTAGACCATGTTACCAACCGGTACAAAAAGGATGAATTGACCAGAACGACAAAATAACATACAGCTTGTGTCAGCTGAAGCCTCCCTACTCGCCCGAATTTTCTCCTTCAGAACTTCCGCCTCACGGCGTGCGGCGGCGATCCGCTCTTGTATGTCACCTCCTGGTTGAGACATTGTTTGTGGAGAGGAGGGGTGGGGTTTGGGTGAAAGGACAAAACCGTGGGAGGCAAAGTGCTCAAGTGATATGTGAGTTTGTCTCTATTTGCACAAATTCAGCTTCGCTTCATTGAAAAAAAAACTTAAGTATGTGCTTCCGAATTTGTTCTGAACCGTGTTCTATTTGGCACAGGGTTGAATTCAGTGCACGGCACTGTGTATGCCATCTTCTGGAGCGTTCTAGTTGCATAATGAACAGTTCCATGCAGAATTATGTGCTATAGGTGAAACACGTTGAACCCGTGGGACTTGGTCAGGGCAAATTAATTAACGGTTCAATTGAGTGACGGCTATCCTTGGTTAGGACCTTCACTGCAGGATATGGTTTTCACGAGTCTACACACACTCCCAGAGGAGATATTGTGCTACTTGTTTTCCTTCCTTCGCGCTCCATCAATCTTGAGCTGTACATCGGTATGTCTATCGATTCATATCAAAGATCGATACGCTGATCGTACTTGATATCACAGACGTGTCGCTACCTTCGCAAAGTCCTTGATACTTCCTCTGCACTGCAGTATGCGATTGAACTCGAAGCCCAAAAGATGGTGGAGGTCACCGCACTAGACGCAATGATATTTCCCGCAGAACGCTTAGAGATACTGAGAAACCAAATGCGTTCCTGGCAAGCGTTCAAACCCACCATCGTAGATCAATTTCTGCAGCCAGGTGGCGAGGTATCCATGTCGTTCGGACATTTATCTACCTGGGATGATCGTCCCCAGATCGCACAGATCGCACATATTCGTGCGCTGGACTCAGGCTCTTTGGAGGAGTCCCTGTCGTATAGGCGTTGGAATGCAGACAGTTACCCAATGCCAAAAGACACTCCTTTTCGGGTTCACAGCGTCTGTATGGACCCATCACAAGATTTACTTGTTTTTTTGGTACTCGAGCCGAACCATATGGCAGAAATTTCTTGCCGGATTTACTTGGAGACCCTTAGCATGAGCGAGCCGCACCCTTTGGCTGCTAGTGAGGTCTTGACTTCCTTCAAGCCACATATCTCAGCAAATTGCCACATTGATCAGACAAAGATAAAGCTCAAAATCTGGGGAGACCGCATAGTGCTCTTTAACTTATGCGATGAATATTCTCATTGCCCTGCAAGAATGCAGATTTGGAACTGGCAAGAGAAACAGGACTTCAAGGTGCGACCATTACGCGTTTGTTTGAGTGGTCCCACTTATCATCTAATTATAGTGTGTCTATCGGGAACAGGAACCATACGGCAAGATGGATGACTGCTGTATTGTGAACCGAAATCACTTGATCGTATCATCTAGAATGACCGGCCGACTACCATGCAGACTGAGCATCTTTTCATTCCATGACCTTGGGAAACCCCCAGTCCGTGTTGCAGAGTGTATCCTACCCTTTCAACCGGAGGGAACATTCCTGCGGCATTCTTCATTTGTAACCATCAGCCCGGACCTCCGTCGTTCCATTGCCCCTCAGGATATACGCTTCTATCCAGACGCTGAAAATCAGCTCATTGCTCTCAATGTTGACGGTCCACCCAGTCTCGTCTTTATCATTGACACTGATAAACTCCTCACCACCTACCAAAGCGGCGCACACACTGAGGGTCAGAGCCGCGTTTTACCCTGGAAGGAATGGGGTCCAAACTGTTCGCGATGCATTTTAGACCCCATACCTAACAGCCTTTTTGTCCTGCGATTAGACGTCGCCGGTGAGAGAGCAATCCATGCTACCCCAAATGATGTCGACTGCACATCTTATAGCCTGCGCACGTATGACTTCAACAAGTATCGCATTTCGCGTGCCGCAGCTTCCAAGGACTTTCGTGGCCGCATTATTACAGAACCATCGATAGTCAAACACCGACAACTCAATGAAGACATTATAACAAACCTTCCTTACGTGGTAGTTGTGGACGAGGAACGCATTGAGACAGGCACAGATATGATAGATGTTACTTTCGATGACGAGAAAATTTTGATCATCAAGGCTTGTAATTCTCATCTGTTTTGAATGCGCGAGGCTAACATATCACACAGAGCTCCCAGCGAGATGAAAACGAATTTGTAATCGACGTTGCTAATCCCTCATGTAATATGGCTGTGCGAGGAAAATAGCACGTACATGGAACTGTAGAATTTATATCATTAGAAAAAATTGTGAGGTTGCGTCGAACCGATATTGGACGTCATCATGTTGATGAGATTGGTTTTGGAGTGTTTAACGAGAAATTCTGAGTTCATATATGTAGATGTGTGACACGTGATCAGTCGCCTTATAATCAGGAGTGGATGTAGCGGTACCGGCAATCTTCATTCCACCACAACTCACACGCAGGACGTACAAGGCGGTGACGAGACCAAGAGTCCCACGCGCGTGCAGCTATATATGCTTGGAACCGGGTGCAGGCAGCGTACTCATTTCAGCTCACTTTCTCTTCCACGAGCAACATGCCTCCAACTCCCTCAAATGTCGTGAGTTGCATGCCTTTGATACTAAGTACCTGATTGTATTGATAGTATTACAGATGACTGTAAAGCGCATCCACAGGGAAGTCGCAGATGCCAAGAAGGAGGACCTAGGCCCCATCACCCTCGCACCCTCCGCCGATAACCTCTTTCGCTGGGCAGGTACCATACCTGGACCCCAAGGGAGCCCGTATGAAGGCGGCGTGTTTAATATCAATATTCAGCTAGCGAATGACTATCCGTGAGCACCTCCATACCCAAAGTAGGGTGCTCAAGCTTCACTAATTGTTCTGTGATAGTTTTTCAGCGCCAAAGGTCACCTTTGTAACCCGGATATACCACATGAATATATCGGACAAGGGCAACATATGCATTGATATTCTCAAACAGAACTGGTCACCTGCGTTGTCGCTTTTCAAGGTCATGCTCTCCCTTTCATCCCTCCTTACCGACCCTAATCCGCGTAAGTACTATTTTCGATCTTGACCCTTTCATTGCAACTTTATTTGTTTTGGACTCGTATACTTTCACCCCATGTGTCTATTTTGGCTAACCGATGTTCCTTGTTCCTAGAAGATCCTCTCGGTGAGCTCCCTTACACTGTTCATTTCCTATTTTTCTGAACCACGATCGCTTTGTGCGCACTCAGTTCCCTCAATTGCAACCGAATATGTCCGGAATCGCGTGCAGCACGACCGCACGGCCCGGAGGTGGACAGAGCTATATGCCCGATCACCTGTATCTGTGCCTGCGCTGTCACCTATTGCATCCACGTCTATGTTCTCTGCCATTGTCCCCGCACCCACATCTACATCCATGCCCACGCCCACGACTTCTACAGCTCAAGCTTCCGGATTACGTAAAGGGAAATCTCGAACCCCAACCAATCAACCCGCGCGTGGCTCGGGCTCGTCGAATGTTCTCCCCGAGACGATTGATATTTCTGACTCCGATGACGAGTTGTCGCGACCACTGCCTACGCGCAAACGTCCACGCGGCATTCCCGATGAAGTGGACATCGATCTTGTGGAGGCAGAGCAGCGCGCAACCAGACGCCGACGCGCAGATGGCAGTGGGAGTGTGGTTCCGAGTATCTCTAGAGCCTCTAGAGGAAGTGGAAATATTGTGGGAGCTGCGGAAGTCATTATCATTGATGATTAGTTCAGGAGGACTCATCACAAAATTGGAAAACTGCCTGTACAAGCGATCCTGAATTACAACAAGAGATGTCTGTCAAATCGTGTGCCATTCCTAGTACAGCAAAAATAGTCAGACTCGGTGGAGAATAGCAGGGTATCGCAATGTTGACAAAGACAATTCCAAGTTGGTGGTACAGAGGATTCAAGCCACAAGGCGAAGCGGAAGCCTGAGATAGGGATGATACTTAGAGATAAAGAGTCTGTTATCACGATTCAATCGCATTCAGCAGCTTGAAGCTCAAGTTCGGATACTTTCTCTTGTTTGCGCGCCGCGGATTCGGACGTCAGTGACTTAGGCTGCAAACCTTGAGGGCCTGGATTGGCACGTTCGCATTCGCCCCTGTTGTGGATGGCACGTTCGTCTTGGAAAGGCCTACTACCATGATGAAAAGCAAGGGTTGTTTGAATAGCGTATGATCTCGTACTTCAATATAGTGGTACGTGCCTATGTAGATGTTTCGTCCTGTAATGTTAACAGTAATAGCAACAGGGGAGCCAACGTATCTCAAATAATCTGTACCTCATCTCATCCGCACGACCAATTCCCTCGCGACGCCCCACATCCTCCTTTCGCAACACCGCCAGCTTCGTTTCCCCACCACATCCTTCATTTCTCGGAATGTCACACCCCCCGTCTGGAAATGCATCATCCACAGTTTCCCACAAGCCTTCATGCCTCCCCGACGAACGCATTGCGATAATCAACCAGAACACCCCTCCCTTCTTCAACGCCTTCTCCACGCAATTTTTGATCCACTTGGCATGCTCAGGGTGGTACACCACGTCTGCACCAAGGATGACATCGTATGGCTCGAGTGAAGGTGGTCTGGACCAGTCCAGTAAGTCGATTTGAACGGAGACATTATTGGTCTTCACATTCTGCAGTAAGTTATCGAGGACCGCAGAGTGATAGTCTGTTGCCACAACAGTAGCATCGACTCTCATGCGATCGAGAAGCCGTGCGGCGGCAATGCTGAGAAGTCCCGTGCCTGCACCTAATTCGAGAATGCGCAAGGGAGCAGCCCCTTGTGGGATGTCCATGTATCGAGCAGGATTCGCACAAATACGTTCAGTGAAAATGATAGCGCTCGCCCAACTTTGCAGACCAACGGAAGTATGATCCGTAAGCGTGAGTGGAGCATCATTAAGCTCGATCGTGATGGGCTCGCCTCCTTCACCAAAAGGAAACATAAATTGTCGCGTGAGAGCATCCTCTTGCTGCTCATTGTCGCTGGAAAAACATGCAAGAAGCTTGCTTGCTTCCTCTATAACGACTAGACGCATATGTTCTTCTTGTTCTGGGACCCCATCAAGTGCGTGCATCCAAATATCGGATCGCTTTATGAGACCTGTAAGCCATTTGATAGCAAAATTTCGTTCGAGTTCGTTGGAACGCAGGACGTCGGGGTTCCAGCCTTCAGCTTCACTTTCTAAATCACCTTCCACTTCCGCCTCATCATCTTCGGAGGCATAACCAGAGTCCGGGACGCCATCGCTATGATTCAAGCGTCCCGTTCGCTTTGGGCGAGGTACGTGTACCGTGTCAGATAAATCCTGCTTCAGTGCAGGCACAGCATTTGTTGAGCGCGTCCTCTTCGGAGGAAGTGCTGGGGCGGAGAAATATAGATCCTTCAAGTCTTGCAGGGCATCTTGCATAGAGGTGGTGGTATGGGTGGAAAGTATAGAGAGAGGTGGAAGAAAAGAAGTTGGAGCGCGGAAGAAGGTCATAATTTGTTCGTCTGGATGGGATATATGTATGGTATACGTTGGATAGGATGTCGATTATAACGATGTTGCCCGATTAACGAAACCTTGATAGACGGTCTAGTAGGGGTATTGGTGCACCAATTCTATGTGCAGTGAGATCTATATCCGAGTCGCTCTATGATCCCAGAGAAAATGGACCCGATAGCGTAAAACTTCTATGTGTCTATGCTCGTTGCAAAAAAAAACGATGTTAGTCTCTGAAAACAACGCAGGCTCTTTAGAATCTAGAGCCTGCGTTGCTACTGAACGAGGAGAAGTATTGGGAATGGCATGGTGGGAGACGTAGGAAGAGAGAGAAAACGTTGTTTGGAAAGGTTTTTATGATCACGGGAGATAAGATAAGATCTTGTAAGATAACAAATAATATTGGGTCGACTCTTCGGACAATACTTACAAGCAGCTTCCACATATATAATCAGTTCAAATGGATGTTCAGTCCAGGGAACTCACCGTGACTTACAAAATTGTCCCACCACCATCTACGGTAGCTCCTCCGTCCCTCTCGCAGGAGACGACTCATAGGTTTCCTGTCGTATCTCTGCCTGCTTCGGAGTCTCAGGAGGACATTGACTCAGAGCTGAAGAGATATTATGCATCTCTGCGAGCATCGATTGCAGAAGCTCGTACAAAACTCGGAGAAGAGTTGACCGCTTGGAGGGATGCAGTAGGAAGCGCAGAACTTGGAAAAGAAAAGTCTGTAAAAGCTGAAGCCGACGACGAAGGAGAGGAAGAGGAGAACGCAGAGGAATGACATTAGACAAGGATCATGTAGTCCTCAGTGAGCAAAGGTACATCTAATTTTCATCTGCAGCGATTTATTTATTCTCAAATGCCTACTCAAACTACAGATTCCAGTCCTTGTAGCGTACAGTTGCAGTGCAGCACGTCAATGAGATGAATTTTGAACATGGTCGTCACAAAATCAATGATTCCTCTTCCTCAATTCTACCTTGGCTCCTTTCGATGACTCATTCCCATGAGAAGTGGCTGGTCCAAGAGGATTGCCGTTAGGAACTGCGAGGGGGCTATGTGAGTGCTTGATGGCAGCAGCGAGTCTATTTTCTATGCTCCGTTCGTCTCTATTTGTTAGTAGTAAATTTCGGAGTGGTGCCTGAAGACTGAATCATACTTGGAATCGATATCCTGATGTGTGTTCTTGTCACTCATCATGCTTTCTTGTCGACTTCTTGTCCGATTGTTTTGACATTCTGCTGAACCACTTCAAACAGAGAAGGTAGGGTTCAGACTGACGCCGTCGTGATGTCAAGGACTTTTGCAACGTTCAGCCACCAATCAGTCGACTCCGGTCTACAAATGATATCGATCAAGACCGAAAAGTCATGCTCGCATTCGCCAACGAGTTCTGACGCTGGCCTGATTATGCGAGGAAATTGCTGGAAGGATACAAGTAACCTGAGTATGTCGTGACTTGGAGACTAAGTTAGAATATTCAACCTGACGATGAAGAAAAAATTGTCTTGATCGCACTGAAACTTGGAAGTCTGGCAAAGTAATCCACAGATGGCATCTTAAATTACAAGGAAATCAGTGAGCACCGCAGCCATTGGTTTCATTATCCAGTTAGATACATACACTGCTGACGATATTATGCGTACAATTGTCAATGATTACGAGGAAGTGTATGAACTACCGGCCTACTTTCAACTCCTAGAGAAAGCGGGAGAAAAAGCAAAAGCACTAAGATGTGCAAGCGTTCGTGTCCGCCCTACTTTGGCGCAGACCAGCGTGATCGTATAAGGCTGGTCTGCAATTTGACTTGAGTGCGTTTGATTAGACGAAATTTTACACGCACAACACATTTTAAGGACAAACATCACGTGATGTCTCATCATTCTGCAATTTGTGCCATGCGTGTTTGAACGATACAACTAGGGTGTGATAACACAGGAGATGGCAGGAAAAGCCAAAGCACGGTATGTGGCCTTCTTGTCATAGGAACTCTTCCCGACTTGACGATTGCCTTGTTGCAATCAACACTATTTTCCTTTTGCCAACGTCTTACTGCCAGATCGATTATCGTCCGCTTGATTTCCACTGCGCAAACGGGTTTCTTCTACACCACGCAGCGCCTAAGGCAGGGTCCGAAGCTCGCTGCCGTCAAATATGATCCCAAAGGTGGGTATTGGTGTTCAGGCAGTTAGGCAAAATTCTGAACTGGTTCATTTCAGTCAAAGCTCGTGTACTCTTCGTCGAGAGTAAAAAGACAAAGAAATAGCGAGATGGTTGTTCCAGATTTTCAGTTTCTTGATAGCATCAGGAGATTCACGTCGACTCTTGTTGAAACTGGGTAGTGCTCGACACACACTCCACAGTCGTGACAACATGCTATCTGGCGCGCTCTCATACACGTTCAATATAGGTGGTGTAGGAGCCATAATTCTGTTCATAAGGGACTTAACTAGAGGTGCATCTGAACTACACATGACACAAAAGATATTCTACGCGTCCCTGCTCACCAAAAGGCCTGCGCTGTCTGAGGACTGCTCGGTATGTTCTGCGGCGTTACCCCACTCTGGGGAATTGATGTCGCCGACTGAGACTGAGCCGGCTTGGGAGCCTCTACCTCTTTGCGGTACTCAATTTTCTCAACACGAACTTCGCCTTCTACAAGCTGATATACATACGTGACAACGACAGCGCCCTGAATGTCCATGAGTGCAAAGGATGGGGTTATTTCACTGAGAATATCAATTCAGTCAGGCAATGCAGACGAAATGATGCGAGGGCTATACCCGTTGTATGAGCCTGTCCATGCGCCAGTCGCGGACCCAGGATTCACGAAGAAACGACCATCATATTCGATTGCCTGGAAGCTTATTTGAATCACATCAGAATGCCAATTATGTGTAGAGGCTGCGGAATCAACACACGTATGCGTATGCCCTGAAACGAGCACATCTACATCCATTTGCCGTGCCAGTGTACTAAGAGCGTCAAGGTCACCGGTCGGTACGCACTGGTGTCCATGAATCACTCCAATTCGTATTGGGGTATGTGCTATGGTTGCAGATGGCGGAAAGCTGGCGCTCTAGGTCGTGCGCAGGTCAGTAATTGATTGACGTAACATGAAAATGACAAGTATGCACCTCATCATAATCCCCTCGGACAACATACACATCTCCTGCTATAGTGCGCAGGTACTCGTAAGTTTCGCGGTCGCAAACGTTCCCTGTGCAAATGATCTGTTGAATTTTTCCTGGAACAAGAAGTTTACGGAATTTGGCTGGGAGGTCATGTGCGCGGTGTGGGATGTGCAAGTCACCGATTATTAGGACAAGCACCATGTTGCACACAGCGGCGGTACCATGTATAACGGACTCCTGCAGGGAAGCTTAGGGTCCGTTGTGGGAAAGTATTACATAATAATATTTTCCTGAGTCATGCCGCTGTGTCACGGTGCAACCTCGTGCTTAACTCCGTCATGATGGCAGGATTAATATTGGGCATTTCTTGAGCGGTACTATATGGCTTGATGGGCCAGAGTTCCAATACTCTCGCTAAGAGAAAAACAACTTTGGCACGACTCAGAGCACTTCTCTATCCGAGTTTCCTCACCACCAACTCACAACCAGGCTGTCGAACAAGTTCAAGTTGCCCCGAAAGCGAACCTGCCGTACCTTATATTGGGTCAGATACTAGAGACTGGCCTAGAGAGCTGCGCACGAATTTCTGGAGCTGGAGTGTCACCAGCAACGAAAGTCCATTACATAAAGTGAAGAAGATCACAAGACAATCTTGTTGCGATGGAATGACTGAATTCTGAAGAGTATCAACCAGTCGTGGTGGCACATTAATTAATAGTGAACACTACCTGTCGAATCAATTAATGATAGCATGATCTTCGAGATGATTGCCATCGATATGAGCTAGGACCTGGGGCGTTAACAGCGCCCGTGCCTATGAACTGATATCGGCAGCATATACAGTACGTGACTACGCAATACAAGTAGTTGCGTCACTTCAATCTCTTACTCCTCCACTCGAGAAAATGGCAGGCATGTTGCACGCCACGAGGGGACTCATTCTCCTGCTCCGTCCTAGTACTTTGTAGGGGAAGCACAAATGACGCAACAAATGCCGTAGCAACATCTCCCTCATCCCAAAATACACGGAGATATTGCCAAAGCGTTTCGTGCTCCGGAAACGCACGTACGAGCGCGATAGCGTGTCCGAGCACGGAAAGTAGGCTGTCTGGCAGGAATGCGCTTTCCATGTCTTCAGTGAGATGCGCAAGAGTTTTAATGTGATGAACAGCACTGTAGTCGGAAATGTGAGACTCAATCCACTGCATGATACTGATGATCTCTTTCTGCAAGATTTCGGTGAACACGTCTGAGGTGGTATAATGCACCCCAGCTACGAGGGCAGATCGAATGCATACGGTGCGATGGGTCCAGCCAAAATAATTGCGGGGATATAACTCGCAAGCTCTGGTGACAAGATCAATTTCCACCGAGAGGTCACTCGGGGGAAGGTGGAAATTTGGTGAATCAGGAACTACGTCAGCAACCAGCCCTTGAGAAAAGCTTGATATTGGGTATATGCGTCGGAGAAGCCATCGCCTGTGATACCATAGCTCGCCCTGTTTGCAACAGTGCCTGCTCGAAAGCAGAGCGGCTGTGAACTTGAGTTCCTGCCCCACATCGATGAGGTCTTGCACAAGAAGTTGCCTTCTAGCATTGAGCGCAGTGTGGTGAGCCGGATTCATCAAAATGAGGACAGCAGAAGAATCAATCAAGTCCTGAATCGCCGAAGACGTGGTATGATTGGATGGGGTCTCGAGTGTATGAAGTCCAAAGGCCTTACGTGCAGCAGAGAAGATGGGCACGGCAAAGAGGTATGACCGACGAAGTTCTTTCTCAGGTACACCGAGATTATTCTTCATGAATAGAAAAGGGGAACGAGATCGTTCTGCCACGTCTGGGATCCAGATGGAGGCATCGCCAGGGAGGACCTCGATAGTTGCACTATAATGCAGGGCACGACAGAGCACATGAGTCGTAAAGTCAACAAGGAAATTCTATCACAGCTCACGGAGGTTTGAATAACAAGGAAGAAAGTGACCTGAAGCAAGTCGAGACTGATGCATCTGTCATGTTTGACGTCACGAAGTCAACGTTGCACAAACACTTAACAAACATCGTTGAACTTCTGCGGTCACCATCGACTCTCAATTCTGCACATCTGCACGCAAGGGACTCAGAGACTAGCAACATCTATATTCCACTGCTTAGCACATGTCGGATTTCAGTCGTGGCCTCAGGTTTATCCGCCTGGCAGCTTCTCTTTATGTTGCGATCGCGGTCATCTATACAACAAATCATATTCTGTCTCAAGTACGGACATTTGCGAGGCTATACATGGCCTCCTACGATACAGCTGCTGTCCAACAAGATGCCGAGGTCGCTGTTAAAACATCTCAGGAAATGTTACTTTGGCCTGCGTCCCCGTTGTTACCCGAACATACATCTGCCAGGGCAACAGACGAGATTCGAATGAGCGAAGATATTTTTCTGTCCAAGGCATTCTCGCAGTCTATGCACCCTCTTAAAGTGATTCCCTACTACTACAGGGCTTCGAGGACATTCGAACAGAACGATATTACCATCACCACTCTCGTTACATTCAATCGATTCAAGGTCTTTTCCGAGCTTGTGACACGCTACCAAGGTCTGCTCCGGTCTTACAATCGTTTGTTCTCTCGATCCTCCCTCAATTTCTTTTGTCAAAGGTCCGATTTCTGCAACCGTCCATGTCAAGCCTAGTGCAACACACGCCCTTCTGGATGCTTTGCACGACCTGTATACGTCAACACCCGCGATGTCAACCTATGTCGATATACACCTTGTTCTCACGCCCTTCGACCGTCAATTGAACACTTGGCGAAATGCTGCGCGTCTCTTTGCCCGTACCGAATTCGTCATGATGCTTGACGTCGACTTTGCCATTTGCACCGACTTCCGTTCTGCCATCAAGGCTAGTCTGGATGCCAAGATTGGACAAATTCTTAAGGAGGGACATGCTGCTCTTGTGGTGCCTGCGTTCGAATATATCAAACAGCAAGATGGCCTGGACCAGAAATATTTTCCTCGCGATAAGCAGGTCTAGATGACGAACGACATATTCTAGGAAGTCACTCAACGATACCATTTTAGACATTGCTTTCGCTGGTCAAGGCGAAGAAGATCGATATGTTTCACCGCACTTGGGCTCCTGGCCATAACGGCACCGATTATCCACGATTCTATTCCGCCACCCCTGGTGAAGTTTACAAGGTCACGCAGTACCACCCCGCATACGAACCTTACGTGATCTTCAGAAAGGAAGGGCCACCATGGTGCCAACCCAAACCGAGTCACAAATCTGTTTTGCTTTGTCTAATACAATCTTTTACAGGTGCGATGAACGTTTTATTGGGTATGGAGGGAATAAGGCGGCTTGTCTCTACGAGATGTACCTCTCAGGGATGTCGTTCTATGTCCTTGCGGATCACTTCCTCGTGCACCAGAGTCATCCATACGAGGAGGAAGCGCGAAAACTTGAGGTATCCATTTTCTCATAGTCAACAACAACTCTTGATTTTGAGACTTATATCAGCGCAAGAGTAACCGTAAGATATATCAGGACTTCAAGGAGGAAGTTTGCCTCCGGTTTGTTCTTCGGCTTATCTCAACCGCTCAACGATGACGCATCATCTTTGGCTTCTTAGGTACTTGAAGCTCCACTACGATTCTGGAACCCTTAACAGTAGCCACGGATACAATGTACAAGAGGAATGCAAGAAAATCAGAGGCGTGTCGAAAATTGCTACTCTGGTGAGTTTCATGCTGATACTTGCGTACCTTCGATGCATGTGTCTGACGTTGCTTCAACAGATGATGGAGGGTAAATTTTAGTATCAGTGTCAGTAATGGGTCTTCCGCTTGTACCAAACAAGGTTGACAATCTCATCGCTGACGAAAATGGTGTGAAAAATGATAGTCTGACATGCCTGTGATGATTGTGTCCCAATTTATCTGCCTTCAAGCTTTCTATTATGGGAGTGGAATATGTGTTGGTTAGTTATTTTAGTCCCATGTCCTCACGTGTTAGATTAATGAAAGATAACAGCTTCCTGAGTCTTATCCTCTGCTACAAGCCTTGTGATAAACAGCATAACTTGTGATGCTCCCCCGCGTGTTATTGTGTGGTTGGTGTCTAGGTCTATTCAATGTTCATTCGGACTCTGATGTATTTCAGATGAGATTGAGTATGTCCAAGAGGAGTTGAAGGAGATGTTTCATGGGATCGCCGAAGTCGTAGTAAGTTTACTTCCCTTTCAATGCACCTCCAGCTTTATGCGTCATTGTCCCCTTTCCTCTTCAGCATCTGGTCTCAGAATCTCGTTCTCATTTCCTCTCCTCGTTCGGGCCCGGTGGGCCATATGAAGGGACTGTCGCCTTATACAGGCTCAGCGAATCTTCTAAAGTCATAGGAAAATTTGACGAACCATTAATTCGTGCTCTAGCCGATACGAGCATGGTCCGCTGGATTGCTCAGAGTAGTAGTGGCTACGATGAAATTGACGTGCAAGCCTGCAAAGAACGAGGTAAGTTCCTTAGTCAGAACCAACTGTTGCTAACACGTATGCTTGTCCCAGGGATATTGGTATCGAATACTCCAGGAGCGAATGAGGATGCCACTGCCTCTACCGCTTTGTACCTTATGCTATCGTGCCTGCGGCACTTTTCGATGGTAGAACGCTCCCTTCGCTCTGGTACATGGAGGACGCCTTATAATGCGGCGCAAACTCATGACGCTACTGGGCGCACGCTTGGTATTTTGGGATTAGGTTACATCGGCCTGAGATTCGCACACCTTGTGCACGCCTTTCCAATGCGCGTCATATACTTCTCACGAACGAAGGCGGAATCTGTACCGGACTGGTGCGAATATGTCTCAAGCATAGAGGAGCTGTGCGAGCAGGCTGACATACTGAGCCTGCATGTCCCTCTCAACCAATCCACAGCTGGTATGGTTGGAGAGAAGGAAATCAGGACCCTGCGACGGGGTAGCGTGCTTCTCAATACGTCACGAGGACGAATAGTGGACCAAGAGGCGATGATACGAGCACTAGAGGACGGTCATGTAACACTTCTTTCATCGTCCTGTCGTCTTTTCTCACAACTTTCAGCTTTCATCGGTCGGGTTGGATGTATACCCTGATGAACCGCGCGTAGATCCGCGCTTGTTGACCTTTCCACGATGTACGCTTCTGCCGCATATTGGGGGACAGTCAGCAGAGTCAGATAGGAGAAGAGAACTGCAAGCATTGGGAAACGTGAAAGCTTTTGTATTGGGCGGCGTCGGGGAAGATATTGTCCCTGAGCTGAGGACAGAAATCGGCAAATCGACTACGTTGTAATCACCGGCAGCATGCTGGACAAGGCATAGCATAGAAGGAAGAGTTACCTTCCTTCGTTCAATGATAGAATGAGACTCGTATAATGGAGAAGAACGATCACTGCAAGCCTTACTAAGGTCCTGTTTGGACAGCGAATATTACAATTCAATTCGGAAATTCAACCCGTCATGTGACGCTACACGTGATGTATCTTGGTGACCTAGATTCTGACTTTTCCGAGTTGCCGACGGACTGATTATCGATTAATCGATTAAAGTACTACAAAACTAGATCTTGCATGACCGTCACCACAACTAAGCATGGACCTCGAAGCACAAAGTGACCTGCGTCAGAAACACCTCATTTTACTTGCGATAACCATTGCTATTGCTCATACATCAGTAAAACCTCAGATTTATTTTCCTTCAATAACCCACTTTTCTTGCCTTGGTGCTGGCACTAAGGCATAAAAATTAATACAAGGAGTGATAACTCGATCTTTCCGAAATTTCTCAAAGGTGCAAAGGAGCGGTCCATTGGGTTTGCCACACAAAGGAGAGAAAATGCATATTAAGAGAGAAAATAGTATTATAAATTCAAATGGTGTACAAGTAGCTAGATCAAAATGCAATCTCAAAGGCATGATGGTCAGCGTATTTATTCATGTAGTAGGCATGGAATGCATCATAGGAATGATAAAATTTGAGCTCTGGAGGCAGGAATTCCGTGCCATACACAGGAATCAGATGTGCAGTGTGATAAACGGTGTCAATATGAATGATCGCATACTCAGCAGTATTGTTTGTACCCTCTCCTGGATGAACCACCCACATTCCCGTGTCTTCGTCTGCAGCATTGCTGATTTTGTCGAACCAGTGAACCACAAGACAGGGATACACTTCGCCCCGGTACTGGAATGAAAAAAATGCGCGAATGCGTGCAACTTTGAGACCTTGCATGTTAGGTAGACTAAAGTCTGTGTTGACAAAGACACAGTCGTTGCGTGAATGCCCACCTCGCCAGGAGGGACAAGAGCGGATGTGTTCAGTGCGCATGCCACCAATACCACTCAAATTGCTTGGCACATAAAATCGTAATGATGCTGAGTTGAAGACTGCAATTTTGCTGAGATAGAGGGGGCATTCAGCAAGAGGTATGTCAGATAGATTGTGGGGATTATCAGGATGTGTCTGTTGAAATAAGAAGTGCCTGAGAAGGTCAGATAGGTGAGGAATATCAAGTTCATTGGTGAGTTCAGGAAGGGTTTGAGCACAATTTTTGCCCTTTGTACAGTATGTTCAGTATCATGTTGAAAATCAGGAAAAAAAGGACACCTACAGCAGGTTTTTGCCAGCTGTACAAACACTTGTAGAACTGTGGGCCCATTGTCTATGTTGAGGTCAGCGTCAATGTTAATCAAGGGAGGTGGAGGTGGTGTGGGTATGGGTGGGGCAGGTGCAGGGGCATGCATATCTGCTGCTGCTGCTGTTGCTGCTGTTGTTGTTGCTGTTGTTGCTGCTGTTGTTGCTGTTGTTGCTTTCGTTGCTGCTGCTGCTGTTGTTGCTGTTGTTGCTGCTGCTGCTGCTTGAGCAGGTGCGAGTGCCACCGCCCCCACATCTTCATCAGCTTGGTTGATCTGCGCAGGAACTGTCATGCAAATTAGTTGAAATATATATCCTAAGAAATGCACAACTTACCTAAGGCATTGCTGAGAGACAAGTGCCAGTGAGCATCCCCCGACACATGAAGTTGACTCGCAGTGCTGAAAGTTTGTTGAGCCGTTGATTGGTCAGTAATATCTGACCAAGCACATTCAAACGGCTCGATTGTCGCCAGGGCTCCTTGACCGCTGTGATGTGCTTGTTCTCCACGATTGACAAGTGGAGACCATTGGGTGCAGCAAAGAGTGGAATGTTTTGAACATAGTGCATGAGTGAGTGTTGACGAGGTAAGGAGAAGTGAAGGACAACACCCGTTGTCCTGAAGATTTCGTGGTAACGGTGAAAACGAGAGAGAGTGTCTTCAATTTGAAGTAGAGAGTCTTCAGTGATTATATTGCGACAGACTAGATAACAAAAATACAGAAGCGCACGAAAGGTGCGAACAATGTCTTGAGGTACATGGCCCTTGATAGCAGGTAAATAGACCTAAAAGATTCAATATTAGGTAGTAACAATACAAAAAATGACAACTCACTTTCATCAAGGCCTTGGAGTCATCTCCTGTCCACTGCTTGAATCCGTGCCCTTGAGGAAATCATTGCAAGCCTGAAAACGAGGTGACAGCAGCGATTCTATGGCAATGAGAAAAAGTAAGCAATCCGAATACAAACTGAGCTCACCTGCGGTCAATATCATCCATAATTTTCTGTGCCTTTTGTTTGTTGTGTGTCTGATGGAGGTACTTCTCAACCCATGTCATGAGGTGATCCTTGAACACACCTTTTATAAGTTGATGGAGGATATCTGGTGATATCATTTGATAGATATCAGCTTGGGGAAAGTCATTTGTGAATGGCTGTCGAAATAGTATTAGTTTTGTAAATGAAAACAAGAGAAAAATGCTGAATGACTTACCACAAGTTGCGTGACTATTTCGAAGTCTTCCCAAAGATCTCCTGAGGGAGCTTCTTCAACAAGTGCCTCTGTATATTTGCAGCTATGGGCAGCGCATCTTCATCAAGATCTTTGTGATTTGCAACACACCTTTAGAATAATGTGAGTGACCATGTAAATACATATTCAATGAAAGACGTACTTCGGACACCAATTATGGACAATGCACACTAATAAAACTTGCTCTTTGTAATCCGCTATGTAAGGCCCTAGTCCATATATGACACGCTGGTAGTGGCCATCTCTGAAATGTGTCACTTTGGGAGTCGTCATGCCCAGCTTGAGTAGATCGAGAATTTTGGAAAGGGATGAATGGAATAACTGTCGACAAAATCTTCGGAACAAAGGTTCTTCAGCATGTTCCTGCGTAGCTGTATCATAGTTAGTCAGTTATAGAAATAGATTGCAGGGTTGAAACATACTTTTTGGCATTGCCAGGAACCCAATGATGGCCACACCATCACGATGTGCTCTTCGAACATTATTGTGGATGTTCCCAATGGAAGCATAGAGCGGGTAGTACTTGTTGTTACCCATTCCGACTGAAACTGTTGTTTTGTTGCTGCCAAGGATGACAGGGACAAATGTTGACCCGAGAGTGCTCGGGTCTTTTGCGATTTCATCCTAGATACATAGAGCCGTTAATATTGGACATTATGAAACAAAAAATGCATTACTTACTGCTTGATCCCATACCCAGTCACCAGACATAAAATCCTTCCATTGACACTTGTCACCCTCAGTTGAATGCTCCCTATACAGGCAGTAATCTATCTCCTTAGTGTAAGTCGAATTTGCGAGCACATTACGCGCAACTTCACGTGGGTCGCGGAACCAGACTTCATATTCGCCATCCATCAGGGCTTGTCCTCATCTGCAAGTCTCTTGCCATCATAGGTGACCGTAAAATGTTGCCATGGTACATCCCCCAAGGGTGAACTGTCAATGACATGGTACAGATCACGGTGATCTGCAAATGGCGGGCTGTCGTTGTGCTTTGTGAGGGTAGATGCCCATAGATCCAGTAGCCGGTCAATTTGACCAGCTGGCATTTGATTGTGCTTGTAAAGGAACTCAGCTGTTTCAAATTCTGTGTGGTTTCGAAAAGGCGTCCAGTCATTGGTTGCAAGATTCTCAGGAGGTGGAGGTGGAGTGCCAGGGGGGAGGAATACACCATTTACATCACATGGTCTACCTGTAATAGCACTCATTAAACTTAGAGTATCAGGCACTAAATTGACATACTGTTAAGACCTGTGTGATAATTGTGGTAAAGATGATCACCATGCCCAAAAAATTGAGTGTCGATGTCTGCATGGGGGGATGGTTGGTGCAGATGTTCGTCCATATTACCCTGGTAACCATGCACATCAACATCGTGCTCATTGTCTTCATTGCAAGACGGGTGTGGGCTTGGTGTTCGGGGAACAGGTTCCAGAGATTCTCGATGGTTGTCTTGAGGCAGTACTGGCATCACAGGATGTGCCAAAATTCGGTGTTTTGTTCGCCCAGCAGAGCTTTTGAACCATCTTGAACATGTTCCACATGGGAGTTGGAGTGCGCTATGGTCCCATCAGCGTGGTTGGATGCATGGAATATCAGCAGGCATCATGAAAAGTGAAGACACTTGAGATTGCATCAATAGGAGTGTGTAGCTAAAATAAATTGATACCTGCATTTTCGTTGAGTGGATTTCCAAGTGACTGAGCTCAAGTCAGCTGAAGAATGTGTCTAGTTGATGTGACTGGCTGGAAGTGTAGACATTTGAAGTAAGTATGGCGTGAAAAGACAGAATAATGCAGGACTTACTTGATGTTTTGGACAACTTTACAGGTGCGCAGACCAGAGAGTCCTGCTAGTAGTGAATTGAATTAGCGATTAAACTTTGTTTGCTTAGTTCTTAAGTATGGAACTTACAAATTGGTTGTCAATTTTCAACTTCAACCATTCTACTGACCACTCATTACATTTCCCTGGCTGTCCCAAGCTTGCCATAGAGCCTGTCAAATCTGCTCCTTGTCAGCAATGTCCGACACCACTCAGAAGTCATGCACTCGCCCACAGAACACCAACAAGCACCCAGGCTTGCCTGACCTGCCAGCAAAAGGACGTCAGCGATGGACTAAGGCCCAGATAGTAGAGGACAAGCGAATTCTTAAGGAATCGCGCGAAGTTCAAGAGCAGGCTGTGCTTGAGGGACTGCAACAGCTTGCAGCCATGCAGAAAGAAATGGAAAAGGCGGAGGAACTCACCATCGTGAACAAGCCAAAGCCAGTGAAACCTCATGCCTGCCCTGTCATGAAGTGAATGGTGCCTGATAAGAAGGTCCTGACAACAGAAAACGCTGGTGAGTGCACAAGCATCAGATGGGCTCACTTACATGGGGCTAACATTGTTGAGGACCTAGATGAAAGTGGTCAAGATGACAGTGGTCATGTTCAAGAGGAAACCAGTGAGAAGTTGAAGACTCAAAAGTGTGGCAAGATCTCACTAAAAGATGCAATCAACAATGCACAAGATTCAATCGCAATGCCAGGAATCAGAAGCCAGGAACCACATGTTGAAGACAAGAAAGGAAAGTCGTCTGCAAAGTAGTCTTTTTGACTTGATCAAAACCATGTTGATGCTTACTGAATCAATGCTATTCTTTGTTAACTTAACCTCAAAATTCAGGTCAACCAACTTAAAGTTTTCATTGGCTGGACATGTCAATGGCTGGGTATCTGATATTGCACCAGATGAGAGGTCCAAAGCTTCAAGTGCTTCCAAGTCTTACACCGCTGCTTCCCCTTCTCATTGGCACATGGGCCCAGCACCCAGGTTACATCTGTATCAGGTGTAAATACAAAGTCCAGTCACCAACCTAAAGTCTCTTTCACTCTTGCTACTACTAACAAACCTGTTCCTGAGGTTCTTGTTGGCAGCTTTGCCAATGACACTTTGGATGATTCCCAGGAATACCTTGAAACAATTGCCTTGAAAACAAAGGAGAAGAAGTCTTTCATTAAGGTGTGTACAGTATATGTAGTCTTACTGGTTCTAACACAAAGTGAACTATATAGATCACTACCAACACGAGGACCGATGATGCGACAATGGGCTCGAAGGGACAGTCTGACCTCAATGTGCCAATGGATGCAGAGGCCTCTATGCCATCAGACTTCGAGGCAGACTTCGAGGATGACGGCCCAACAGACTTCGAGGACAATGATCCGATGGACGCAGAGGATGATGTGGAGAATGACGTGGGGGTTCTGGAGGACAACTTCAAACTGAACAAAGATGTGAAGATGTCTGAGGACAGTGACGGTGGTAGTGATTTATCATTCCACCATCTGAATAACAAGAAGTGCAAGCTTGCTAGTGTGCACACCAAACCCCACAGGGTCTTGTTTCGCTTATCATCCTCAGATGAGGAACATGAGGCTCCGCTTACAGCTGTTGTTGGAGTGGTCGCAAAGAAGGCCATGCGGGTAACATCTTTAGTAAGTCTATTTCATTAATGGTTATTGCTACTCATATTTGTTTGAACAGACTTCAGTCGCTGTCTCCAAGGCAGCTGCTACAGCAAAGCCACCTGCGAAGAAGGTGAAGACTGAAAACGGTGCCGATGATGATACGAAACACATGCTCGTTCCATTGCCCAGTCACTGGATCGAGAAGCGTTATAAGTCACGCTCAACCTACCGCAACAGTGATCTCCCTCCGCAATGTCAGGATCAATGGTGGCCCAAACATTTTCTCTCGACCCTTTACCTGTGGGCCAGCAGCCAAAATGATCTCTGGCAGTTTGCAGATACCTCTCTTGTTGAAGTGCTTCAATCCATTTTTGATGTCGTGTATCCAGATCTCCAGTACAAGGTGACTGCTCAGGGATCTGTCTTTGGTGTTGTGTGTCCAGCAATTTTTTTTGTAGCACTATTGCTAACTCATTGTGATCTCAATAAGGCTACTCAGCGTCTGGCAGAGTGGCGCAGCAACTTCGGTTCAACAGGACTCACAATTATGATCGACTTCTTCGCTCAGAACAAAGACACTAATCCAAAAGACCTTAGTGAAGCGCTTATGGAGGAGTTCATGTTCCTCTTTGAGGACTTGGACCACTCAGACAAGATGAAAGCATTCCGGTCTCCTTTCATGATATAGTTATTTGCAACCACTCATCTTCACAGTATTGTTGGACATACTCATGTCACCGCCATCAAAACAGATGTATTGGCTGCCAGTGGCATGGCTGGTGTTCTTGCTCTCTGCGCAACTTCAGTGAGTATTCTGACCATACAAGAATCATGACTTATCACATTTGACAGCTCAAATGTGCTGTCAAATGCCTTGGTGCTGGTGCCATTGATATTGATGCAGACATCCTCGATATGTGTCCTGCACAACTGAAGCGCAAGCTGCGCACACCGAAGACCCTCAACAAGTAAACCAGCAACTACAACACCACCAAACACGCATTTTCCATCAACAACTGGGGGTCAGTAACCGAAGCTTACTTGGCCAGTGTAAAGAAAAAGGGGGACATTTTTTGAGGGACACAATTTTAACAGCATGGAAGTTGCTCAAGAAATCAGGCAGTGCTGGCCTCGAGAAGTATCTTTGCCTCAATGACGACGATGAATCAGAGGACATTGACAGGCATGCCATGCTTTGGTAACTAGTAATATTGTTTTTTTTTGTGTTATTCATGAGCTAACATCATTTATAGATCTTGTTCCCACCATGCTTGCTGTCCGCTTCCATCATCACCATTGATTCAAGTTCATACTATCATGTTTTGCTTATCCCACCACCACTCATAATGCCTTTTGTTGTCTTTAGTCTCGTTTCATGCTGTAAAGAGTAAATCTCCACTGAGCTCAGCAGAAATTGTACTACCTAGTCAACAATATTTAGGTAGATCTTAGCACGACCTATGCTGCTATACTTGCAGAGCAAGTGCGTTCAATCCTAAAGGGATTGCTAATTGGTATTAGTAGTAAAATGTGTCAGTAATGCAAATAACAAAATGTCTGATGCTGCAAAACGATGTCCAAAGGTACTTATCTGATGTCCGAAGCCAAAGTGCGATGTCCGAGATTTCAGACTTTTGGACTTCACAATAATAGGTTGGAAACTTTATAACGAGTGTCGGATTGTGAGCGGTATGTGCGAGTTGTTACAATAACATTTACTCCTATTTCATTTTTCTTTTCTCGTAACCATGCCGCCGACTCTAGACTCATCTAGACTCGGCTATTCTCTTATCAAGCAGGCTGTCCGCACTTCTCTTCTATCTTGATTGTAACATAGATACTATCTTGCACCGCATGGCGGTTTCACCTATCTTTGCTATCTTGATAGGTTGTATTCTTTTTTTCCTATCTCTGTTACCTTTTCTTGTCGCGGCTACGCCGCTTCCTTTTACCTATATAAACCCCATGTACCATAGCTGTATTCCTTAACTTAATCTACTGGGTTTTCCCCTTGAAACCTGATCTACTAAGGCCTCCACCCTTAGTAGCCTGAACTCTGATTCTAAGGCAGTCACTCACTGTCTTAGCCTGAAACCCTTGATTGCGGTAGAAGTGCTAAAACCACTCACCGCCTAGGCAGAAGTGCTAAAACCACTCGCCGCTGATCCTGCACAGAAGCCGCGGCTCGTGCAGTAGGAACCACCAGAAACCTTCCTTGTATTAGGAAGGCCGACGAACTGTTCGCCTGACAGGTCTATCTTGACCGGCAACAGCAGAACTATCCCAGTCGTAACACGAGTATAATGAGTGACGGAGTATGACGGTGAACAAATAATAATATTTCACAATGCAACTAAGAACTACGAGAATATTCTGGGTGATCCGCAGAGTTGGGAAAATGGCTCCTAACTACTGGATGATGATTGCTACGGGTCACTAAAGAGTATTTAAGTAAGTACATAGAAATCCGGAATACTACAGGCGAAGATAGTAGCAATATATTTCGGGTCTGATGTCCTATGTAATAAGACACGAGGTGCTGCAGACATGTAATAATGTGGTCCGAATGTCAAAAAAAATGTGCACAGGGATAACTATGCACCTAGTGAGGCTAGTTCAGATGGACAGGACACAGAATGGACAAGTGCATGCGAAGTGCGATCGGCCAATGCGATGTCCAAAAGTCCGATGCGCCAGATCTGATGCAGAGTGGCTTGGACATGTGCATGTATGTTTCAGGTGTTGACGTGAGTATGAAAAACCATGGTTCTGAGCCCAGCGCCACGATCAACCATCGCTACAATGCTCTCTGCACCACCACCCTTCTTTTTGCTAGCATTTCATACTCTCCTTTTCACTAATGTTTCATACTTTACTTTGTGTTCCCATTTTCATCACTTTTTTGCACTTTCCACCAGATGATGTGATACTGTTTGCTCTCTATTATTACCACTTTGTTTTACCGGTTAATGCCTCATAAGTGACTTACATGAGCTGCAAAGTAGAATTCAGAGGATGAGTGGCATTCTTCTCAATTTTCTCATTGTGTCTTTTGTGTCACCTTAATGGTTCCTCAAACCTGGTAAAACTCGAAAAAATAGAAATAAATTCAAAATCTTGAGCAAAAATAGACCCGAGGTTTTACTGATGTATCACCTACTACTACAAGTTACTACTCACATCTCGTGCTGGAAAAGTTCTATACCACACATCAATCTTAACGGGAAGGGCATGGGTGATGGAACTAATTACTGGTCACCCAGATCGTATCAAACATAACTTTGGTGTCCATCTTGAAGTCTTCAAGGCCTTGGTGCAGACACTTCAACAGCATGGATTCGTTCAGTCACGCAATGGTATCTTGGTTGATGAGCAACTCAGTATATTTCTTTACACATGTGTGACTGGCCTTTCGTCTCGCCTTGTTGGGGAGAGGTTTCAACACTCTCCAGACACAATAACAAAGTATGTTCTCATTAGTATTAATCTGATTTGTTCAACCTGACCATACTCTAGATACTTCAAGCACATGCTATTTTTCTTTTCATCCCATCCGTTTTACACATTGCACGTCAAGTTTCCAAATGAAAACACCCCAATCTCTGCAATGATATGTGAACACCCATCATTCCGGTTCTTCAATCAGTGTATTGGTGCCATAGATGGCACCCACATCTGCACTTTCGCATCACTTGATGCTCATGGTGTTCTGTGCAACCAAAAGGGATACTTATCCCAGAACTGTCTTTTTATATGCAATTTCCAGTTCTGTTTTACCTATTCTCTCTGTGGCTGGGATGGCTCAGTTGCTGATGCAGTACTCTGGAATGACATGCGCAAAACTGACTTGTACATACCTGCAGGGAAATACCTTCTTGCAGATGCCAGTTTTGGCACATGTGATGCACTACTGATCCCTTATTGAGGTGTGCACTATCATCTGAAGAAGTGGCATCAGGCAAACCTTGCATGAGTTTTCTCTGAGTCTGAGTCTCTTTAGTAGTACTTAGTGTGATTTAATTACATGTACAGGCCCAGAGATGGTAAAGAGCTATTCAATCTATGATACACTTCACTACGCAACATCATCGAACATATTTTCAGAGTCCTGAAGTGCCAGTGGTGGATTTTACAGGTTGCACCAGAATATGACATGGAGATTCAAGCACGGATCCCAGCAGCACTTTGTGCTATCTACAACTTCATTCTCAAACATGATCCCAACTTCTTTGAACTTGAGGAGGATTATGATCTCGCTGAGAATGATGACAGCCACAGTGTGGCATTGGGCACACTTTCAGAAGGCCAGCCAGATGCTGCAGAGAGAAGGGAGGCAGACAACCATCGAGATCCAATTGCTATGGCAATGTGGGCTGATTATCTTGCAGAGCATGCACATCAGGGGCTGCTGTAACTGTAGAATAGCAAACTATACACTTTTCATTGGTATCAAACATAGTACAGACAAATGTAAATGAAAATGTATTATGTGACACCACATAGCTGGTGCCACTTCTGCTCCAACTAGGCATGCCTTGTCTGCTCATTTAATGAGCAGAAAACAACCACCTGTCTCTCGTTTTCTGCTAGATAGTTAGTGATAGCCAGCTGCTCATCACCACTGCCAATAACATCATTGGAAGCATACTGATTGAGTAGCGAAATAGCCTGCATGAGCCCACCCATCGAACTTTGCTGGGGGATGCTGGGAGGTGACAGCACCAAGTTCTTCTGCATCTCACAAACTATGGTAACAAGATCCTTCATACTTTCTGCACCTTCCTGCTGAACTTTCAGTGTTGCAGATGGAGGACGAGCTCGTTTCGAGTGATGGGAACCTGCAGCATGTTCAGGAGCAAGTGCGCTATATTTGCGCTTTCCTCCACTAGTATCACTGACACTTGTCCATGCCGCTAGTGAGGAGCCACCAGAGGTGGATGGGGCAGATGGTGAGATGGCCTTCAGATTACTGATTGGATTAACGATTGGGTTTTTGGGGAGGGCAAAGCCGGTGGTAGTAGATGCAGTGGAACTTAGTGTTGGATTGGCGGTAATGGTAGAATGGGGTCAGAATATGTATTTGCCTTTCCCCTGGCTAGAAACCAGCTGCTCCATGAGGGCAAGGTGGGAGAAGCCTTTTTTTCTGAAGGGCTTTGCACTGGGATGGTGCTGCGAAAAGAGATGACATTGAGTACATATGTTAAAGCTCCTTTGTACAATACTCACCTTGATATATCTGACCCAGATGTCATCATCTTTCAATGCAATACCCGCTCCACTATCATCACTTCATGCAAATCCCAATGTATTCTTGATGTCAATAACAGCATTATACAAGGTTTTTAACTAGAAAGATATTGATATCACACTGATGTTAGTGCCAGCGCTGATAAGAAATTTGAGTCATTTTAAATGCACTGATGTCCATTTATTCTTGCACACTGTCCCAGTCTTTACTGCACCCCTTTGATTGGGGAATTTCTTCTTCAGATCTTCTCCTGCTGCATTGAAAGCAGGTGTCTTGAAGCCACCATCACCCGAGGAAGAAAGAGTGCCCAGAAAAGACTCAAGCAATGCTGTTTCCTCCTCCTTTACCAGATTGCAGCAGCTTATCAGCAGCACCCTGAGACCAAAGGGAGCATGTAGAACCAGTACCAGATCTATCAGACATTGTGATGGAATTATTGTGCCACTTGACACAGTGAACCTGAGGTTCACCACTGGCTTATGTGTAGCATCACATGATGGGTTGAATTTTGATTTGAATTGTAATATTTGCTGTCCAAACAGGACCTTAACAAACATCCCTGTCTTGGATCATAAAGGTTAGATCACTCGAGTTAATCCATTATAAATATTTTATTTGGATTGCCAAGAAATGAAACCAACAGCACCAAACTGAAATAAACTATGAATAACACTAACATAAGTTTGGGTAAGAAACCTTTTTTGGTTTGATCAACTAAAACACA